ACACACACACACACACACACACACACACACACACACACACACACACACACACACACACACACACACACACACACACACACACACACACACACACACATGCACACACACACACACACACACACACACACACACACATGCACACACACACACATACACACGTAATAGGAACTGGACAGCACGGATGAGGGAATGAGGGGATGAAAGAGAGCGGGAGAAAAACATTTTGCAAATAATACAAACAATGGTGCTTACCTTGCCTACCTAACTTGCTGCTTGCTCCCTTAATACACTCCTCCTTACGAATAACCAGGCAACAAACAGTGTTTTTCTTGTTCCTTGTCCTGTCTTGTCTTGTCTTGTATTTATAGTGAGTGAGTGAGTGAGTGGCAAAAAAAAGATATCTGGCTGTGCCTTAGCAGGAATGATATACAAAATGAGCTTTCACCCAAGAGCAACAACCAACGTGTCGAGAACTCTTATTTGCAATTACGGTGAACCACCTCGCAACAAGTTTACGTGTTGTTGTCTATTCGCTCGCGTTTTGTAATTAGTTTCGTATGTATTTCGTGCGGTAATAGGCCCTGGTACCTGGGTGCCTAACCTATGTAGGTACCTAGTGTATAAGTAGGATGATAATGCATAAGAACATTCCTACCTCTCACACGAAAACCTTGATACCTATGAAGCTAATAGTTCGCGTTTTGACCGCACAACTATGTAGTCCCTATTAACCACTAGTTTCTCCCTAAACCTGTACCTTGAGTATCGTGGTTATAAAAATACACCTAAAAATCCTTTGTCTCTCCTTACCGAGGGTGGTGTTAACAATATACCAAGTTCATACAAAAACAAGAGACTCGATCTTAAAGTATGCTCCTGATAGGGAATATCACAATTCTAATAGTACCTACACCTACTTCTCTAAGCTGTACTATAAAATCCTAGAAGAGTCAATAAGCAGAAAAGCATCTCGAGTCCCATAGCCTTAACAATTGTATATGTAGCACACAGAACTTATACATTCGTATTCTCAATTATCTATTATCTACAACAAAAAAATAACCTAATTTATTCCGTAATACATAGAAAAGTTCTAAATACCATGACGCCGCCGGGACCCTGCCATAGCCATAATTCCATCCCCTGAACGTGTATACTTCCATTCAATTTATCTTGTCTTTTCCCAAACGTGTATACTTCCATTTAATCTATCTTGCCTTTTACACTTGGTCCCGTCTTTTTTCTTATATCTAAGTATACGTCGCCCTGTTCCCTAGCAGAGTCTTTAGGCTCTTCTCGCTGGCCAATTCCTGCTTGTCGCGGACGCTCATTCCCAACTTCTGCTTCATGCGGCGGACCAAGCTACCGCTCTCTGGACGAGGAGGTTCCATACCAAATGATCGGCCCATATACGGCCCCTCGTCTGTAAAAGCTACCCTCTGTGCCCTTGCTCTACGGTTCTCCCACCCGTCTGTTGGACTATCGGTTGCGTGGTATATAGCCACAACTTGCCCACCTATATTGAGAAATGACCCGTGGCCTGGCCCAAAGGGGCCGGTACCATGTCTCCGCGTCTGAACAAGCGGCTCTTCCCCTTTCTGCCAAGAAGTCGGATCTAATGGGTCACCACCTATATACTGCAATAGTCCCATCTTGTATTCGTGGGTCCAGCTGCCGGCACATGAATAGACCAAACCCTGCCAAGAGAGACCTCCGTCGGGTGAGCTCAAGAACTGCGGCCCCTCATTGATGCCATGGTCTATGCCGTTACCTTCGCTTGTAATTTCCCAGGGATACTGCGGGCGAGATATGACAATGGCAGGACTAGCAGCGCTTGTTGGGTCCTCAAGTTTCATAATATAGAGCTGCTGTATGAGATCCGACGAATCATCGGGGTCATCGAGAGGCCAACCCGAATACACAAAGTACAAATGTCCATTCATCTCGAATACAGTACCGTCGATTGCCCAGTGGTCCGGCATCTCGTTAATGCGACCTAAGAATTCCCATTGACCCCGGCAAGGGTCCTCGGATGCCGGTGGTCCCCCCAGAACATACATCCGGTGGCTCTTGTTCCCGTGAGCCGGGTTTGCGGCGGCGTAGTAGACGTACCATCGGCCACGCAGAGCGTGGAGCTCGGGAGCCCAGAGTTCGGCGGAGTGGTCAGTGCCCTGCGGAGGAGTCCTGGCGTTAATGTCAGGTCAGCACCATGACTAGCTAAAAGAGATATGGCGTTAGAGGAGGGAGAAGGTAGAGTATACCAAATTACATGTCTATCAGCAGAGCTCTCAATGTCAGCCAAGCTGCGGGATGACCATATCTCGACCCTATTTCCGGCGGTGAAGGTCTTGGTATAAAGTTAATAGTGCCACCCTATCAAGAACATATAAGGTAGTGGTGGTATTGGTAGTTTCGGTAGCTTACGAGGTAGTAGCGGCCTCTGAATTGGGTTACGAAGGGATCCGGAGTGCCGATGGAAGTAATAGTGAGAGTCGAGTTATCGTATTGCATAGCTGCGGGATTATCCATCGACATTATCGAGGCTAACGCGCGGCTCGCACCCACTAAGGCATCCCGGAGAAAGATATAGAGCATTTGCTCCTCTTGATTAACTTTCGGCTGGCGGCGTAGTTTTAAAACTGTACTTGTTTCGGTATGTCCGATCTGCGAGTATGAAATTAGGTTTCATTCGTAGTAAGTAAATGGAAAGACGAACTGGGTGAGAATAAGCTAGCTATCATTGGATTTTTAACCAATATAAGGTTATAAGAGGTGGTTTAACGATGATAGCTGACGACGCGAGTGGAGAGGGTGGACGAGATCACAACTTGTCTTTTGGAGGTTGAGTGTACGAGTGTACATCACCAGGTGATCAGTCTAGTGTCACAACTCCAGGATGTGAAAGAGGTAAGAAGTAGACATGAAGGTAGGTATGATTTGGAAGATGACTCGATATTTAACAAAATTCCAAATTTACGTGTAACGGACGACACCGCAGTTGCCCGAACATGACCGCGTAAGTCCCCCCTTAGCTTCCTTTCCCCCCTTTCCCCCCCCTCCCCCTTCCCCATCTTCTACTTCTACCCCTTCCTCTACTTCTGCCCCTTCCCTTCCCTTCCCTTCCCCTTGGATAACTTCCTAATGTAAATTCTTACTATTAGGTAACCACCATAGTGGATTCCCAGTATAACATTTATAGTTCCTGGTCGCACAACGATAAGGTACATCGAATTGTGTTCCGATACATAGCATAACAAAAAATCAATCCATCCGTCCCAGCGCCGCGCTCCGCTTAATCCAATATTCCTAACCCTAAAACAATTCGTTTTGCTTAGAGAGCGTGCCTCCCAAACGCCTTCGATTTTATAAATCGATGGTATAATGACAAATGAACAGGTAGTCGGTTCGACGTAAAACTCATTTCTAACCCATGCGGCCTCCTCGAGGCAGCTTAGTCTTTCGAAGCATGGCATGATCCATTGCTTATAAGTTATAATGCAAACAAAAAATTTGCAAACGTTGTGAAGAGCGAAACCCAAAGTAACGCCTCAGTAAAAGTCCCCGGCATACGCATGCTCCGCCTCCCATTTAAGGAAATCTCCCAGGTCATGTCCAAGGTTATATCCCATCGGGACAACGTCCATATCGTCCCCGTCCGAGCTTCGAATAACTCGGAGGTCCAACATCGGGCTCTGCGGAAGGCTAGCGTAGCTCTCCCGACTATTGTATTCCTTGGATTCATCAAACATCTCGTCGTCAAGACTCATCCTCGAAGTATCTAGCTCAAGCCCGGATATATCGTAGTCGGGCTGATGGAATTCAGGTACTGTCTTCTGCCCGGGTGTCTGCCAGTGGTAATGCTGGTTGTATGGGTTGCTGTCCTTCTCGGTCTCGTTGTATGACACTTCCGAGCAATCCTCACCCGAAGTCATGCTCATAGGGCTATCGGCTTCAATAGGGTGGTCTAGGAGCCCTCCGGGACTGCTGAAATTCCATGACCCAAACCATTCTATAATTTCTGCCGCCTCTTCCGCCTCTCTGCGGCGAATTGTGTCGTCGCTTTCGGAGAACCAGTCTCCGGCGCCCCCAGAAATAGCCATCTGGAATGCCGTCCAGTCTAGGCCATCATCCGCTCCGATTTTAACATCTGCCATTAGATCAGATTTAGCTAGTCGAATCGGGCCGTGTCGGAAAATAGGGCTGGTCATGGAACACGGCGATGATTGAAGGAAAACGTAATTTGAATCCGCCACCATATCTCGGGAATATCTGAGATCGTGGCCGACAAATAATTCATTTGTGGGTGTCAAGATGGCCGCCGTTTCTGGGATGCTGGGCAGTGATGCCTTCTGGCTTCTCGCAGCAAATCGTGCAGCCTGTCTCATTGGTGGCGTTTGGAAGGTGGCATTTTTGTTTTGCGCCGGTTCTTCTCCTATATCCGTATGTAATTCCGACGTTGATATCGACGCCGGAAGCTCGATGGGGCCATATTCATTACGTCCCTCTGTAGAAAAATCCCTCCAGGCAACAGGGTTAGATGGTAATAACATATGTTTTTCTTCAGTTGGTGTATCAAGGTCGAGTGACACACTGGCCGATCTAATTCGGGAAGATAGATCTTCAAGGTGAAAGGGCTCGATCGGCGTATCGGTCGACTCAGCGTCGATTGTCTCGATTAATTTCTCGGGCTGTGTTGACTGGGTCGATTGGGTAGGCTGTGTTGCCTTAGCCGATTTTTCCGACTGCATTGTCGACATCCTACGCAACCTGTACTCTTCCAGTTGGTCCGGTGTGAGCATTTCATCCACCTCGATCTTTTGGAAGAGTTTCCCACTAAAAAGATCAGTCACATTGTCCGAGAAGTTCCATATTGGGCCACTCTTCGCCGTCGACTTGGACGCGGCAGGCTTCCGGCTCGGCTTCATCGGCTTCACCTTCTTAGACTTCTTCGACTTCTTCCTCTTAACCCCGTTGTTCACTGATGGATTCCGTCGGGGTGAATATACGGGAGCAGCGGCGGGTTTGGGAGAAATGACGGTCTTGGGTGAAGCGATGGTTTTCGGAGAGGCGACTGTTTGGGGTCGCGGGCTCTCTACTCGAGTCTGAGAAGCCAAAGGCTCTGGCTTTAGAACAGGCGATGATTCGGGCGTGGGAAGTGATGGTAATGCCTTTGTAGAATTGTTTGTGACTTGCACTTCAACGAGAGCGTGACCGACTGCTCTGAAAGCCTCATCTGCCTCTTGTATAAGTTGCTGGATGTTATCTGTAATGCTTGAGAATGATTCCTGCCGTCGCAGGTTTTGTTGTAATGTTGCCGCTCTATTTTCTGGTCGTAGAGATAGGGATTCTATGTAATCCAAATTCGAACTTGATAGTTCCGCCTGACGTCTAAGAGAATCTGGCGACTCGGAGTAGCTTTTAGGAGGAGGCGGCGGTGGAAAGTCGTCGCCTCCATAGCTTGTCACGCTAGAGAGCTGGAGTGATTCTTGGCTTCTATCTTCCTTTGACGATAAAGAACAAAGAGGTGACTTAGACCTCTTTGAGTCGATTGAGTGTGATAAGTAAGAGTCGTTGTGGCGTTCACAGCTATTCAAGGAACTAGACCTGGACCGCGGCGGCGTGTCGTATGGCGGCAACGGTGGCAGAGGATCCAGAATGTCATGAATGCTTTGTTCCCTACTAACTATAATCGGTGGCGGTGGCCGTCTCTTACTATAGGTTGCCCGCCTCTTAGGAAGTATATTGCTGTCATTCCGTCCCGTCCTTTGATCCCATCTTTCGGTATCAACCGAAACCCCATCCTCAAATTCATCTTGGACTCGCCTAGGAGATATGAGCCTTCGAATGCTAACGCCTGATCTGGATAGCATCGTGTGTGGAGGCAGACGCAAGGGAAATCAGACAAGTAGAAGGAAACCAGCATACCAGCATCTGGGGGAGAGGACTCGACATATATTGAGGTGGGATCTACGTTTGGTGGGTGACACAAGGCTCTGCAACCAAGGAAAAGGGCCAGCTGCATGCTACATATGCTACATATGCTACATATGCTACATAGGTAGGTAGTGATGATTACTTGAGAGCGTCTTGTCATTCGGCGCTATGCAGTGGCACATGTACTTAGGTAGTATACATGAGAAAGGAAGGCATCTTGACGGAATGCGGCGGACGACCCTGGTCACTTAGCTTCTCCGCTGCGTATCTCACTTAGAGTACTCTTGTACGGCGTACGCGAGTGTGGCTCTGTGTGTGAAGGAGGCCCTGCCAGCCTGCGGAGCGGGAAACAATGGGGGTCCTGCAGAAAAGAGACAAGCCTGGGCAGCCCAGTTTGGAGCAAGGAGGGACATTCAACAGGGACATCGTTATTTTTATCAATCATTGGTCCGCCCGGGAATTACTTGTTGCGCCATTCATGTTTCTGTACGGGCTTTTAGTCCCTGCTCGACTGCTCGATACGGATCGGCCGGGATATTGGTGACGATACGTACCCCGTGAGCCGATCTGGATCATGGCAGCAGGGAGCTAACGAGCTAACGACTGCCCATGCTGCCATGACACGCCAGTCGAACATCAAAGTAGAAGTCCAACTGCCATGTCAGGCATGCTGTCGTGAGGTTACATCCCTACGGGGGAAGTGGATCGAATACTGTCGTAAAACGGACAAGATAGGCATATTTTGAAATGATGGCTATTATGCCTCGCTATGTGTGTATTTTGCTAGGTTAGTAGGTTATTAGTGTAGTTCACCTAGCGGACAATATGCGGTGTTTCCTGCCCAGGGTCCCAGGGTTCATCCCACTGGCGATCATCTGAATTGCATGTGCGCCTATGTCGCAGTAATACGTGACCGAACAGCAGGACACCAAAGTGTTGCCTATATAAGATGGCGATAGTGGAAATGGACCGCGATACTCAATGGGCTACCGAACTACCTACTACAGAGTAGCTGAGTAGGTACGATATCTCCGTTGTATAAAAACCAACGGGAGGTCGGTATCGGATCCTGGTGTACCTAAAGGTTAGGTATATTCAGCACCGCCCACATTGGGAACTTCCCATTTGAGGGGTAAATGGTGACATGAGTTGGAGCGTTGGAGCGTTAGCAGAGTTGAGATACGGTACGGACCAGGGGACGAAACCCTCTAACTGATGTAGAAAGGTAGAATGGGATGCTACGTAAGATAGGTTAGGTAGGTATGTAGCCAAGGAATCGAATGTCCCCCTTGAACAATACCTACACTCTATTAGGTACCTAATAGAGACATTCGACTCGCGCAATCTTCCCGAATTCATAAATCGCATCCGCTATGGGAAGCCACCTAATAAATTGACAACGGCACTCCTACCAATGCCGAGTCTTCAAAATATTTCAGCCAGGCCCGGGAACAGGCAGACGGATCGGCCTAAACCAATTGAATTAAGAGACCCAAGAAATAAAGGGCTACACAAAGTCCGAGTAGAGGGTTAAAGAGAATTAGGGTCGTAGGTCGTACGAAAATCACCTGGGTGTAACGTATCGAAAAAGCGGAAACAATTGACAATTTTGGTTGAGAGACGAAAGGGCAGATGAGATGCATCTGAAGCATAGGATGGACGGTAGAAACTTGGGATGTGCAGCTAGTGTAGGTTACCAGGTAGGTTTTTTTTTTCTTTTCTTTTTTTACAAGGGTTAAAAGTTGAAGGGTACAGAAAGGAACTCATTCCCTCAAGTTTAACAGTTTAGCGTGAACCTTTTCCTGCCTTTTCAGTACCTAACATTAGGTAGGCAATCAAGGTATACTGCAGCTAGTAACTGCAGTAATAATGGGGTTCCCCACCTTTTGTTTTACAATATAATTACCTACAGTTAATGAGATCGGGAAGCCAAGGCCCATCATCTATCACAGGTACCTATGCAATGTACAAACAGCCCTACCTTTCCGCCGCCCACCTACGTAGCGCATTGATGTAATACACCTACATCTATACCTTAGGTTAGGTACATAGTGGTAGTTACACAAAACATAACCTACAGTAAGCACATAGCACGAGACAACCACCTCCGTCCGCCTTTTCGTATAAGAATAAGAATACCTGATACTTGAGACGATAGAAGGCGGATGTATGTAGGGGGAGAGAGAGAGCCAGTTTCGAGCAGCATCTCAACTAAACATAATTCGTCTGTTCGGTATTCGATACCCGATACAGGGGTTTTCCATGCGGCAATCCGTTCGCTGCAGACTTTGCAGAGCCACCACCATTTTTAAATATACATACCTACATAGGTACATAGGTACATGTAGAAAAAAGTACATTGCCTATACGCGAAATGGATATCCTCGATTTTCGGTAAGTCATCACACATCCGCTCACTTCCCATTCCCATGACTCCCAACAGCATCAGTCAAACGCGCATCGCCCATCGCCCATCGCCCATCACACGCACATAAGTTAAAGTGGCGCATCGTAACGGGCCGCCTTATGCTATGTACTAACCTATGCTGCCTGTTTCCGCTACCGTCGACTCGATGCGAACGACGACACCTGAGTCTTAAGTGATAGGTATATAAGCGAGCGCCAAGGGGAGCTGACGAACGTGGGGGCCGGACAATGCGATAGGGTCTCTGCCCAGCTAGCCGTGGTTGTGGCAGACGCGGCCGTGCGAATTAAGGCCGTAGGTTAGTCTATCCGTTTGCCGAGGCCGATGCAGGATACCGATACGATCCCAGAAGCAAGAGCAGAGCAGCGCAGAGCAGCGCAGCGCAATGCGCACAGGTACTACCCCACAATCGCTGAATCGTCGACAAATCTTTAACCAGCGCCTATCGCAGCATGTATGTATGTACCTAGGTAGGTATGTACCTACAAAATCCTGTTGGATGCGTAACATGATTAACGATCTTTTCCTTTTCTTTCCCTCCCCAACCCATACGACCAGACCAATTCCGTTTGCGCCGGATACAACAGAAGGGATACGGCAGATACACTATCGATGGAGTCATGTAAAAAGATTCCAAAGCTCAGCAGCTCAGCAGCGCATCTCACTAATCAATAATCGTCCACTAATTCGTACGGTTGCGTCTATGTACGTCTGTAAGCTGATTAAACACCGCCCTCCAGATTAGGTCATAGGGTGCGGCGCTTAGGTTCAAGCCGCCTTACCTCATATTTATGGCCCTAGGTACTTACCTAGGTACGTATTTGGATCTTTTTAACCTAGTGGCTTACATAGTATCCGATGACACAGGCAGAGTCATATTCTGTATACGTCGTAGCCAATAGTCAATTCTTCGTATCCAAATTAGTACCAACACGTTTCTATATTCCAATATTATAATCACGACTTCATACTAATATTTGGCTATTATCTAGTTGCGGTGAAGAAGACTAGTTTGACATGGCTTAGCGGTCCGAATGTTAGTACGGTGGATATTGATATAAATACCAGCAGCAACTGAACTAACAAAGGTCCTAAGCCCCTTAGCTCCGGGAAGTCTTAGACAAGATTACCTAATTTAAGGCTTCAATCTCAATACTAGCTGTGTTTATTTATTAGTCTGCAAGAAAAAACACGCTACCTACCTTTTTGAGATAAGGAGTTGTTATTTAAATGCTAGTTATAGCCTACCTAGGTTAGGTTAGCTAGCTATTCATTCCATAACAATAACTCATCTCATCTCATCTCATCTCATCTCATCTCATCTCATCTCATCTCATCTCATCTCATCTCATCTCATCTCATCTCATCTCATCTCATCCGCTCCAACGCAAACCCAAACGAGCCTACATAAACGAAACGAAACAAAATACCTAAGACAAGATGAAAACCACCAATTTACCATAATCCGCTGCTGAAAACATATCAATCACCGTAAGCCTTAACGCTGAAGCAATAGCTCTAATCCCAGAATCAGCCTCCTTCCCCAAATAGGTAAATCCGTACCATCGTTACCAAGCCCAACCCGCAGCACAGCAGCAAGTGTTGAAGCGTCTATTCGGCCTCGTGCGGCGCATCTACCTCCTCGGGCGGCGCTTCTACCCCCTCGGGCGGCGCATCTACCCTCTCGGGCGGCACTTCTACCTTTTCCGGCAGCGGGTTGAACACCTTGCTATACGCCATGAATTTCGTTCTATCCGTCGTTGTCGCAGTCACGCGGAACATGTATTTTCTAGGCTGGCGCCGTGGGATCTTGATGACCCTGGAGATATACTCGAGCGGTCTGTCCGTCGGTTTCTTGATCGTGAGGGAGTTCCTGCTGACTGTTGTGTCGTCTGCTTCGGTTACGCATATGTCGATCTGGGATCCGATTTCGTGGGCGAGGCGTTCGCCAAGTTTGATGGTGATATGGAAGTACCCAAGGTTGGCCATGGGGAGAGCTTGTATGCTCATGGCATTCATGGTGACGGATCGCTTGTAGTAAGTATCCTTGATAATTGTATCAATAATAGACAACAGATGGATCTGTAGGTATTTGGGTTGTAGACTACTTCGTGTGTTTTTTTTTTTAACGAGTGAGGAACAAAATGGTAAAACTACGATTCCAACTTAATATACGTCCCTACATGAGTTTCTGCTACGATACGCGGAAGTTGCATCTCGACACTCAGTAGCATGAGCTTTGGCTTTTTCAGATAACCTAGGGAACTACTATGCTTGCGTCGCTGTATGATGATTTCCTCCTCGAGCCTTCAGCTACAAACCTAAGAAGCTACCACGATAAAGACCACTAGATATTGTCAACCTTAAGCACATGTTCCTACTGCTTTAGGATACACGTACATATACGATCATATAATATTCAAATTGCTGGAAAGTCCTTGCGTCATAACATTAGCATCGACCCTGGAGTCGATGTAAACGTATCTAACTAGGTAGCTACTATGTAAGTTATCCAATATATCATATCATTTTAAAGAACACTACTTCTGGACTGAGCTACGACTTCACCGATGATGCTTGTGCGTTTTTGACGTCATCAGAAAATTAACTAGATCTACTCATCTACCAAGTAAATCGACGTGATATTTATTCATTTCAACCTCCCTAACGTGGTAATTCCGTAGACTATTCTAACCAATATACTCGAGACGAAATAAGCAATAATTAACATTAACTAGCCCTACGGATTACATATATACAATATCAGCCCTGTGATCGTGATAGATTAATGTAACATAAGATACCTAATTAACTACCTAGGCGGCTAGCTATGTAGGTAGCTCCTAGCAAAATCCCCCGTGTAATGCAGTACCTACGCATGTTGACGCCATGTTCCTGCTTTGGGGAGACTCCTGCTCTATGTAATATCTTCAGGATATAGGAAATAGGACACAGGACACAGGGGTGGCTTACGTGTTCACCATCCGTCCTCGCGGTAACTTTCTGCTCGCTTTCGCCTGCGCGGTGCGAGATAGGTTGCATTTGACCCCCAGTCTGACCGATCCCAGATACCTGAAACGAAACGGTTTACCTGCAGCGCTGAGGTCCGGAAGGCTTGCCTGGGTCTTCTGACGGTCTTGATTTTCCGCCAATTAAGGATCAATCAATCAGTCAATCAGTCAATCAATCAATCAATCAATCGACGATCTGGGGTCACAATATGTAGGTATGCTAATCCTCCTTACCCCGTACGGTCACGGCAGCCAAACTATCCGAACTTCAAGATACGTGAATCGAGCCTCGGCGCGAAGGAAGACGTGTATGTGTATATCGTATGTGGAATCTAAAGGTCTAAAAGCCTCAAGTGTCGTCTCAGCCTCAAAAAGTCTAGTTCATGGCTGGTCTCGTCAATAATAATATACAAATAGATTTAGAGAGTGTCTAGAACGAGCATCGAGCATCCTATCTCATTTGGAACTAGTGCGGATCTGGTTGTTGACCGTATATAGCTACATTAGTTAAAATCCTTCTATTACGCGGGACGTTGAGGCTCGAAAGAAGGACTTTTTGACGATTAAGGTCATCTCTCGGGCGCCACCCCCTTATTAGTTAAGTATGTAAGGAGAATACCGTGGTGTGTACTTTTGTCGATGAGTGGATGGGTGGATGGGTGGATTTCTTGTTAGTGTGAAGGATGCTGGTTGTAGAAACGTGATATGCCGACAAATACCGCATCACTTGCATCAGATGGAGCTTACAAGATCATGCCTAGGTATAACTACCATAAATCAGTGACCAAGGTATTACCCCCCGGTCCCCCGCACTGTGCTTTGCAGGCTGACGACTTACATACCTAGCATGTAAGGTGAGGCAAGGCAAGGTAAGGTAAGGTATGTAAGATATGTATGTATTTACGATCGTGAAGCTTCTCCCAAAACATGCTAGAGTAGACGAGATGGAGCGACTTGTTTATGGGCTTAGCCTCATAAGATGTGAAGAACCACGCGAAGATGAGACAGGTCCTGCATTTTCGCTACCAAGATGACAAGCTACAAACCCCTGGATGAGCAGGGAAGCCACGTTGATTCCAAGGTATGAGATATTCACCAAATCGTGGTTCTAAAGGATCACCAAGTCTCCAATACATATGCACAGGCGCACATACCTGCCTAATTGGACCGGCAGCAATCTGCATAGTATGGATCCCATACCAACGTTTGAATAGAGTTATTTTAGAGTTGTCCGCGTCTATCCAGCCAGCCAGTCTATCAGTTTTTCTGTCTCTACTCTACACTATCCCACCGCGGTTCTTCCCCTCCCCATCTACACGAAATTACCCCTGCAGCAAATCCTGCCAAGCAAGCCAGCCAACCCCAGACACCCTGTCCTGTCCTGTCCTATCCTATCCACGCCAGCCTTTGCCCAATTAACATGAGAACAAGGCAAGAAAGCAAAAGAAAAAAAAAAAAAGGAAAAAAATCCAATGAAAACGGGGCGTGAGCATTTCTGCGGCGAGGTTTCAAGATCGTCATACAAACTCGACGCTCAGGATCAAATATGAACTCAAAACGGTAGGTACCGTATTCACTCGTCATCTTCTACCTGCCCTGGCTGGACTAAAGAAGAAGAAGAAGAAGAAGCAGCCCCATCCCATCCTATTTGTTCCATAGCTCGCGATGAGAAATAAAATTTTTGAGAAGAAAAAAACTTCTAAACTGATCCCCCGTGTTGGGAATTTTTTTTTTTTTTTTTTTTAATTTCAGTACTTCAATTGAGAGTGAGACCGCGCCTCGTCTCACTTGGCACTTGGCCTGAAGAGTAAAGATTGTATATACAGGTTAAGGTACCTAGGTAGGTAGGCACTTGTTGAGAAAAAAAAAAAGAAGGAGAGAATATTCCGAATATCCCAAATAGACGAATTCGTCGTCACAAAAGAGAACGACGTCAGCGTCCGGCTTTCTCAGATCAAGATGAGATATGTATGCCGCCCCAGCGCGTGTCTTTTTACGTACGTGCATGGTATGTATGTATGTGCTCGGCCGTACCAGAGCGATGAGTCTCGTGGCTCGCGCTTCGGCTTGTGCCCCGCCGATGAACCGCCACACCCATGGCGCCGACGGGATCGGGGTCCGAAGAGGGGAAATAACAGTTGAGGTGATGGTTCGGCATGGCGCGGTGGAGTTGGGAGTCGGTATGTAAGGGAAGAAGGAATGAATGAATGGATAAATGGATGGGTAAGGTAATGTGATATAACCAGCCCGAGACGAGGTCTATAGGATTTCGTTGGCCTTCTTCATCTGTCGAGGTGTAGCGGTCTTTAGGAACGAGTCTTTAGCATGCCGCGGTATGTACGGCGATCGAGTTGGAGGTTTAGCAGGTGTGCTTGAAGCAGTGGCCTTCTGCTCCGAAGGTTCGTTTTGCTGCCTCCTAGGTGTAGGCGAGTGGCCCCCAGTGCTTGAGAAGACAATTCCGCCGCAGATGCTGCTGCTGCTACGTTCCTTTGTCGTCTCGCTAGGCCTACTCATGATAACCCGAATGTATATATATATCTAGGAGATGCCGGTCTGCCTATCTGCCTGGTGGTATAATTTTACAACAACCCGATCCTGTCAAGTTCTTATAAGAAAGACCCTTACTCTTGATGGTAGGGTAAACAAATGTCCGTATGAGGTTATGGAATGCGGCAATGATGAGACGAGACGAGATGAGATGGGATGAGGAAATTTAACACCAATTGCTCAAAATAGTTACTCTGAGAGGTAAAAGCTATGCGTATCGAACCGGACTGGTATCTGTCTATCCTCTAATACCAGCTATATCCCAGCTCTTACCGGTGTCTCGGCCGCCGGATGTTCGTCCTGCTGTGTCTCACCGACCGACCGAATCTATTGAATACCTAGGAACCAGCACTACTAACTACGGCCTTATGGGAGACCCTGGTTACATTACTTGGCAATAGTGTAGAGTTCTCGTATGTTAGGTATGCTATTTATAATTAACGGCGACTAGATGTGCCACCAGCTCTCTCTACTATCTAGTGCTTTTCACCACGAAGCAGCTTCTGGTGACACGCTCTAATGTCTCAAGCCGGAGCATCAAGTTGTGTCCCACCACGTAATTCTAGACCACCCCCAAGAGTAAACCCGCATGCTTTCTCTGCCTGATGATGCCTTACGAAATGTAGACGAATGCTCGTATCATATATCCACGATTCTACTAGCATATAGGAAAGAAGATTGCGGCGGTCGGTTGGTATGACCCAAGCGGGTATGTAGAATTATCGAATTTGTTTGGAGGATCGTAGTCGATGTTTCAATTCAAAGCCTACCTAGTGCTAGTATTATAAATATTGCGAAGCTATCTTGACGGCACGGCCCGTCGGGATCACTGCATATATCTTGCCAGTCCCCGAGGGTTGGGTTTCGGTGCATAAATGTCATGCCCCAACCCGTATCTCGTTGGTCTTCTGCTTCTCAACACCCCCATATTCTAGTCTAGTAACCCCCCACATGAACCAGAATGATATCAAGCATATGTCTTGTCTTCCCTACTACAACTAGAGGAGGACGGCTTCTACTATATACCAAGGGTTTCACCATAGTTCTAGAAGATATGGCCGAATCGCGCTGCTATATAGGTACGTTAGTAACTGAACGATGCGGAGATGCTGGTGAAACGATGGCAATATATTAGTTTAGGTGAAAAGTGTGTTCACTCGGCTTTTTAGGATTCGACATATATGGTTTAAGAAATTCGCGGACGGTAAATCAGCCGTGTTCTAGCACGCATATCTAGGTAGACACCCATCAACATGTTCGATTGGTATATTCTTTCCCCTAAACCGTTTGTCCAGAAAACAGTAAATAATATATGTGTCCACCATGTTTCAATACAGAAGGGCCATGTGATGATGAAGAATTCGTTGATATCTTATGAGTGTGCAAACTATCTAAGATAGCTTACACTTAAACACCTGCAACGCGGCAATAGCGTGAGAGACGACTAGAGAGCCGGGGCATAGCCAATATATCGCCTAACATAAGACAAGAGAAATAGAGCCATACTAGAGTTATGGCCAATATCTTCTACCAAGAACTCAAACACATCCTTAGTCTACGGCACGAATTTCTAGACGTGACTTAAAATGAGTGCCGTGGCCGTCATTACTGTTGATGATCAGTAGACACAGTAACGGGTAGTTAGCCATGAACTATTTTGAGTACCCTGATGATGAAGCATGAATGAGAACATACGTTATTTTTACATAGTTGTAACTCATCGGGTCTCTGTTCATAACTACTAGATTCTAGCACAAGTTTGTCACGTCCTGTATAAAGGAAATAGTGCTGAAATGAACTATCAATTTTAGGTGTGGGCTCTAGATGGCAACGTAATATATTAGAGAGACGGATGTGAAACCTGGAAGCAACCGGATAGTTTGGACTCCCGACTAACAAGCGGCTATAACACCCGGAACCACATATATAAGCTCGGCGGGCGTCTCGCTAGACGAGAGCGGATTGTTGGTTGTCTTCCTCCTCACTCCCGCTTTCCTCATCTTCTTGCGTAACATAAGGAACGAACCGAAAGTCAAGGAAGCTGACCGAACCGCCCTCGACCTCGACCATAAACTGCAAGCTAAGAACGCCTTGACCATCCCCGCGGAAACTGACTTTATTCGCTATGCGCATGGCCTCGCTTGCCGACTTGACAAAGTCGAATTTGAAACTTTGCACCCAACGGTCGTGTACGGAAAAGGTCTCGAGGAGGTCACGGCTGCTTGAGAACTCGACACTAGCACTACCAAGACCCCCGTTGCTCGATAGGCTTAGGTATGGGGCATTTGGTGAGGCGGCAATGGTGATACGAATTGGAGCCATGGGAGCTAACTCGGAAAGAGCATCAAGAAGCCATCGAGCTTGCATGATAATCTTAAAGGATATATCCTCCCGATCAAAAGGGATATTATCATGTGATTCAGGGGTGTAGGTGACCATATTACACTGAGTCTTGACCCCAGTCTCCTCCAGGATGATGCTTAGCGGGGACCCGTCTTCTTCGTACATGATACAACATGTTCCCGGCATACCTAGAGTCTGGTGATTAAAGGCGTCTGGTCGGTAGTTACGTAGATTGCTACGATATGTTTCCGATTCCGCCTTGGCCGCTCGGGCTGCTACGTCCGTAGCCCCAAAGATCTGTAAGGCTTCTAGCAAAGCGGCTAGATTCATTTGAAATTTTGGTAGGTCGCCTCCTTCATCTGGTAAGTTCAGAGTGTAAGACGTAAAGAGAGCTTTATCTAAGAATGCTACGCCTGGAGATATCGTTAGACTTTTTTCGACATATACGATGTTAGCCGCTTACCTTGCATCACGTGTGAATGATCTGCGGCAAAGCGGATGCCATCTTGAGTTATTTCCACTTGTACCTTGGCTGTGAAGCTGATACATTTTAAAAGTTGATATATTTGCCTCGTGGAACTGGCCACTGCTCGAAATAGTGGTAGTTGCGGAGGAACAGATCCAGCGGATGAGGCCATATTGAAGGATATGATCTTCCTTAGTTCGAAACTTTTTTCGATATTATCTTAGAAGATAATAGCAACTTCGCTAGCAGCAATAGTTGCCGATCACGTTCATATAAGGTGTTTGTAGCCCAAAGAATATTTTCGTAAACCTCAATTCATCTACGGTACAGACCAGCGCTCTCCTGGGCCTGCGGTACCCTTCTCGGGGTATCTTCTAGACGTAAACTCCAACCGCGCAGAACATGTACACCGTGCCAAATCTGCAAACATGTTAGGAGGCCTGGAGATATGCAGCGAGGGGAATCGTAGGAAGAAACGTACGCGACGGCCAGCGAGGCCGGGACTCCGAAGAGGGGGAGGTTGACGAGAGACCGGTCTAGAGCAATGAATTAGTTATTCGTAAAGATCAATTGACAACCATAGTTATAATTGTAGTACTCACTCAATGCGAATGCGCCAGTCAGAGTAAGACCGAGGAGGAGTAGAACGAATCCCACTAGAAATTGACTACCCTTTCCAACTGTAGGAAGAAATGGACTGCCTGGTGCAGTTTGCCAGATCTCATGCAGTGAAGAATCCATGAATAGTGATGACGACGCTCTGTAAGAATTTTCTTGACGAAATCGGGTGTTGCGGACTGAATTGGCTGGTAGTATTTCTAGGCGGGGAACGGCGGAGAAAGGATCGTGACTATTTCACGGTGTCATATCAAAAGTACAACTGAGTTTATAAAAGTATAAGTTCAAATTATAAGATGTACGATTTAAATTCGACGTGTTTGAATTTGGAAGCAGCAAAGCTCCTCCCCCTTGTCGTCTTCTCATTGGACTTCCATTGGATAAATGCAAGAGCTATAGACCCATCTTTCTGCAACAAACGTAATCAACAGGTGGCCTGTCTTTTTACGGCTTAGTGTAAACCTTACTAACTCCCCTCAGCTCCTCTTTCTCTAATCTGTAATTGATAGCCAATAAGAATATCTCTTACCTTTCCCCATGTCCTTTTTTTAGTACCAGATCCATACTTTTTATTCCACTTCTTACATCGTCCAACAACGCCTCCGCGCTCCGCGTCAGATTGCCGATGCTTCCCCATACATACATTAGGTACGGTTATCAACTACAACCTACGACGTGCGACTCGAGCGCATTTCGTACTAGCATTTCCGCCCTTATTACATCACTTTTACTTTGCTATTATCATAGCTACGATGGTTAAGGAAGACCGTGAGTTTCCTATCACCGATATAAATGTGCTACTGTGTCTAACGTAGCTCTTTCGCGACAGATGTTAAGCGCAAGGCCAGTGACGAGCCAACGTCACCTATCGCCGCCAAGAGGGCGAAGCACGACGACTCGACAGAACCAGAGAAGAAGCCTATCATTAAGCCGATACCCTTCCCAGAGAAGGTAAGCATCCATATTATACCTACCTCCGCGCCGTAGTGATTCGCATGCTGTCAACCATCCGATAGCCTCCATAGGAGATAAGCCATCCCATTACCTCTGCGCAAGGGTTCCCAACGCGACCATACACATAACCATACACATATGTAGAAAACGCAAAGTACTAATACCATATCTCAGCCCGCTGTCATCGAAGAACGAAACGGCGAGATCGAATTCCGCGTAGTCAACAACGATAACGAGCGCGAATCCCTTATCATCCTCACAGGTCTGAAATGTATATTCCAAAAGCAGTTGCCTAAAATGCCCAAAGATTACATTGCGCGCCTTGTCTACGACCGAACCCATCTCTCTATTGCTATCGTAAAAAAGCCTCTAGAAGTCGTCGGCGGAATCACGTACCGGCCCTTCAAGGGTCGCCAGTTTGCAGAAATTGTTTTCTGTGCTATTAGTAGCGACCAGCAGGTCAAGGGTTACGGTGCACATCTAATGTCACATCTGAAAGACTACGTCAAGGCGACTAGCGATGTAATGCACTTCCTCACTTATGCAGATAATTATGCCATAGGATACTTCAAGAAGCAAGGCTTCACTAAAGAAATCACCCTGCCGAGATCCGTGTGGATGGGCTATATCAAGGACTACGAGGGCGGCACGATAATGCAGTGCTCTATGCTCCCGCGTGTCCGGTACCTTGAGATGGGTCGCATGCTACTTAAACAGAAAGAATGCGTTCTGGCTAAGATCCGTGCGTTCTCTAAGTCGCATATAATCCATCAACCACCTAAGCAGTGGAAGAACGGCGTCACCCCCATCGACCCCCTCTCGATCGAGGCAATCCGAGCTTCGGGATGGTCTCCTGACATGGATGAGTTGGCGCGACAGCCACGTCACGGCCCGAATTACAACCAGCTCCTCCATCTGCTCAACGACCTACAGAACCATCAGTCGGCGTGGCCGTTCCTCAACCCTGTCAATAAGGATGACGTTGCAGATTACTACGACGTGATCAAGGAGCCGATGGATCTCAGTACGATGGAGACTAAGCTAGAAGCGGACCAGTACAGCACTCCGGAAGAGTTCGTCAAAGATGCCAAGCTCATCTTCGACAACTGCCGCAAATACAACAACGAGTCGACGCCGTACGCCAAGTCCGCCAACAAGCTTGAAAAGTTTATGTGGGCCCAGATAAAAGCCATCCCCGAGTGGTCGCACCTCGAACCATAGGTTAGTAACATGGAAAGATCGTTCACGGAACACCTGCGGCTCTTAGATAACCGCGGTAGAGCGCTGGCTAGGGCACAAATGAAGAAGGATTTCGAGGTCGTCCCCGAGTTTTTGGAGAAGGGCGTGTTGACTAGACGCGCCGCTAGTAAGAAAAGGCAGGCTAGAGAAACCGAGTCGGATCGGAGCATTGCCATTCGCACTAAGAAAGAAGATACCTTGGGTTATGACGGTACCTCTAAGGTCGGTGCTGTTATTGATAGCGCCCCGGAGCCACCAGTCCAGCCGGTAGTAAAGACGGAAGACCGCGATGCCAACGGTACCCGGACCCGTCCCCACGCTTCCCAGCTAGCATATAGATCTGCGTCCCGGCGAAACCGTTAACGAGTTCGTGGAGACACGCGTAGCAGCACGCAAGCCAGCCGAGATAAGAACGTCGGTCGGCGCGTTTCTCTTTTTGCTCGTCTTCCATTCCCTATTGTTATCGTTGTCTCGGGGAAACGTTTCAAGGACCCCTTGGAGGAAAGGGTTTTGCGGTTTTGCAAGTGGGCGCGAGAGTAAGAGATATAACGTAAATCGAGTTTAGACGGGAAGTGCAAGTAGAAGAGGAGGGGAGGGGAGGTAAGTTGTAGGATACGGTTTTTGTGTGAGGAGGAGGAGGAGGTGGATTTTGGTCGGTTGGGGAGGGCGAAAAATACTCGTGTTTGGAGCATGTTTAGTTGGTTCGTGCGGAATAACTACCACTGTCACACTATGACACTACGATGCGATGCGTTGAATCAGGATGATCACAAATGTAACTTCTGTTGGCATATATTTCGCTTTGCTTTTTCCTTTTCGGTGCGTGTATGCGTGATACGGTATGAAGCTCAAGCAATACCTTATAGGAGCCGAATGGCTTGTGCGCCAGTCTTTACAGTGCTTCCCCCCCTATTTGCAATGACTTTATACTACGCTTCTCGACAACTACGCAGATTCGAATCCAAACTCAATAGCACGTTTCTCATCACAACATCGCAAAATAAAATCTCCTTAGGAGTGAAAGTCATTTTCTTGTAACCTAGCTATAAGCAGATATCCGGATGCAAGGCGAACGACTCGACCTCGACCGAGCACGTACATGAATAAATAACCCATCGCAGCAAACCAGATCCAGACCTAGCCTCCCTAGCCTCCCTGCTCACAAAATCAAATCTGCGAATGCAATCCGCAACTCCCCGTATGTATAAGCCATCCCCCTCCCTATATAATAAGTGAACCTATGACACCCCTTGTTATCTGCCCTGATGCGCCCCCCCCTCGGACGGCTGGTATTTATTGACACATAGATGCCTCGGAGCAGTAGGATGCTCGAGGTCGAAACTAGAAAGTTGATGCTGAGATACTTCTGGTTACAGTCGGACTAAGTCCTCTGATATTTACCACTGAGTTCAGAAGGAGACTGGAAGAAAGAGCACTGGCACTCAAGACTTCCGCTTCGTTTATCAGGAGTATTAGAGGTGGACTGTATGGTAGAGTGCCTATGCCAGACTTTCGTTCGTAAACCTCGAGAATTTTGTTGCTGAGGGCGACCGATTCCTATTGCTCGGCCGGTACGCAATCCTGGAGCATCCACCTCCTTTTCCATGTGTCTCTTTCCAGCCGTCTTAAGTCACAGGTAATCCCAAATCTCATCAATATGTTCTGGAAAATTTTCGTTGTTTGGTATACACTTTTATTAAGTGGTCCTAAAAGCAAGTGACAGCCATCTAGGCCGTCCATAAAGCATTGCGTACCGAATCAAGATTGCCAGTGCCCACGTATTAAGGGCACATTAAAAGCTGAAAGAATCTAGTTGAAGGGGTATCGAATAATTTTGTACTTCTTTCCACCGTTACCACCTCGAATACCGGTGCTATGGTCTCAGTGATGACTTCTTAAGGAAGAGTAATATAGGTCTGGGTGCCTGACTGGGTTGTTCGCTGCAGACGAACTTCTGAGGTGGCGACACTAGCTTCGCTAGCCGGGAGCCGCAGACCTGAATAGTTGCGGCGCAAATTCCGTCTATTACCGGAGAGGTAGCTTTGCAAGGAACGTACAGAAGAACGCTCTTCAGAAGTAGAGGTATTGTCTTGATTCGGTGTTTCATTGTCTAAGGCATATCGGAGGACCGAATGGAGGAAGTCTGGGATCTCCTGCCAACGACCAGCTCGTGCTGCACTTAGCATCCCCGGTGGAAAGAGTGCTTGCGGTATGAGAGCCACATTGGATTCTCGAACCATCTGCTCCGTGAGGAAGGGAAATTCGCCGGCCTCGATTGCATTCTTCAACCACTGTTCCCACTCCTCATCTAGTGGCAGCGAGGTATCGCCGGCCTCGTGGCGTGCTGCTCTTTCGCGGAGTTGCTCGTTCAGAGGGATTCCGACGCTAGTTAGTTCACCATCACTGTCCTCTTCTTCGTCTTCGTCTTCTTCCTGTTCGCCATCCACGTCCTCCTCGTCTGGCGTCGCCGCGGCCTGCGATACGGTCGCGGCCTGCGTTGCGCGTGCTGTTTGTGGCCTGTCTTCAGGCTCAACCCACTCCGCAATATCGTCAAACGCAGTATCTTTAATGACGATCCCGGAATCACGCTCGAAGCGTTCCTTTGCCCACTTTGTACCTTCCCATTTTGTTAAGCTTGCGATTTCGGAGTCGGTCAGGCGCAGGGCATCAAACGCCCGAAATAGACGACGATGCCACGGCCAGCGGCTAAGTCGTATGCGATGGATACGATGAGTATAGTCTAGGCCAGGATACTTGGCTTCTTGAGTGTCAAGATGTCCATAGAAAGAATGGACTTCCGAGCGGACCTCCGGGATGATGCTGCGGTGAAGGAGAGTATGGAAGTTCTGGGGATCGCTGCTTCGGGGCTTTGGGAACATGCACTCGTAAACGAGTTCGTCGACTGGGCGGCCCTTCATGTTGACAGAATCGAGCTGGGATGTTGAAATGGTAGAGATTCGGAACGAGTTGATCTGCTCGTTAGGATTTACCTGTCAGGTAGTAATGCCGGAGACAAGGCGTCGGATAGATTGTGGTCCAACGTAATAGAAGAAGCTTAAGAAGCGGAACGATTGCACCGAGCTGTTGCCAACTCCGACGCTACCAATGGTAAGTTTCGTAACAGGGAACAGCGGAATAGGCAATAATATTGGAGTTTGGGTGTTGCTTAAAGGAGGGTTCAGTAACGTACGTATGTAGAAAATAGAAAGATTTAGGTAGTTGGTTGGGCCAACAAGAGTTATGTATGTGTGAGGTGGTGTGGTGTGGAGTGACTTTAGAGACAGACGAGGAGCCCAAGATGAGTGGGAAGAACGAGGGGAATCGTGTCCCAGAGAATGGTGTCAACTCAAGTCTACGCCGCCAACGACCGAGGGCAGAGAGATGAGGAAGCGTAAATAATTGTAAATGCTTAGATTCGTATAATGTCAAGATGTTGAACCTTGAGGTAAAAGACGGATAAAGGTTTCTGACTCAACTTGGGGAGGGAGAAAAAGTGACCAAGGTGACTGTGTGTATGGTAATAGTGGCTGTCCCGAGATATGATTCTGCGATTGTTACGGGAGTAGGGATATTTGCATGTGTCACAGGGTATTTCAGGTATTGCAGATATTGCAGGTACTAGTTGGGGCGATATTGGGTGGGTGTCTGGGTTGTGTAAGCCGGTAGGTGCATTATGTATGTACTATACATAGCAGGAGATAGGATGGGCCCTGGGATGGGCTGAAAGGAAATAGGAACACAAGGTACGATAGCCGAGTCCTAATTAGGATTGTGCACTAGTACCTTTTCCCACAAAGGGTACCTACCGTGTTATGAAAAACCAGACCACACAGGTTCACAGGAAAAATAAAAAAGGAAACAACCAATCAGATGCTACTTTGTGCATGCGTTGTTGCAAGGGGCTGCCGGTCCAGAAGGGCCATGTTTACAGGGATTCTCTATTGGCCCAAGTGTTGCCTTCTCATTGAAAGGTACCTAATATCTACCCACTATTCTGTAGTGAATTATATCTATCGTGATTGTATACGGTATGTACATACATATATGACTTATGCTCTTGCCCCCATTCTATCTGTGAATGTCTCGTTCCATCTGAAGTTGTCGTGGCCGTCCGTATTCACTTACAAAGCCCCGGGCCGTACCTTTAGGTGCCTATTTAGGTTAGATCAGCCAATAAAAGTATACACTACATACTTTATTTACACTACATATAATATATACTAGTGTACACGCACACATGCACTGCCTAGGTATGTGCATATGTATGTACGTAAGCATCCAATCACCCAAATGTAAATGTACATATACATACCGATGCAGATAAGTCCACGCAGTGCCTCCCTCGTTTTCTTACCTTGCCTTGCCTTCTCCTACATAAAACCCTATCATTTCCACGACCTTGCTTACCTACTTCGGCCGAGAGAGATCGGGGAAGAAGACTTTGAGCCGCAAAACTCACACTACCCATGATGACCAAGAAAGCTGACATCCTCTGAACGACCATATCCAACAAAATATGCATGCATTAATTCCTTCGTACTGCCTGAGATGAATCGAGCGAACCTGCGAACTCTGCATTACCTGGGTATAGACATTGCATATGTAGATTGCTTTATATACATAAGGTAGCATGTTGCATATTATAGTACCACAGTCTCCTACCCGATGCGACGGACCCTGAATTCTCGTTCCCCGCGCCCGCTCCGATTAACCCCTCCGTCTACATCCATGCGTCCGAAGTACCACATTTAAAGCTTCCAGATTGCCAGATTAATGAAGTCTCCTCTCATTGCTACCACTATGTACGTTAGGGCACACGCAAGCCTAGGCGCCTAACAGTCCTTATCTCTGCTAAACGCCGATTCTTTTTCTTTCTTATCTACCTATTAATACCAGGTATGTAACAGCATTCAATTGGCAAGAATTTAAAATGTTAGGTGAGAACAAATTGAGGTCTTGCACAATTCTTACGGTGCCGAATGTAGGTACCCGCAAATAAGGGAGGGTTGACAAAAGGAGGCATTACTTACTGTGCACAACTCTGAAGCCTAACCAAAATATACCGTGTTTTTCTTTCCTTCTTTTTTGAAACACGGTTTATTTATTAAAATGCTTTGGAAGAATGAGAAGGAAGCTACCCTAGCATGTCAGCGCCAGCGCCATTCCTACAAACTTCATTCCTTTCTTCCTTCCTTCCTTCCCTAGTTGTGGGTTAATAAGCTAGTGTATGTCATCATACAGACTAGGTACTAGTTATGCTTTATAATCTCAAGTATTTGCAACACTCAATTCTGTCTTTTGATCTAACAGATACCTAGCCTCAAAGATACATGATTCCTTACATGATTCCATATTATCCAAATCCAAGCAAAGACTGCCGACTGCCTTAGATCCTCCTATTCTAATCCATACAACACAATTGTTGATAAAGCTTCGTATAACTAGTTCATAGCATAACTAGACAATTCAGATCGGTTGCCCAGATTCTTCACGTATTGCTGCAAGAACTGCGGCCCGCACTTTATTGCCAGCCGCCTCAGCCCGCGACCGGCTCCAAACGGATGCCTCGGGGCGAAGGGCCGAGATCCATTTCGGATCAAATGGGCTGAGCGCCTTTCCGAGATCTTTCCATACCCATATATGGACCACGATCTTGTCCTTAACCAGGTCTATGTCCACGCAAGTATCAGTGCAACAAAACCGACAGCTGTGAGTATGGCTGCTAGGTCCATATATGCTGCGCCACTTGGTCCATTTCCTAACCGAGTCTCCTGAAGAGTTGCGCCACTTCGATACATATGACATGCCCGCTTTTATAAGTCCTCGCGTCTCTCGGAACTCATATTGTTGAAAGCGCTGCCGGTAGTGCGGGCAAGTCCTGAACGTCCAATCCTTCGGGGAATATGCCAGTATGGCATACTCGTCTCCGAACAGAAATTTCCGTTTCTTCGGTTCGATTGTAAATCGGATCACTTGCTGAATATAAAATGAGCCCTTGTACCAGTAAGGTTGAGCCCAGTACCGAAATTCCGGCCGCTTGTTCCCATCCCCGGCCACGATTCCGCGACACGCTAAGGCTTTGGTTCTTGCTCTTTGTATCTTGAGTAATGCTGCGGTCTGAACCCAATGGAGATGATAGTATGCCAGAGCATAGCGGATGGAAGGGTGAATAGGATCAAGCGGATCAGCAGTGGAGTGGTCCAGATGTAATGAAGACCATATCTGTTCGCCGTCCCGAGCCTTATCGTATCCCACCGCACCTTGCTTGTACGACTCAGTGAACCGCAGCACAAGGCCGAGGGGCTTCTTGTCAGATGGAATGCATTTGTTATACGCGATTAGTTGTTTATGTGGGTTATGGCAAGAGCACCCCTCGGTAGGCCCGAAGACGCAAGGAAAATTACCAGCCCAGCCCCGACAGCTCTCGAACTCGAACGGGAAATTCATGTAGCCCAGAAATAAATCCTTCTCGTCCTTCTCGTCGTCGCATACATCTTCGTGGTTAATCACAGCATACTGCCACTTACTGCGTAAAAACCTGAAAATCTTGAAGGGACTCTTCCGTTTCTTGGCCATCCTGGATGAACCTACTGATATGATGTTGATTTGAAAAGCGTAAGATAGTCGACGTGGAGTTACGATATTAATTTAATACAGCCAGCCAGTCATGCATATGGCTCTTGGGGGGAGAACGACATACAAGAGGAAACAGGAGGGGAGGGGGGGGGCAATTTAGGGGGTGTGGTAAATATATCCTCATAAAAGGTGATCAAATACCTTAAAGCTCCAGGTTTTACGCCCAAGCTCACATATATACGCTTAGTCTCAACTTTATATTTACTAGAACCCATATATTTCGTTCTGTATCGCAATGAAGCGTTTCTTAGACGTTTTACTAGAGTGCTCAAAGTGCCACAATGGTGAGAAGTTTGATAGAACAGAATGCCAAACCTATACCACCACTATATACCGACGCTCTGCGGCCTTATATATTGCTCGCGACGATGTTTTTGTTTCCGTTTAAGCGCCCGTTGGATATCTCTGCCCCCGCCCCTTAAGGCGTTGATACCTAGGTATGGGTTAAACGTTCAACCACTAGGCCACCATTTTACATCAGCATACCCAGCCGTAAAGTTAAAAAAGAATGTGGTAAGATAGAAGGAAATATATACTAAATCCCGCACGTTTTAACGAGAAGGCGGCCTTGACTTCTTTAGGTCGGCGTTGCTCCCCACGAAACCTTATAGGGGCGGTTCAAGCGTTCACTCCCCCCGTCAAAGCTAGAACTTCTTAGGGGGTTACGAAACTGAAGCGGCCTACGCTTTTATGGGCTAATAGGCTTTGGATATATCGTGTTATCAAAACTCTTAGCTTTGATCTTAGGTTCGATCACCTTCGAATTTACCTATTGTTACCTAGCAGTTACGGATGGAACGACGACGCTTCGGGATTATATCAAACCTCTCATGTTTACCGTTTTACATGGGGACTCGAGTATTATATAGCCCGACTTGATAGATACGGCAATGAATTGGTTTACGGCTAAGGGTTATGAACTTATACAAGTTAGAGGTACACGACCATGGCACGGAGTATGCCTAGAGTACCATCTTCGAGAGAGACAAGGAAAGAATATATCTCTCCCTCAGAGGCCGTCAGCTTTCCCACTCTATTTACCATAGAACCATGTACTAGGGAGCCTTCAACGTTAGGTAGGTTCGGTAATTACGTCCTGAAATTATTTATTAAACTGAATCAGCCAAATAATTCTTTACCGTGCACACTCCCGTCGCCCACCAAGGTCCCGCCCAGTCAAACTCCACGCACAAACAATATGTACAAACTTAACTAAGCAAATTTTCACCACAAGACGCCCGGTTAGCTCAATCGGTAGAGCGTGAGACTCTTAATCTCAAGGTTGCGGGTAAGTTACTCTCGATCTGAGATTATTCACGCAATTATATACTAACATCATCTCAAGGTTCGACCCCCGCATCGGGCTCAATTCCTGATGTTTCCCTGTACTGGGAAAAGCAACACTTTCTTTTTTCTTTTTTACTTGCCCAGGTATTATTAGAAAAGGTCTTTTTTTTCTTCCTTCGAATACTCCCACGGTAGCCTCATAGTTACTTGATCGAATAATATCAATCAAGCCTCCTATGTAGAAACATACGGTTGAACCCGAATCATTCGATCTATCACGATATCTATCGTTCTCTATTCTACCTAGATGGATTAAGCGAGTGGCTCTTGAAGATTTTAGCACTAACTAAACTAACTAATGCAATACTACAATAAAAATGAAGAAAAATGAAGATGCGGCCACTCCGGAGCCCACTTTATTAGGTTTACCTCGAGACCGTTCACTTTTGAGGTTTGAAAAGGTACGAGGTACGTACCGGGCTTGAGAGCCTCACAGTCAGCTATCCCGTTAGGGCAATTCTTCGAATTCTCAATCCTGTACGACCAAGGACCCATCCCATTGGGAGAGCGTATGCAGCTAACGAGAAAAACCGGTACTTTGGGGCTTGCGGGTTTACGTATAAGATTTTTAAGTTTTAGGGGTCCAGGGGCAAGTCCGCAAATTAAAAACTTGCAACAAACCACCACTTCAAACCTCCAATTCCGTATCGGCCCTTCAATAACGGCACCCATTAACCCAAAATATGCTTCGCTGGTACGTAGGATGAATGTCACCTCGACATATTCCGTATATTAAAACGCCTTTCCGCTGAGCCGGTATATATATACTGATCGAGATGGTCCAGGTACCAACGAAAGCTCGCCTCGCGGCCGTTATTGACGCAGAGCGTCACGACCGCTGTGCTATTCGCCGTCGGCGATATCACAGCGCAGCAGGCCGTCGAGAAGAAGGGTCTTGACAAGCACGAGTTTGCCCGAACTGGTCGCATGTTCCTCTACGGTGGCGGTATGTTTTTATTCGCAATCTATCCCGTGTCAAAATACTCTTATTTTTCTCCAAGATACCTACAATAAAACTTCTCAACATTAATATCACATACACTATCTCACCTCACATCTCAATTCTTCACCAACGCATCTCTTACCCCACAATTACCCCCAACTGACCGCTCTCCCAATTCCCTCACATGTCCCCCCTTTTTTTTTCATGGTTCCCCACATTTCCGCCAGGGGAAAAAGAAAAAGGAGACACTAGCAAAGCAAGGAAAAAGCTTAAAATTGAAAAAAAAAAAAAAAAAAAAAAAGACGCTAACATCGTCTCTAGCCATCTTCGGCCCCGCAGCCACGACCTGGTACGGGATCCTGCAGCGCTCTATTCAGTTGCGCAATAAGAGGGTCGAGATGGTCGCGCGCGTAGCTGCCGACCAGCTGATATTCGCGCCGACCTTCATCGGGATATTCTTGTCGAGCATGGCCGTCATGGAGGGCGGATCTCCCAAGGAGAAGCTGGCCAAGAGTTACGCGCCTGCGCTCCAGACAAACTACCTCATCTGGCCGTTCGTCCAGATGGCTAACTTCACCTTCGTGCCTCTTCATCACCGCGTCCTCGTCGTCAATCTCGTCAGCATCGGCTGGAACTGCTACCTTAGCATGATCAACAGCCAGAAATGAGCGAGCTTGCAACGCAACCGGTTCGTTGGCTTTCCTTTGGCTTAGGGGACCTTTGGTCTTGGGACCGCGGACGGTGGCGAGGGGACGTAATGGTGGTAATACCGTAGGACTACGTGGCTTTAGAGCCGAGGGCTTGTAATGTCTCTTGGGATTTAAAAAGGACCAGGGAAACTACGGTGATAGACTGGGCGTTTGTGGTCGGGCATTCGTACTGCCGGTCTATATAATGGCCTCCTGCATGTTGTCGTCGGTAGACTTCTTTTTTCAAGCATTGGATCCGCGGTATGGTTATAGCATAGAATGGTGTTGGCCTAGAGCAGGGGTTTGTTCCTAACCGGCAAGATATACGTGGAACCGGTTTCTGTTCTAATCGGAGGACAAGACTCGAAGAAAATTGGACTTGAAAGATATAATAGATATTAGGTTTCCAATATATACTTTGAATGAGATAGTGACACACTACCGGCGCCCTTGAGCCGGCCGGATCCAAACCTCCCCCCTTATCGTCCCGGGCATCCAAGCGATTGTGTTCGTACAGAATTAGCATTACTTCGTGACGTGCGTCGAGATCGTGCGGTGGCCCCGCTAAGTACCGTAACCCGACCAGCTAGCTAGCTAGCTAGCTGTTTGGGCTGCCGGTCATGAGAAGAGGAACTCTTTCAAGACGGGCGACCCGGAAAACTCGGGATTCAATAGTATACAACTAATCGTGATGTTATGTTAATAATACTCAATTTCCTTCCTTGGTAATTGTTGACAATAATGGGGATGTGTCCTTACTTTAGGAAATACTGCAGACCCGCTCGTCGCCTCTCTAAAAACCTCGGCCTGAACTTGGATATCATGCTCTTGGGCGGTAGCTCGGGCACCGCCGCCTCGAAATTCGGGAACGTGCGCACTAGTCGCCATCGGAAGTCGTCGAACTCTGAATATCGCTTGCGTATGTTCATATAGCTTCCCTACGGTTTATTTTTAAAATATCAGCCCCGCTTTCCCATCATTCCATATTTTTTTTCTTCTGTCTCTTTTCTCTCTCTCTTTTTTTTTCTCTTCTGGGGAAACTCACGCTCAGCGTCTCGACTCTGATATTCCACACCACGAATGCGCCTATGTTAGTCGTGCTGCCGTTCACGATGACGTAGTCCGTTATCTCGACGCTCCTGGCCCAGCACGCATTGCCCCGGTCGTCGAGGCTGCTGCTTTCGTTGTCGCGTAGGGTGATTCCGCCGGCTGGTAGGGACTCGACGGACGGGGAGGATATTCCTCTCGCGTGGTGAGCAGAGTGGGTGTTTATCCAGTACGGCGGGGACGTTACGGGCGAGATCGCGGGCGCATCATCTTGTTCTGCTCGGCTATCTGGCGACGATATATCCGTTGTTGAAGGTTCCGGCTGTGGCGGCGCATTCGACGCGTTTGAATCTGTCTCGGCATCTGTCTCGGTTGCGGGAGGCGAGGGAGGCGGGTTCGGGCGTAGTGTTGCTTGCGATAGGTTCTTGTGTACGATTTCGGTCGCGGCACCGCTGGCGCTCGGGGATTGGGTCTCTACGATGGACGCCATTCGTTCGTGCGCGGGCGCGTAGGCGCAATATAGCCGCGGGCTGAGGGGAGGGTATATCGGAGATGTGCGATTGCAATCGTAGAATCGCGAATCAAGGGAGGATAGTTATTGTTGGATTGTAATGTAATGTAACATAGGTTTGTTCTAAGATGGAATTCGATACGCAGAGCGGGTGTGACGATAGGTACGTACCAATCGACAGAGGAATATGCACCTAATTCGACCAGATCAAAAACCAATAGGGGGACTAAAAGTCTTTGAAGGTTTAAGGTTGCGTTAGGTTGAGGGTTGAAAAGTCAATTCGATTAAACATGAGGTCGCACCCCTGCACTTCGCTCATTACGGCGCGGCCGTTCAATTGGTGTTGCAGGGATCTATGGACGTGGGGAAGAAGGAACAGCCCACGTCAACGTTTTGGGGCTTGGCACTAACGATTAATAGTATCAGGGGGTTAGGCTGGTTGGGTTCGTCTTATCGATTATCTATCTGGTGCTGTGTACGATACGATACGCTCAACTCTTATCGGTTGAGATACCAACTCAGCTATTCCATCTTTTTCAGTTTACTTTTGATAGAAGTTATAGACATTCCAAGCTTAGCTACTATGTATAGAGTTAAGAGGCGCTAGATAGTATACGGACGATGTCATTGTTAATGATATATCTTTCAACTCTAGTAATTCATAATCCCAATGGTTATGTCTCCTCAATACATAAGCTGTAAAATAGTTGCAACTTTTTATATCAACTGCCAGTTGAGTTAGGTAAGTGGCTTTCATGATTCAAGTATAATACCAACTCTCTATGAAGCTTCCATAGTTTTTAACTAACCTCGATATTAATCTTATATGTTGTAATTGAGAGTAATGTTGTTGCACCGTCAACCAACCATAAGGATGAGACTTGTTCATAAAATAATAAATATCCCCGAGCGCATACATCCCATGTGGGTTTAGAGATGGGTGTTATCGTGAGTAATTTATGGGTCGTGCTTTATCACGATGAGGGCTTCAAGGTATGTAAATACATAGTACATAGTACGGATGATTCTAATTAGATAAGTACCGTATATATGTACGGATATACCGCACGGTAGATCACGCTCCTTACTTAGGTATACATAAATCCAAGCAAGGCGTCGTTTGCAATTCGCTTCGTTGCATGACAACGCAGCAGTTATATCCCTTTTGTAATAAAGGATTATCCCCATCCGTTGATGCATGTTACTTACTCCTGAGAATTAGTTGGAGTTAAATACGGATTCCGAAAGCTGATATAACTGGATCATTTACTCGTGGGTAAACACCCGTGGTGGCCCTTTGTCTTTTATGGTAACTGGAACGGCCATTTCAAGTGTAAGTGGCTGACAACGCTTATCAACACGACGCCTTTCTGCGAGGATATGCTGTGTCAGTCAACGTATGAGTTAGGACTCTCATAGCAGATCATTAATGGGGTGAAGTAAAAAGCGGTAAACAATATAGTAGAGGTACGGAGATCCCGTCATGAACCACCGGGAATGTCTTGCTGCGGATGAAGTTGCAATCCCGCCGTAACATCGGTATCATTCCGGGGTACGGTGTGTCAGTATGATGTATCTATTATACACGTTGTACATTCGTCTTTGTTTTGCACTGCGTCGAATCATGCTGTGTGACATTTATCTTATTTTGTTTAACCTTTCTCTCCGTTTATATCTCCGATCTGAAACAGACTTCATGACGCGGAGGTCAAATTGCCGAGGAATCTGAGCGGACGTGTGGATGGATTAAAGTTGACGGTTACGGGTGGGTTAATCTATTGAGGGGACACTTACATATGGACGAGTGACTTGGATTGACGAGGAGAAATGCGCACTGTCTACGTTGTATCGTTCGAGTTTAGAGAATCAATCTACTACAGACCTACCTAATATAGATCTTGATGCGTTGCAGCGGCAGCAGGCATGGGAATGAATGTATGTACATTAGAAATGCCAGAGGTTGGGATTTCTGGATTTATGTACACTATGTATCAGGCATCGTTGCTCAGTATCAGTGGGTAATGCGGGGATTCCGGTCACTTATTTGGAAATATAACGAACGATCGCGGATGGGGACCGAAGAGGAGTAAACAGGTATGTAAGTAAGTTAAGAAATAATAGTCAACTACCTAGGTTATATAGTACATATGTCTTATAGTTGTTGCTAGTTGTGGGGCTGCACGAAGAGCATACCCTTTATTTTAGTTAGCTGCGTACCTTTGTATGTATGTATGTATGTAGGCTCTGGAATTCGCCGTATGTATTTTTAGTAAATGATCGTGGTGTGAATGTGTGAGTGCTAAAGAATCATTGAAATACATACATAGTCGGAGTTGGGATCGTCAAGTAAGTCAGCCTCTAATCCAAAATTGACCTACGACACTTGAACACAATATCAGCAGAATGGAGCCGAACGCAGCGGAATGGCTTCGTATGTAAAGAGCATGCATGAGTTAGAGTCCCCCGTCTCACCACACCACCATCCCCCTCTACACTAGTTAAGCGAACCTGAAAATACGGGACAAATCGCATGCACCAGAACGCTTCGGATTCTGCAGTCCAACCTCTTCTACCTGCAATACGAGGATTGATGCCTCCTACTAGCAGAGCCGATGGTACGGCAAAACGAGGGAAATGGCAAAAGTCGCTTTCCCTAAACGGCATCTGACTCCTTTCTAGTCCAATGAGAATGTCCGTAGGACCCCCGAGAAGCTAAGACCCCCCCCTGCCCCCCATATCATACCTTAAAGGCCGTGATATGGTTCCGTAGGTTCTTGCATACATACATTAACTAGGTCATTAGGTACATACACTACACTTACACATACCTGTTTGCCTACCTAATCTACCTACCTAACCCAATGTATGTATGGGCTCGTACGGCGATAATCAAGTTACGGTCAATATTGGATGACGCTCCAACCTTAAGGGTATCGGACGATGAATGCAGATGATCAGCAGCGCAGGCTTTTTTCTTTCTCCTGTGCATACAGTATAGTACCGATTGTACATATGGATTACCTACATTATGTGCTGGTAAATAAGCTAACTAACTAGACTCTTTCGATAACTAGTACCTTATTTTCCGAAAGTAAAACATGGTGCAAGCCAACCGTCTTTTTTTTTTTTTTTTTTTTTTTTTTTTTTTTTTTTTGGCAGATGAGCCGAATGGTACCCTTCTGAGGCTCTGAAACTAGACCGGGGGAGTATGTAGTTAGCTGTGAGCTTGGGGGGGAGGGTTCGCCGGTGCAACCTGTCCGGACGTTTGCAGGGAAGTAGGACGGCGCATTGAATTTCGAATTAACCAGATGGCGTTTTTTTATGAGAGATCGCCCGCTCGAGACCCAAAACTTGAAAGATCACGAAGCCAACGCCTTGGTTTGCTCGCTATCTAGTTAGTCGTATTTAGTCCGTACTTGTATTAGTCTATTGTCTATTCAGCCCACGTGAGCTTGAAGTTCGGAAAAGCTCGTCGTCGAATCTGTGTAAGCCAAGGTTTTCCAAGGTCATGATTAGGGTTTTTTAAGGAAGTGGCCTCGTAATGTAGAAGACGAAATCCCGGATGACAATACGACGGATATCCCGTCTGGAACTATCGTGATTTTCTGTTTTGCCGGCGTCGCTGTGGTGCAACTCGCCTACTTGCGCATGTTAGACAGTACAAATACCTAATACTACATTGTAGAATATGTAAGTCGATAGCTACCCATGATCCCTGTCTTCTAGTATGTAGATAGCGAACAGCCAATCATAAGTGCTCTAGCTGCTTGGGGTCTTGGAGATGGCGCTGAGACCACGGTCCGGACAGGGAATACCTCCTTTTATTTTCATTTTTTGGTCATTTTGGTCATGTACCCCGTACAGTACAATCTCTAATATCTTACAATATATGCGAGAACAAGAACCCTGGTCTCCCCATCCTATCTTGGAGAGCTCTCCCAGAACTTCTCTTTCTTTGAGAACATTCCTCTCGTTTCCCCTTCGTATCCTCGGCACCGTTCCTCTCGTTTTTAAACTCGGTCGGTCGTCGGTCGTCGGTCAATCGTTATTTCTAATATTCTTTTTACATTTAATACACTAATTCTTTCCGCTGTACATTGCTTTTAATACTACGCAGTCGTTCTAATTAGAGGGGAGAAACGAGTAATATCAACTGTCACAACCGTCCTCGTCTTACCGTAACACCTAATCCCACTGTCACAATGTCTTCGTTAAGGAACATCTTGGCCGCGGCCCTTCTTTTGGCCTCGTCGGTTCATGCCGACTATGTTATCGATCCCGGCAGCGTGTCGTTGACTGTCAGAAGTACGTCCTACAATACCTGCCCAGAGCATGTTCCGATCCAATGATTCTAACGTGATATACAGCGAGCTGGTGCCAGTCTGAGAAGAGCACCTGTCCTATAATCTGCTCGCAGACGCCGCCGGGAACCACCTTGGTTAATGATTGTGACCCGGTAGGTTTCAGAACAGATCTGGACGGTTGTCCGTTTAATACTAATATCTTCCTTGTAGAAAGAGTTGACCTACGGCTGTGTGTGCGGAGACAACAAGCAACCGAATGTGTCCGAGTACTCGCTTACTCTGCCGTACTTCGTATGCCAGGAATGGGGTGACCAGTGCGTCACGAAGTGTGGACAGAATAACGACTGTTCCAGGGCGTGCCGAGAGGACCACCCATGCGGTGCACAGAACCCGACGAGGTCCAACGCCACAACATCGAGTGCGGCCGCCACCGCTACGGCCAGCAGTACCTCTGACGACCCCAATACTGTTTACACCGGTCTGGCCGGTAGCAGCGAGGACGGGAGTAATGGCGGCAATGCGGCTTTCCGAGTAGGTGCTAATGGTGGCCTATTCGGCTTTGCTGTCATCGCCGCCAGTGTAAGCCTTGGCGTCTTTCTGCTGTAAGGAATGAAGAATGGGGGAACGTTTTCAGCCTTTGAACAGCAGCGCCTTACAGCCTTCCGAAAACTCACGAGCGCATTCTTCATCTCATACCTGGGGAGCGATGACTCGAATCATCCAGTTAAGGCGGTTGCATCTGATACCTGCCGCATACTGATATAATATTGTGTTTAGGAGCATGGGGGTTTGAAGCTTGAAAAACCTTGCATTTTTTGATAATAGAAGCGTAGATGGGATATTTGGACATACTCTTATGCTATACATAGCAGCCAGGTACTTAACAAAACGACATCCCGCCGAGGGACAATAGAGCACGCAAGGCTCAGAACTAATAATTAAATGCATGAGACCTGATCTCCGTATTAGGCCTTCACTCACACGCTACTTGTTTCCCTATTAGTAAATCTTGTGCATGACGTTATGGTCTTTACGTCAAGTCCCATCATGAGGACATTTGGGGGCCATTTGAACTGACATATTGGATAGCACTCTCACATGTCGGCTCGGTTAATCAAGCTTAAAAAAACCGATGAACCAGTAATAATGCTCATATTGTCTTCTATGGGATTTGTTCATGAAGGATGAATGAATAGACGGACTAACAAGGCTTTATTCAATGGAACTATTCAATGGAACCTGCCGAAATGTTGAAGAAGAAGAAGAAAAAAATAGGGGCATCGCGAAACTTTGCGATTTGATTTGTCTTGGTTTGATTTGTGTAACCCACGTTCCTGGATATGACACCCTATTTGCATGTGGGACTCGTTATGTAATCCGTAACACAGACGAAAACCATCTCGGCCCCACCATACTAGTGCATCCAGGTAACGGCATAAGTACTTCGTATATCCGAATGTAAATTATTCTTCCACTTCTGCACGCTACTTCGTACAAGCTGCCAACTTATACAACACACCGACTTGCCGACTGACAGCCTACAAACCTACAAACCTACAACCATTCGTGACACACTCGTTCTTATCTGTATTCCTTCTCTGTGACTTGTCTTTAATACACATATCCCATGGAGTCGATTAACATCTACTTAACTTGGGAATAATCATTCCTTTCTGTTACCAAGTTCGTCCAAAAGTTTGCAACCAATACTTCGACCGTCCAGTCGTCGCGAACAAAAGTTTCCAGGTGCTACGGTATTTGCACTTCGTTACGTATCTTTCTTGCAGTTCTGTAACCTCGGAGCTGATCGCAAACCGTCCTGCGGCCATCGAGTAAGCAGAGAAGTCCTGCGCACCACCATGGCCCCGAATAATAGCAGTATGTACAACCTTGGCGTCCTCTGCCGTCCTTGGCGATTCCTTACATCTGATCTGACACGGAATCCTCGTGTAGAAAAAGCTGTCGCCGAGTGCATCTCGGACGACGCCCTCATTCATCTCAAGTCCTACAAGTACTCGGCCGTCGACAAGTCGCCCATCTCCAATTATATCCTCCGTCCCTACGTACGTACCGATCTCCTGTTCCCGCCCTGACCGAAAAGTGCTAAGAGTTGGACTAGTGGAATGCTTTCGTTGAGCTTCTGCCGTTATGGCTGGCACCCAACATGGTGACCCTGATAGGGTTCATGTTCATTCTAGTTAACATCGCCCTATTGGTTATAGTGATGCCAGATCTGGTAGGACCGGTACGTAGCATTGCGATTCTGCAAAATGTCGATCTCGCTTGACTAATGACGTGTACTTCAGGGTCCATCATGGCTCTACTTTAGCTTCGCCTTCGGCCTCTTCATGTATCAGACCATGGACAACATCGACGGGAAGCAGGCGCGCCGAACCGGCACGTCGAGTGGACTGGGAGAACTGTTCGACCATGGTATCGACTCCTTAAACTGCACTCTTGGTAGCTTACTAGAGACGGGCGCGATGGCGTTGGGAAATTCGAAATCGGGTGTTTTTACCGCCCTGTGTCCCTGCTTGCCTATGTTCTTCTCGACCTGGGAGACGTACCACACTCACACGCTGTACTTGGGCTATTTCAACGGCCCCACCGAGGGTCTTCTAATCGCGTGTAGTCTAATGGCGATATCAGGCATCTACGGGCCTGGCATCTGGACGGAACCTATCGTTAATATTGTGGGACAAAAGTACCTCTTTGGTTTTGACGAAATCGTCGCCGACCATTCGATTCGCGACATCTGGATCCTCGTGATCGTGGGCTCACTCGTCTTGGGTCACATGCCGTTTTGCGTTCTCAACGTCGTCAAGGCAAGACGACGGGACAATCTCCCAGTCCTCCCGGTATTCCTCGAGTGGATCCCCATGGCCATATATACCTTCTCGATCGGCGCATGGCTGTACTCGCCTCACTCGACACTTAGGCGCGAGAACCACCTAGTGCTCTTCTGCCTGACCATGTCCCTCGTGTTCGGGCGCATGACGACCAAGATGATCCTTGCCCACCTTACCCGCCAACCCTTCCCGTACTGGACCGTGATGCTGGCGCCATTGGTGGGCGGCGCCTTCCTAGGCAACCTTCCGCGGTTCGGACTCGCCCCTATCTCCGCCGACCTCGAGCACTACTACCTGTGGGCGTATTTCGTATTCGCGTTCATCGTGTACTTCCGCTGGGCGTACCTGGTCACCAACAGCATATGCAACTTCCTTGGCATCAACTGCCTTACCATCCCCTACGAGAAGCAGCTTGAGAACAAGCGGAAATACGAACTTCTAGCGAACGGCGCGGCCAACGGGAAAAAGGCACAGTAGATGCGTCGGTTCGGTCGGTTGTGCGTATGTGGCAGGGGAATATGGGAGTTGGGAATACAGTGGATATACGACGTACGATTCTGGAAAAATGCCCCCTTTTATCACAGGGATCGGCGCTGGCTTCTACACGGAAGCTAACCTTTCTCCGCTCTTACATTACTTTGTTGTAATATACTAGAAAAGAAAACAGGACTATGTAGATAGATAGGCAGGCGTGGCTTCACTCGGCGCATAGGGTACTACTACGACTTTGTAGCTACGGAGCTTTGGTAAGGGAGAACAGAGGATAGGGGAGGGGAGGGGGGGGGGAGTCTGGCTTAGATACAAGCTGGGGTTAGACCGTGTACGTGTACGTACGGACGATAGAATTATTCCCTCGACCTTGTGCTCGATAGCGGGTTGGGATTGGGTACATAGAGCGCCTTTCGGATTAGTAGGAGAAAGCGCGGTAATTGATAGCGATTGCATTTGCATTTGCATTGCGATGGTGGGGTTGTTCTGAATAGACATGGGATAATGATGAGGGTGAAATGAAATGAAATGGAATGAAATTCGAAAAAAGGGGCTCTTCCTTCTATATCTATCTAGGCAGTGAGGTTTTATTGTCTGTACTATTATTGTGATACTCACCTGTTGTATCTACAGCTCAGTTTAGACTGTTCGAATCTAAGAATGAGGTAGGGAACGGGAGAGGTAGGACAACGATGGTTGACCTTGATATAAAACATGTGCTTCAGCCTTGTTATACATCCTTTTATTTTATTTTTGATCTAGCGTAATTTTAATTTAATAGTCCTTGTATTTCGCGCGTCGACGCCACAAATACATTGTCGTCAAGTCGCGCGCGTTCCAGGCCGACTACATTAGAGAACCCCTTTATCCCTTCCTACCTATCCTCCCTAATACGGGCAAAATTTTACCGACAACCGCACATAAGTAGGTAACCACTAAGTAGGTCCCGCTCACCTCTCCCCGGCTAGCCGGCGGCGCCGGACCTCGCCGAGGGCCTTGGAGCCGCTGAAGAAGATGCTGACGGAAACGAGGCCGATGAATGGCAGGGTCTGGAATAGGTTCCATGTAGAATAGTACAGGAAGAAGACAAGCTCCATGGCGGCGATAGATCCTAGGAAGGTGCTGTGCGCAACGGGGGCGGCGCTCAGGGCTGTGGGCAGATGTGAGAGGTTGCCGCCGACGAGAGCCCACTATATTTCGTGTTAGCGAAGACTACCTATATATGTCGTTATGTTGCTATTCCGGCTTGAATGCTCCGGGGGGATGAGATTCTTTCCCCCTCCCTTACGACTACTCTACCTGCGAACAAAACATACAACGAAAACGAAGGTTGGAGAGAAAGTGGAAGTGGAATAAATATACGTACGGCAGTAAGTAAAAGCGGGATGGTGGCCAAAATGGCAAAAACGAAAACGATAGAGATCAGCTTAGGCGGGCTCTTGGGATCGTCGCGGAAGATATGGTGGATCTCGGCGAGCTTGCCGTAGCGCAGCGGCTTCTCGTAGACGAGGGGCTTGGCGGCCGGGTCGCGCACGACTTCCACGTCGAAGACGTCCTTGACGAGGCCGGCGGAGGAGCCGAACGAGGCGATGATTAGGGATGCTCTGAGGGGGGCGGTTGCGGTGGCGAGTTGGAGGGGGAGGTCGCTGTGTTTCTGGAGGGTGTGGTGGTTAGAATATATATAGGAATATAGTAGTAGAAGTAGAAGTAGAAGATAGAGGAGGGGAAGGGGAAGGGGAAGGGATCGAACGCACAATTTCAACGGTCGCCTTGCCATTGTCCTTGACGGTTAACGGGAACGGGGCCTCGAGGCCGGAGCTCGGCTCGCGGAGCATGAGAAATGCCTGGTGAGGACGTCTGCCCTTGCCGTTCTCCTTGGCTGTCAAGGTAATCTTCAAGGTGTCGGAGCTATCGAATACCACGGGAGTTGGGAGGACGGGAGTCTTGTCGTTGAACCTATAATAATACTAACGTTGAATATAATGTATTGCTTATTTATTTCTGACAATTCCATCTGAGCATTAACATAACATACTGTCTAACGTCGGGCTCCTTAGTCCCGGCTTTCTTGGCCGTCACGATGAGCTTCGCATCTTCGAAGCCCCAGGACGAAGAAGCTGCCTGAGCGGCGCTGGCAGCTAGGAGCAGGAGGGGCGCTGCGAAGGAGTGGAGGAATCGCATTGTTCGGCGGGACTGTGCTGTGCTGTGCTGTCTTGAGTGCGGTTGTGGTGGTGGTGGTGGTGTTAGTGGTGGTAGTAATATTGGTAGCAGTGGTAGCAGTAGTAGGTAGTAGTATTGGTGGTGGTGGTGCAACAGCTACCCACTGAGCGACTTGCTGGAGCTTCCTTCAATTGAACACAATAACCCGTTCCACTTCTTTTTTCTAGTGACAGTTCGCTGTTGTCGTTGTAGCTGACGTGGTTTCTGCTTATCGATAAGAGTACCTACGTAAGTCCCGGGTGGTTATATATAACTATACAGTGTTAAAAGCTTGTATAACCCACACGGTCTTTATAGTAGTTGTAGTAGTTGTAGTTCCACTAATACACTCCCCCTTTTCACTAACCTACTCAGTTATCGCTTATGCCACTTATCATTAGAAACACATGTGGATTCTATATTTTATTCCCTGGTAGACGTAGTATTCTAGCAAATATCATAAAGCATATCAAGCTTATAGCTCCAATCTGCTCCTAATAGCTTGCCCCTTCTCCCCTGAACGCGACTCGCTTATAAAAGCATCCAGCTCCATCCACTCCGCTGCAAATGCAGTCAGTATCTTTGCCCAGTCGTCCAAAGAGTCCATATCTAGATGCTCGCCGTCATCGTCCATAGTATGCCACGTATCCGGGAATGGCGAGGGGATGATGTGCAGCACCTCAACTCCTCGCACCATAAAAGGCACGTGATCATCCCCGATGTACGCTTTGGTGAACTGGGATGTTTGTTTATTTGAGTCCGGTAGGAATGGATTCTTCGGTTTGGTCCTAAGAAGGCCTAGTTTCCGCATTCTCTCTTCTATCTTGGACATGCCTTGGTAGGCCCAATGCGTCGACTGGAAGTACGAAGGGACGTGGGGATCCGCTGCTCCGAGAAGATCAATGAGTAAGAATAGATTGATCGAATCAAGGCGGGTTCGATATGCCGAGCTGCTTGCGTGCAACTCGGAATCCCAGCTTTCTGCAAGTGCTCGAGCACCATAAAGGGAGTCTGTGTCAGTCCAGCTGACCCAAGCTTCTTCTCCATCCAGGAGCAGAATCTGGACGCCCTTTTCTTCCTCTAGGCCCAGGCCGGCATCGCCAGATTCCTCCATGGCCTCCCACTTCTTCGTTAGAGCTTCATCGATACTTCGTGCTACGTGCATCAACACGGCACAAGGAGCGGCACTGTCCGTAGCTCCGATGAATCCTTCCGGGCGGTAGAGACTATCGTAATGCGCAACTAGCGTCAAGCGACCAACGTCTCCAGCTCGCGCCCATGGTGGGTCGCGAGTAATAATGAGATTCTTAAAGGGAATATCCGTGCTACCTGTTGCCGGCGTCTTTGCCGTCGAATTGTGCCAGTCGATATTCCATTTCGGAAGTTGCCGAGAGAAGAAGTCGACAAAATGATGCTGTACGGCGATAGAACCCGGAGTACCAGGTACCCGAGGTATCAATATAGGCGACAAGAGAGATCCGGTCTTGATGTCGAAGTCGTGAGCGCCGCTAGGAATATAGCGAAGCGCATCATCTGACAGTTCCTCATAGGCAAAGACGTGAGCCGAGAGAAGGAACACAAGCAGTGCAATAGTCCCGATACGAGCCCATTGAAGGGATCCTTTTATATAAGCCATCGAGACTTACAGTAATACACCCGACCTCATCCCACCGACATTGGAACATCAAGACACATTACGACCGCGAAGTTGACGTGGCAGGGTTTAGAAAGTGGACAGTGTGTTATAATAAATTACATAGTAGCGAAGTACCTATGTACCTATGTACTTTGTAGCTTTTCTTTCCGGCTGCGGCTAAAAACTTCCGAGTACCTGCGCTAGTAGCGATCCGTTAGACGCGATTGACGCTTACGTATTGTACTTACAGGGACAAGCCCCATGTTATTCATGCATTCTAAAGACTTACAAACTCGGTTTGACTACGAATATGCTGACTTAGGAACTCCGAGCTATATTTATTAAATCTACCTATCCTCATCTCTAGGAGGAAAAAAAGAAACTCTGTTCAGAGGGCATACATAATATAAGCATTGGCTTGAGAGCCACGTGTATCAAGTTTATCTTCCGAAATGCAAACAATCCTGTGACCAATCGGAAAATTGCTTGATTGTTGGAGCAAGATCATGACTTCAAAGACATGGCGCGCATAGTTGGAAACGATATATATATATATATATATAGCCCATCTTGCACGGTGCTACAGAATGAAAATACCACTAGCTAGGTATCATTTATTTATACCTATTACAGAATAACTACCTAAATTAAACAACAGCTCCCTCCAAAATAACCCATCATCTTCAAAAACAGCACCTACAAATGATAAGGCGGTCCAGAGCCCTCAACCGTAGCATAAACAGCCCCAATGGCATCCGCAAGCTCGGCAGGGAGCGGTCCATCCTCAAGCGCACCAAGCGTCTTCTTCAACTGATCCAAGTTCGAGACGCCGAAGACGACGCCGTCGCCATACTTTCCGTCTAGGATGCTATGGAACGTCGTCCACCGCAGCGCCGCCGCGTGGCCGCTAATACCGTACTTCTCCGCGGCGGCTCGGACCACGTCGACGGACGCTTGGACGGGGGGCTGGCCGTAGACGGCGCTGTATAGTCTGCCGATTTGGTTCTGGGATAGGGTTAGGTACCTGGTGTTAGACAGAATGGTCGGGGCGTTTGTTGCTGGTTAGCTAGATGCTAGAGGAACTTACGTCGTCTTTCCACCGCGACGACGTGGTGGATTTTCCGGCGTTGCCGGTGAAAATACCGCCTGCGGCAGGACTAACCCAGGCGTTCGGTTAGCAACGAAGACCCGTTGGAATTTCCGACGTCGACTTACCTGTAGGCAAAAAAGGAGATGTTATGTTTACGCAGAAGCGGGAACAGCGTCTTTTCGCCTCCCCTGACCAGCGCGTTGTAATGCCCCTGGTACAGGTCCGGCTTAGCGTAGCCCTTCTCCTCGGCGACGTCGATGAACTTCTGCACTTCGTCCTCGGTGTAGTTGGACAGTCCGAATCGCTTGTACTTGCCCTGCTTGACGCCCTCGTTGATCGCCTTCGCCGCGTCCTCGATGGACGTCTGGCGGTCGGGCACGTGCAGGTACATGGTCTCTACGCTGGGAGTCTTGAGCTCCTCGAGAGAGAGCTTGATGCTCTGCTCGATCTTGGCGGGCTCGTGGGACCCGGGAAGGCCGTCTTTGACCTTGGTGTGGATGATGAACCGGGAGGCGGCCCCGGCTCGCCCGAGGCGCTCCTCGGACCCGGGGTAGTTGCGCCCGGTGTCGATGTCCCTGTAGCCTCGGTTGTAGAAGGCATCTAGGAGAGCTTGGACTTCTTCTGGGCTGTCGAAGTGAGCAATTCCGGGGTGGTTGACCTTGCTGCCCACCTATGATCATGTCGTTAGAAATAGTTGCTCTAGGGTGGTGAGACGTACGTACCGTGTGGGTGCCGAGGATGATCTTTACGGGCACTGAGGGAGCCATGTCGGTCAAAAGGGGGGGTATTTAAAGGGCTTTGCTGTGGGTAAGTTTACTTTGAGATGATATGGAGTGAGATGTGTTTTACAGAATTGTGTGGTGGTCGATCGACTTTATAAACACAGGCGGCATCTACATCCCCTATTGTTCTACACCAAGTATCATACCCTTCCTCGTTTTCGTTTAATCATCCATAAAACTTGCTTTGAAATCACTCTGAATACTCCAAAGTCGTTTCTTCTTAGGGCTACTCATATTGGGAACCTCCCTCATGACGTGATCGGTTGGTCGGAGATTCCGCCATAATTCCGCAACTTTTCCGCAAATTGGCCGCAACTTGCCCGCCGTGACTAAAAGGACTAAGACGCACCTTGGGTTTCAGCGACGCGCGCCTTTCTACGAACATGCTCGGATGGTTATTTACGCCGAACAGTAATAATATTCATAAGTAGCAAGGGATTGTTGTTAAGTTATGGGTTCTGATGAATTAGTGTTTCTGTCTTGTTGGGTTTTTGACTTGGCTTACACGATAATCCTATCAGAGACTATTGAAATGAAGCTAGTGTAATATGCTATCACTATAAAACTTTAAGGTCTTTTAAGTATTGTTAAATAAATAATATTTCGATAAAAGGGATTCATAAAGCCTCTTTTCGTAGGCCGAGGTCAACTAACGTTTAACTTTGAGGCGTGCTTAATATGAGAAGGCCATCATGAGAAACGATTTAAGGTGAAGTATCGGTTATGAATTTCAATGTCTTTCTTAGTGTAAGCCAGCCTGTAAATATACCGCAGTGAAAAGAAGAAAGAATTCACCACTGGCACCCAACACCGGTGGCATGCTTCGGATGGTCATCTTATAGGATATGCTATACTCCAATTGCCTTACTACTCTTGTCAATCCAGCATTTCATCTTATCTCTGCCAATTATACACGTCCAGATTACCTTTATCAAATCATCAAACTCGTCAGCATTATGCTGCGAGATAAGCGGCCCAGGCTGCAGAGACGGCACCAAAAGCGGCTCTTCCCCCGAAGACAACTCAACCCATTTCACCGCAGAATCAGCTTCCCACAGCCCACCACGAGCCGTAAACATAACAGCACCCGCACAGTCAGCCCACCCCTTGGTCATGACGTCGTATATATTGGAGATGGTATCGATGATGAGCTGCGAGCGCCGGACGCTCTCGATCAGAATCCACAGCTGCCACATCTTCGAGGACGCGTCGTATTCTCTGTCAAACTTACTGACGGTCCCGTGGGGCGGGTAGTTGTTCTGGGCGAATATATCTTCTCCTCTGTATCGCTTCGCCGCCTGACATATCTGGACCACCCACTGCCGCAGCGTTGGCTGCTGCTTCTCGGCGTGCGCGCGCGAACGCACCGAGCCGTCGAACAGCAGTATGAACTGGTAGGCAAACAGGGCGTGGATACGCGCTAGTTGCGCCCGTATACCTTGCGCGCCGCCGGCAGCACATGGGCCCTGGCTGGCGAGTGCGGCTGAGCGCCACTCGGCAATCTGCAGTATCGTCTCCTTTATCGCCGGCGTGCGACTCACGTACGTCGCGAGCGTTGTGAAGGCGTCCTGGAGACACATGGGCATACCCTTATCATATAACCGCCGATGGATAAAGCTATTATAGCCATTCCGGACCCAGAAATGCAGCATTTCTCCTACCGCGCTGATGAAGGGTTCTAGCTCGAGATTAGCAGACGTGGCCGGTTGTTTTTGGCTGTGCTGCAGGATCCACGTCTCGTCCCCGAGAAACCAGGGGCATGGCGTGGTGGAAATATCATCGCTTTCAAGCGCGAGTCTCTGGGCTGGTTGGCTGGCTACGTGCGCCGGTGGAGATGGGATGTATGGCATTATTACATCTGACAGGGAGACGTCCAGGTCGGCGGCTCCCATTGCACCCCAGTCGCCGAAATCGAGACCACCGCCCGGAACATCGGCGTTGGCATCGGCATCAGCATGGTTCTGAATTGCGGGAAGCTCCTCGGGCTGGCTAACACGCGCAGCAGTCGGATTTCTCCGCCGCCTCTTCGGTTGCGGGTAAACGCAGTCCACGTCTCTGTCTAGACACCGCTGGCACTCTGGCAGCTGTTTATCGCATCTGCGCTTAGAGTCCGCACAGGCGATGCAAGCTTTCTGGCGGGGAGTTGCGGACATTCTGCGGAAGGTCAGACCCTGGAATATTTTGGGGAATTCTGTGTTATGTAGAAACCCGACGCAACGCCATTTTTCAGCCGCTAGGGGGCTATGAGTTATGTAGTCCCCCTTTTCGAAGCTGCTTACAAATACATACGGTAGGGGTTCCTTCATATACATCCATTAGGTACTTGAGGTTTAGGGGAGCCTTAGTGTAGGAGCTGAGCCGATGTGGGGCAGTATATGCTCACATAATACCAGGGGCAATAATACACATGATATCTACGCCATTAATGCGAATAACATAAAGTCGGGGTTTGTACAATCTCGTTAGGTAGTTCATATAATTTATATTCTGATAGTGTTACATATGACATCGTAACCCAATTCACTACCTAGCAATGGAGAACGCATTGTCGTCCATGACACGGAAATATGAGGGCCAATATATCATAGCACAGTCCTATCTAGACACTAGAGGACCAGCTAAACAAGTAGAGCTCTCCATCTAACTACAGAATATATAGCAACAGAATAAACATATAAGGGGGTCGCAGTCGCAGTCGCGGCATTCCAACTTCCGCACGCATGAATCTTTGCACGAACGCTTGCTTGAAGTATTGGGCGGTGGAGCGACGGCAGACGATTGAGAAGGCTGCAGCGGTGTCCCGTCTCTAGCTTCAGATTTCTCCTGGGATTTGCCGCGAGGGCAGCTAAGGCAGCAACCCATGAGTGCTCTGCTCCAGTCCTGTTGTTGCGGGTGGTACATAAGATGAGGCTGGCAACGGAGATATGCCTGCGTAGGCTCCTAGAGTGCCGATAGATAAGAGGAGATGGGCTTTTTTGGTTGGGTTTGCGTGCGGATGGTGGTTAGGAGAGATAGGCTGGCGATGAGGGAGAAGATAACACCAAAAACAGGAGGAGAAAATGTTGTTAAATAAGGCCGTATATCGTATCTTTTTTCCAAGCGGATCCAGAGTCCAACTTGGATGCTTTGGCTAGGTACCTAGGAGGTAGATGGCTGTACCTAGAGTTACATTGTGACAGTCACAATTTTAGCTTTAGGTATACTAAACTCCCTATTCACTGTATCATGACTCCTTATGAGACATCAATGACCAAGAATGAGTTTAGTATGTATACCTACCTAACCTTAGATAGTCATTAGTTTTTATGGCTTGGGTTCGGATCCCTTGAGGAACAACGAAGTTATTTCTCTGGCCGAAACACATTGACTTGGATTATTCGATATTTTCGGATACCTGCTATAAGTCAAAATAGTCTATCTATTATATCTCAACGTATAATGATTAATTTAGATAAATATGATACGGATAGATCTATTGAATAAAAAAGTTGTCCAACAACTCACGGATCTTACCCCTGTCGAGTTCTAGAGGTCCACGGGATATTCCACGAGACAACCGCAAGTCTGGTTATTAATCTTAGCTAGTCTTTCGACTTCTCTAAAGTAATTTGCTACTGTTGGTTGAGAATAATGTCGATCATGTGACTGAACCTGGCGGTTAGTTACCTGGTTGGATGCCTGATTATATATACAGGAAACCACACACAGGTCTGGACTTCATGGAAAGGGATCTAATTTAACAAATGGACTTCGGTGAAAACTAAAATGGCTTCTATTCAATTATGTGAATAATTTCTATAGTCTTAACCATCCCCCTTACCAACTATAACCCGCTGAGTCATTTGTCTGCCTACCTAGTCAGACATGACCAGGAGGTCTGGTGACGTGCTAGGCGTACTGCCTGAATCAGCTGCCACGAAGAAAGTCTGGATGAAATATAATTACCTATATATTTACTCTAGTTCCCTAGTTTCCCTCTTTTTGCATCGTACCATATAACTCGACTCCTTGGCCATTATAAGTTACCGACTCCGACTAACGAATCTACCTTCCATTTCCTAGCAATATCAGAGATCGCACAACACAAGCACCACATCACATATCCCACCAAACCGGGGTAAAAAGGTGCCATGGGGAATTGCATGAGCTCCCCGGCACCAAGCCATAGCTCCTCCTCCAGAAGCGAAGCCAGAGCTGGGTATAGATCCGGTCATCGACATACTGCTTGGCACCCGGCAGACGGTCCACGAAGACCAAGAGCCGATGTACGGATAGGCGAGAGGGATGTCATAATCGAGACGTGGGGACATTCTGACTGAAGGGATGTGTCCTGGCGGTAGAGCAGGGGCAGATACATGCAGTGTGTCTGAAGAATATGGGTTTACCACATATACCAAGAGTGAGCCGTCGTAAAGCCTTGTTGTTCGCTTCTACGAGGCTATATCCTCATAATTACTAATACGCATTACTCTCCTCCTGACTTTACTTTCGACGAATATTAGAGTTCTGCGTTTCATTCCTCCAAATCGACCTCGAATGCATGGCGTGTCAGTGATACTCTTGAGTGAAGAGTGGATTGAATCTGACGAGAATATGATGGATTACGATTACTCTATTTACTGTAGACGGAATACAACATAGACGATTCATCATTCAAGGGACCTTAAGACTACTTACTGCTATATAATGGTATATGCCTAAAAGTTGTGCAGCGATTGCGAGAGCCGATGGTTAGGTAATTAATTGCTTTAATGTAATATGCTTTAACATAGGAGCTTGGTGATATCTCGTATTAGCCTATGAGCTAGACCTCTAGCCTAGCTCTGTTAACTTATCCCGAGTCCTTTTCACGTAGGTAGAGCGCCAAGGACTTGATAGTCTCGAACAAATCGCTTTTAGCCAGCAGTAGGGGAAGAAGCCGAGCAACATGATAGAGAGGTTGGATCTGGTAACCCTGGCATCTAGATTTAAAGATGAGGACGACGACCTGAAGAGAAAATACATAGATCGGGTAGCCCTGATACATTTTAGTCACATCTTTATGGAACGATTGTGGGTTGACCTCGGGAACGTCCATACACTACACATCCATGGAACAAGGGTAGACCTGTTTAGAACAACAGCCTTAGCGCACTCCTAAATGCGCACAAAAATAAAAAATAAAATAAAAAAAGAAGGTTGATTTTTCTCAAATGAATGAGAAGCATCAGGAATTGAGCCCGATGCGGGGGTCGAACCTATCGAAGTGGGTTAGTACGAGGACGACCATCCTAAGAATTTTTATATCTAGACTTACCCGCAACCTTGAGATTTCCTTTCTCTCGCTTTCACGAGAATCTTAAGAGTCTCACGCTCTACCGATTGAGCTAACCGGGCAGGCTTCGGTGAAAATTCGCTTGGTTAGATGCGAAGATATATTCAAAGGCGCAAGCAAACATGGTTGGATTAACTAGCCGTGTTATCATATTACCTACCTACCTTCGTAACGAGACTCAAAACTGGCTTATTACCTAGGTAGGCATTGTGTAGATACATACAGATCACCAGTGCTCTTGACATCGGTTTTTCTAAGAGCCTAGGTAAACCATGTTATCTTCGATCATCCAGCCAGATGTCAGTCTTCAACTTTTTCAAGTTAACTTGCTGATATGATCTCCAGGTGTGTAATAACATGTTACTAGGCTGAACAAGCTACGGAAGCCGCGCTCGGCTACCGGTCGGCGTATGGCTAGCCGCCGTCTCATATGTGGGACAAGCCGGAAAGGGTTCCGGAAGTGTTCGGGGACAATTTATGCAGGGACGAGGATAAATCATGGCCATCTTAATCTCGAATTTAAACATGATGAGTTTGCTGTCGAATACTCATAGATACTCTGAAATATGGCTTGGTACGAGGAGTACTGTTCTACTCCTCATCTAGGAAAGCAGTGTCTCTCACTATGTTAGGTTGGGGGTTGGCGTCAAGTGTGCTACGGATATCACTCGATGTAGGTATTTGCCAATGTCGTGGGAACTTTAATTCGTACACTAGGCTAGATTGCCTATTTTTCCCAAGACGGTGAAAGGTCCGGCTCTCTGTTGGGGCCATTTCCTTTCTGGTTTAGTCCTATACTCGAACAGATTATTAATGTTGCAATATCGACATGACCTGCAATCTACTAGGTATGAGGCTACGATATCTCGCCACTTTACTTTCACCTCGCCTTTTGGTTCGCTGGGAACTGTCTGATAAGACTACCGCTTCTTAATACAATTTATCAACTTTAACGGAACTCGACATGTCAAGTAAGAGTGTTACTTTGGTACTCTGCCTTGGTTGAAACTCACTTTAATAAACACCAGTTGTCTATCTACTAACATTTCCCCCCTTAAAACAAGAGGTATTTAACAAAGTCTCGACCATCTGATGTGTGATGTCCCTCGGAATAGAAACTAGGACTAATCAGTGCCTCTTTACATGCTCATATTACCATGTTGTAAGTACGGAGGTAACGGGTCGTTTTCGTACGAGCTAGTCCTTCGAGATGTATTTGATTTAATAGTTTATAACCCTTCATGAAATATCGACTTTTAGGCAGTGGAAATAATTCATTATCATCTTTCATATTTGGACTTATTATTATGAAGATACTTAGCTGTTTTAAACCATGAGGGTATAGATATAACCATACCAATACCCCCTATAGCGAGCAAAATCTGAGCAATACGAAGTTCGAATTATCACAAGAACCTCTTTAGGAACTTTTAGTATTAACCCCTGAAGAATACTAAGTATCAGGTAACAAGGGCTACAAGTGCCGTATAATAACGTTGCCTGCTGTAAGATGCTTGTACTAGAGTGTGCCCAAACCCCGTACTCAAACACGTATCCTGGCGATGGCGTATTCGCCTTGAACTCCAACGCTTATCCACCTTAAATGCCCAGCGCCGCCTTGAAGGCCCTTATTCAGGATAACCTGCAGCTAAAGCGCGTAATCCAAATCCCATATACTGGTCTGAATGAATCTACCTTTTAACAGGCCTTGATACCTGAGACACCAGCCCATCCGAGACCGCCAACCCAGACCTTCCTTCCGGCACATATCAAGCACTTTCGCTGCTCACCTAGGTTGGTGATAGAGCAGTGTGAGCACACGTGTTTCCCGCACCCTCCGCAGCTTGTGTTGACCTCCGAACAGAAGCCGTCTACGTCCATCGAGTCTTCGCCCGCACCTTCGTGTAATGTCTGACCGCAATCCTCGCAATTGGCAGGGCCGTCATATACTAGGTGGTCGACGGGAGGTGGAACCGAGGTGTTTGAGGCAGATGCTGCATTGGGGAGTTTCCAGAAGCTGTGGAGTGACGCCTGGGCCCCTTGCGACGGTACCTGTGCAGGCTGAGGTTGAGGCTGTGTAGGAAGACCGGCGAACGGAGAGTTTTGCTGGTAGACGATGTGCTGTTTCTGGGCGGTATATAACATATTCAAGGTACGTTCTATAGGGATTCTATATTAGAAAAGCTGTTTGATAAGGCTGTGATGATGATAACTCGCTAGGCTTACCGTGGATTTCCTCGTCCGAAGGACGGCTATTGCGAAAGCGTTTCAAGGTGCGGCTGTGTAAGTGAGCAGGTGTTGAGCTCCGCGAAGTACGACGAATAGGCGATACGTTGGCCATACTGTCCATATCCATCATAGCGAGCTGCTCTGGTCGCGAAGGCGAGCCAAAGGGACTAGAGGAGCTAGAGAGCTCGGACTCGGAACGCTTTCGCTTGAGCTGCATCGTGAGGGGTTTTGAAATTATTGAATCCTATAGAAGGAGAGTTGATGGTTGGAAAACGAAGGGATAATTGATATTGTATGAATTGTGAATATCTGTGTATCTGTGTTGGAATATGATTTTATGTAAAAGTAGAAGGAGGAAAGTTATGAAGTTGATGAGGTGAGATGGAGAAGATTGAGATTGAATTGGCGAATTATAAGTTGGGAATAGGTACCTTACGTGCTTACCTTAGGTACTTGTTGAACGTGTATTTTGTATATTGAGATCCCCGTTTGTAATTGGGTAATTGGTACCGGGGAGGGCTGGAAATCGCGACCTGTCGCGCTGTGGAAAGCGCGTAACCCGCTAAAATTATAGCGCGCTGAGTTCGCGTTAATTGCTTGCCAAGCCTGGAGAGGTTCATCTGGATTCTGCCTGTTACATCTTACAACTCCTCACTTTACGATATGGTTATTCTATTTTCATAATTCATATCCACTGTCCACTGTTCAAGACGATGCGGACTGCAGATATGCATAATAAATATTCATCCAGGTTATTGCCCAGATACTTCGGTACCTACATAGGTGAGCCAGCGACGGCTACTATTTGGTATCGCTACGAGCACGAATCGATCCGGTCATGACGATATAATGGAACAAGAAGTTTATTCGTGAAGTGTCATTACTAATAAATCTACCTGACTTTAAAAGTCATATTAGTCCTCAAGAATATCTTTAAATACTGGTTAACTACTCCCTAATAACGCTCTTGGATCTATATTATTGACCTTCCGAAATTATTAAATTACAACAGAGCAGCCCCCAGGAGAACAGCAAAAGCTGCGACAGACATGCTTAGCAGCGAGGATGATAGTTCGACAGTGCCCGGTGCGGCATTGGTGGTGACATCGCCGCTGGCGCTGGCACTTGCGGTTTCCGAAGCTGCTGATGCGGCGCTTGATGCGACGGAGGCAGCGGAGTGGGCGCTTTCGACGGCGGACGAGGCGGCTGCTTGGGCGGTGCCAGTGGCGGTAGAGGCAACGCTCTCAGCGCTGGCAACGGCAGCACTAGCAGAAGATAGAGCGGCGTCAGCGGCAGTGGAAGCTACGCTCTCGATGCTGTTGACTACCGAGGTAGCTAAGCTGTGTGCGCTGTCGACTACCGATGTAGCTAAGCTTTGTGCGCTGTTGGCAATCGAGGAGCCGAGACCCTGAGCGCTGTTCGCGATGGAAGACCCGAGGCCTTGAGCGTCGGTGGCAACTGATTGCCCAAAGCTCTCAGCAGAGTTGGCGACGTCGGATCCGACGGAAGCGAACGAGTCGCCGATTGATTGTCCGGCACTACCCCACGAGTTTGCGAGGCTTTCGGCCGAGTTGACTACTGATTGCCAGTCCTGGCGTTTGCCGAAGTTGCCCGCGATGCTGTTTGCTATCGCGACCACTTCACTGGCAGCTTTCTCGGCCGCGGATTGCGCCTCCTTCCAGGCTTGACGAGCATCAAGTGCGTGGTCGTCCCGTTTCCCGAAGTCAGCGGCGATGCTGCTGGCTAACGCGGCAGCCTGGCTTGCGGCAGCCTCGGCCTCGGATACGGCGACTTCCCAAGCCTGGCGCTCGTTAAGCTCGCGTTTTCCATGCTGGGCAGCGATGCTGCTTGCCACGGCTTGAGCGGAGGCGGCTGCTGCTAAAGCGGAGCTTTCGGCTGCTCGCCATTCTGCCCCATTTCCTCCGTATTGCTGTGCGATGGAGCTGGCACGTGCTTGCGCTGAGCTAGCTTGGGCGAGTGCCGACGAGAGGGAGTCTTGCCATGACTGACGTCCCTTCAGTACGGGGGCAGGCGTGATCATAGCATCCCGAGGGGCCTGTTCGACAACGTGGGCTGCAGCGAGGGTAGCCGCGAAAAGGGATGTAGTAAAACGCATTTTGAACTGTGGGTTTTAAGGGATCTGAATATTGATAGTGTTTATTTGAAATTACCAAGCCCACCGTATGAGATGGAAGATATTTGAGGAGTCAACTCGAGGAGAATTTCCTTTATACAAGTAGGGGTTGATCTCGAAAGGGCGTCATCAAAAGGTAGGTCGGTGCTTAGCACTAATAACTGCGCCTCCCCAGCTCCCCATCTCTACGTTCGGGTCTACCAATGATGTCTCACGCTGTCTTACCCCATCCAAGCCAACCTGTTTCCGTCTGATTACTTCATTTACCAGTTGATTTCGTCATTGAATCATGTTTATATTTATGTGGACCGCTCGAAGCGGACGGTTTCGGTCGATCCCTACGCTGTTGAAAGGCTTTTTGCCTGTCCGAAAGAATAGAGACCGTCTCAAACGGATAACGGCGTTGAGTGGATTTTAGTTATCTTACGTAGGCCGCGGTGGATAAAGCCAGTATGTCGTAGACATTCATTACTAGTCCCAGCCAGCCCTGCCAAGGCAGGTAACAGGCCAGTTCTGCCGAGTTGCGGAACCATGACGACGCTCTTTGGTTGGGTGTATTGCCTAGAGCGTGGTGCCTACGGGCTTTACTAGGAAACCGAGGGTCCCGACTTACATATTAGTCTATGGTCCGACGGCTACTATACATAGGTTACCTATGATAGGTAGAGCCTCATGGAAATGGCCGGAAACATGGTGCATTGGTATTGGATGGAAAACTCCCCGTTGCGCAACCACCCTTGTTGGTCGTTACCAGCTTTAATCAATACCTACACCCTCCTTATGCACTCGGAAGAACCGGGTACCTCACGAGTCGTAAGCTATACATATGCTGGTGGGTTCTTGGCGATCTCCCGAGACACTATGTACTAGTTGTATAATAGTGTGTGTGAAGGTATGTACTTTTTGTCTTCGTCGTCGATAGACAGAGCGGGAACTGAACACGTCAGAAATACAAACATGCAAGGGAGCTACCTAGCTTAGCAGTATTTCCAATCTCACCATTTTCGTGGCTGTTTGCGCAGCAACGTTCGGACGGGCTGATGTTGTTGTTTTTCCTCAAATCAGGCGAGATCAGGCAACGTCCTTTGATTCGAATCGCCCCGCGGCCTCCAATCGAACTCACGCCCCTGTCTAGAACTAAGCCACACATGTTTCGTGGTGGTATTGCGTGGTGGGTGGCGTACGATACTACGTAGTTTATTCATCATCTACCTATAGCACGTCTATTATTCTATTATGTACATACATAGTCTTTAGCATCGCTGATCGCTTTAGCGGTAGGTAGCGAGATCTGTACTCCCACGGGCACGATACATGCCGAAGTGGCTTTCTTTCTGAGGTTTATCGGATGCCACCCTCATTCATGAGTTCTGTCACATTCGTACCTAGGCCAACGATTCATATTGCACTCGTTATGTACCTACACTACTTACCTTAGGTGGCCGGTAAGGCTCAAGGCAAGGGTTATACCTACATGTGTAGGTATTTGCAGTAGGTACACCGCCGAGCGTCCACGTCAAGTCTAAACGTCCCGAAGTTGGGGGGGCCATGGATGGATGTCAAGCCTCGCATAGTGCAGTGTAACACGGCTACGGCGTCGAGGCGTACGGCAAGGACAAGCTTAGTACATTAGTATATACACACCACAGAGAAGGAGAAAATATAAGGTAGTCTTTTAGGTCCCATATCACGATGCGGGATAAGGGAGTTCATGCAGCCACACCTTCGCCTCACCGTGTCCAGCCGGCTCTCTCGTATTTGCATAGAGAGAGAGATGGCTGTATTACAACGCTACCTTACCTATCTACACTTATTGTTTATTCGGTGAGTATATACCCAAGGTATATTAAGTACTCTTGGGGTACATCAGAAGCAGGTACCGATGAATCATGATATATGCAAATCGTGTTACCTGCATGTCTAATAAGCAGGTATCCTTCGGGGCGTCCACTCGCAATCCTCCCGGCGGCTATCTGAGACATCTCAGGGCGGCGAAAAGAGGCGCGGGTCATGCGTATAGCCGGCTCCGTGGCGGCTTTCACTTGCCTTCGCTTGGAGATTATAATTCGTGCGGCAGAGCTTGGAATATGGCGTCGTGACTTACAGTCTTACCTACTGGACCAAACCATGAATCTGCTCTTTGTCCCTCTTCAAGGCGCCCCCTCTACGCGTTGGTACGGCCGGTAGGTTTTGTCGCCGCCGCCACGGCCAGTGTTTCTGCCTTGATAAATTGGTTGGCGATGGGCGGCGGTGGTGGTGTAATGTAGAAGATGGGTTTGTTTGGCTGAGGAATCGGCCGGTTATCTCGATAGGACTAACCTAGTAGGTAGTCTTACCTGTGCGCGATCGAGCCGGACCGCTGGACTGGTTACCTGGTTCTGGCTAACTAGTGGTTTTGTGGAAGAGGATTTGTTTAGTACCTATCCATGGTTGTATTTACTATGGGTTGGGCAGGATAAGGGGATCTGCATTCGCGGCGTAATATTCACCACGTGGGAAGTGGGTTGCCACCGGATGGATACTGATGGGACGATCTGAGTTAGGTGCCTAAGGTATTGTAGTCCAACTGTTATACTGGTGATGATCTATTATGGAGAGTTACTGTCGCTAGCTAAAAATTCATACGAGGAGATTCCTACGGAGTAAAGATATGGTGAAATAGGGGAGAGGGGGTAGTTGTCCTGAGAAGGAAATACACTTGCATGCAAGAGGATATATACCAGGCATATCAAGAAGTAGGTAGTCAACTTTTAACATCATCATCAATGATTTATATTTTGACAAGCCGTCATGTATATTACCTAGAATCCACCTCATTTAGTTCGTAGACATTACAATATTAAGCTACCTATCTATCAGATCTATTACGCAGAGCGTGCGTAAAGCGCACGACTATCCCACCAGACCATCTCACGCAGAAGAAGAAGAAGCCTTTGCTTCATGCAGCCGTACTTGAACCCCAGTGCCAGACCGGTTCTCAATAGCATGATGAAGCCGGATCCTGCCGTCGCCCTCCTCCATGTTCTCGATGCGGTCGTACTTCTGGCAGAACCGCGACACGACGTAGCTGACTTCCTGGCGTCCGAATTGCTCTGCAGATAGTTTAGTTAGTTAGCCAATACTCTTCCCCAGCATAACTGCAATTTTGGGAATGGGAATGAGACAGAATTATGTGTCCGTAGATTAAGTAGGGAACACTTACGACCAAGACACTTCCTCGCCCCAGCCCCAAACGGAATAAACTCCCACCCAGCCCGATGCGTCTCCCACCTCTCGGGGCGAAACTCCTCGACGTCCGCGCCCCAGATGTCCGCGCGGTGCTGCATCGCGTACAGCGGGACGAGCACCTGCGTGCCCTCGGGCACGAACACGCGCGCCTTGCCGTCCGGCCCGCCGCCCCGCGGCAGCACCGTGTCGCGCAGCGCGATCCGCTCGTTCAGCGGGATCACGGTCACCACGCGCAGCGTCTCGCTGATGACCCACTGCAGGTACGACAGCTGGCTTAGCGAGCGGAAGTCCGCCGGCCTGTCGTCGAACCGGTTTAGGATCTCGGTGCGCAGGCGCGCGTAGACGGCGGGGTGTCGCGCGAGGAAGTAGAGCACCCAGCCTAGGAGACAGCCTGTCGTGTCCCGGCCCGCGATCAGCACGTGGAGAGTCTCGTTGCGGAGTTCCTGGGGGTTTTGCGTTTCCTTGGCTAGCTCGTTGAGGAGGCTGAAGCGGTTTCCCTTTTCCGGGTCACCGCCGCCGCCGCGTTTCTCCGGGTTTGCGAGCCGGTCGGCTACGATACCGTCGGCGAACTTGTGGATGGCGGTGCAGTGATCTTTGAACTCCTTGCTGTTCATAAGCCAGTAGAACTTAGCTAGAGCGCCGCGCTTGTCGATCCAGACCTTGGCAGCGTTGAAGTGACGGCTGAGGTCCTTCGCGCTGTCGCGCTCTTGTAGAGAGTTGGCCGACTGTCCGAAGATGAACTCGGTCGCCGTGTCGAGGGTGAACTTGAAGAAGAGCGGCGCGAGATCGACCTTAGACGTCCACCCGGTCGTGGCGTCGGCGGCAAGCTGCCCCCATAGGTTCTGTAGATGGTGCTCCTCGAGCTGCGGGTCGCTGATCATTTCTCTTGCGAATTGTGGCCGCAGTAGTGCGCGGCTGTGCCTCCAGATGTCGCCCCGGCTCGTGAAGATACCCTTGCCCAACAGTGGCATCCAACTTAGCTGCCTGTGGTGGCTAATGTCGAAGTCGGGGCTGGTGAAGAGCGTGCGCGCATTCTCAGGGTCACGCGTGACGAGGATCTCATAGTCGATGATGGGTACCTTGACGGTATGGCAGTCTGGAGAGATGCTATCCAGCTTGTCGGCCACGTACTGGGGCCCGCGGTCCTCCTTGGTAGCTTTCATGGACTCCCGCAATATCGAGTTGCCGATCAAATTTGTGCTTCTCAGCACCGGCGGCGGCAGGCACCCGAGAGCTGCGGCCTTTGCATTGTTGTGGCGCTTCTTGAGCTTGGACTTGACGAGGATCCAGGCCAGGAAGACGACGAGCAGGATAAAGGGGCTACTCATGATCCCAAACATCTTGGCCGCGTCTGGGAGAAACAAAAAAGAAAATAAATGGAGTTATTCTGAACTCCGGAGGTTCTCGTTCTTCCCGTAGTCTCAGTGCTAGGTACTATGCAATAGGTAGTGATGATGTAGTAGGGATATAATAGAGTAGTTAATGCTCTATATCGTTATTCTATCCGTCACTCTTTAGCGAGTTAGTTTCCTCTATAATTTCCGTCCCAGAGCTAACAAAAAAGAACGACCTTTGCTACTAGGTAGTGAGCGCTAATAGAAATCCTGGGGTCTTTACCATCTTACCAGTGCGGTGTCGTGGGTGTCATCACTTATCATATCCATTCATCCCTTACATCCGCCCTACATTTGTGGCTATTCCATCCACTCGGTACCGTGTCTAAGAATATCTGCCAAGTACCCATACCTAGGACAGGATAAAAACATGCCAAACAGGCTCGTGTGCCCATGACGCGACTCGCAGAATTATTCGCCGTCTAATGTTGACAATGGCCAAGTTTTTTTTTTTTAACCCTTTCGACATGCTCAAGCGATAGGTAACATAAAGATCGTCATTGATTATTCGCCCATTGGTTGGGTCGCTTGCCGGTGGCTTTCGTATAGAGTCAGCGGTGCATGAAGGAAAGTAAGTTAGGTTAGGTACCTGGTAGTCAATACTAGGAAAAGTATTCAAAGTATTGAGTACTTCGTTAGTTCTGTCTGACCCCCAACGCGCTTGTCAGGGGGGGAGGGGGAAGGTGGAGACTCGGGTCTCCGCAGTGGGGGACCAGGGGGATAAAGTGAGATGTGACTCGAGCGCCCAAAAGCAAGGTTCCCCCCTGTCGATAAACTTGCCTATTCGGGAAGTGCTGAATCGGGCATTGGCTCGGCTCGACGGACTAGACGCGGCGGGTTGACGATAGTGTGCAGGTGTGTGTCGTGATACTTGGAAAAGAAAACAGAGCACTTGCATAGTTTAATTAGCTTTTGATTACTTGTAACAGCCACTGACTATCGACGCAATAGTACATTAGGTACATAACATAGTAAAGTGAAAGTCTTACACGGAATATAATAGGCAGGAGAATGTAGATCACTTGGATACGAATTCTAGGTATGCTCTTCCATTCTTGTCGTAAAACTGAGATCTTCTGTAGAACCTCATCTTTCTACCTTCTCAAACACAAATTCGTCACTATTATTTTTATTTTTATTTTTTTCCGTGCCCGAGAGCTCCGTAGTTGAGACTACCTAGAGCTAGACGGTCAAATATGCGCGCCTTCACTTACTTCCTTCTCTCTTTCATCGGCGTAGCTCACGGCCTACCGGTACTCTTGGCCGAGCACAAGCGGGACCAGCTCATCAACCTCAGTCCCAATCTCGATCTTGGACTCGGAGTTGATAATGATAACTCCTGCCTTGGGCTAGGCATCTCCGTGTGCGATCCCATCACCGTCGACTCTAAGAAGAACGACACCGTTGTACATGACACCGGCTCCAAGGCTAAGGCAGAGCCTAGCACCAATGACAGTGGCTCTGGGGACTCCCTGATCAACTTGAGTCCCGACGTCGACCTTGGCCTCGACTTGAGCAATGAAAACAGCTGCTTAGGCATCGGCATCAGTGCCTGCGATCCTATTACTGTCGGCTCAGATGTCACCAAGACAGTCAAGGACGGTGGCGACGAGGCCAAGGTTGAACCATCTTCTACGGCATCTACCACAGCTACACCTGCACCTGCAACATACCCTGTTCAGTCTAGTCCCCCCAGTAGCACCAGTGCTAGCAGCAGCAGCCCAACTAGTAGCCCTACTACCAACAGCGGCGGTAACAGCCTACTCGACCTCAGTCCCAAAATCGCACCAGATCTCAACCTAAGCAACGACAACAGCTGTCAAGGCATTGGCATTTCCGCCTGCGACCCCATCACGGTGGATTCCATCGTCAAAAACATAAGCTCATAATCTCATATTTTATTTAAGTACGAGTTAAGAGGCACCTAGGAAATTTGGCTCTGTAATTGTTGTTGTCTGGGAGGAAAATATGTAATTTAAAAAGTTGTCTTGTTACTACTTACTTACTACCTTGTCTCAAATACGTTCCTTCATGTACATAGTTTGATACCTCACATTGACTAATATTATTTACTATTGGCGGCTACTAAGACCCAGAAATCAGATGGCGTATAGTAGTTCCACTTCACGCGTGGTATGTATAGTACGATAGAATTAAACCCGTGAAGTATGCTTGATTAGGTACTCACAGCATAGCCTCTGCGGTACACTGTCAATATTTAGACACGTAGAAATACCGGACTTGATAAAAATTAATTTTTGCTTTATTTAATAAATAATACGATTCGTCAACAATGGATGGGTTTTCAACCTACAGACCTTTGTGCTAAGGTGAGGGATCCTCCATGGTGGTTTTCTATCTATCTCACTTCTGGGAATCTTCAAGACGTCACACGTAGAGCATGAAATGATAACTTTCCATAGTTATGTTTATTATAATCCATACCTAGGTACGTACACCTCATAAGGGCTCAAGCATTCTAATTTGACTGCCTTCATTTACATGTCTTATAGACTCTAAACATGAACATATACCAACACCGTAGCCGATAATAGAGAGCTAGTCCTGTTTTTTTTCGACTTCTCAATTTCCCAAGTATCTCCATATATACGGCGTGATAAATTAAGAATTAATTGTTAATAATAATAAATGGCAGAATATGTCCATACAATTTAGATAGCGGTGACCTTGACGGTGACGCCCTCCTTTGGTCGTAGTACTAATCGCCACATCTTCCACTCTTCAGGATCGGGCGTGTCGAAGTCACGCTTGAATTCGTACATGCTGAGCAAGCAGCATAGCAAAATCTTCATTTCGATCTCGGCAAATTTGCGGCCGATGCAACCGCGCGGGCCTTGAAGGAAGGTCATGAAAGCGTTGGCAGTGAAGGTCTTGGGTAGGTTATCCCACCGGTCTGGGTCGAACTCGTCTGCGTTGGGACCCCAGTACATCGGTAAACGATTGATGGCATTTGCAAGTACGTAAATAACGCTACCGGCAGGGATCTTGTAAGGGCCAAGCTGGTCATCCGCAAGGGATTGTCGCACTGTCATAGGGATAGGCGGGATGAAGCGCAACGCTTCACGGCAAATGTTATCGAGGTAAGGGAGCCTGTCGGGGTCGGCATTGGCAATTGTTTCGGGGTCAAAGCGGGATTCTTTGTCGAAGAGGAAGGGCATGAAGTCTTTGATCTCTTCGCGGAGGCGAGACTGGATTTCGGGGTGGGTGGATAGCAAGTGAATAGTCCAGGCTACACCAGTTGCAGTAGTGTCGTGGCCAGCACCCAAGAAAGTCATGATCTGGTCGCGCATGGTTTCAAAAGAAAGACCAGCCTCTCCCATGGCCTTCATCTTCTTGTTATCGCGGGCGATAAGAGCAATAATATCCTTGCCACCGGTGTTGTTCTCTGCTTGCGCTTGCTTTTCGGTAATAATCTCAGTAGCTTTGTCTAGAATAATGCTTCGAGAGGTTTGCATATCTTGGTTCATCTTGGAAGGGATGTACTTGGAGGCAGGGATGAAAGCTTGAATTCCGTGCATGATACGGGACCCGATATCGAAGGCGAAGACTAGACGATAGGCCTCACGAATGGGGGTCTCGGGATTACGTAGCGAGCCAATTTCGTATCCAAAGCCGGCGCTGCCAATGATATCCAGTGTAGTTCTGTTGAGCCACTCGAGTACTTCGAAGGACTTTGTCGTGACCCCCTCGGCGGCCATTTCCTCACGCCAGCACTTGGCTAGGAGAAGCGACTTCTCCCAGAAGACCGGGGCGAGTGCGCGAATAGACTGAATAGAAAAGCCCGGAGCGAGAGACTTGCGTTGGTGCACATGCTCCTGGCCCTCGGCGAGTAAAACACCTTCACCCAGTATGCGAACCATCCAAAGCTTTGCGCGGACAGGCTTGGGGTAGTTGTAAGGGTTCTTGACAGTCATCTGCTTGAGAGCCTCGTCGTCGGCAACAGAAAGGCGTTCCGCACCGAAAGGGAAGAAGTATCTGACAATAGAACCGTGCTGTTGATGCCACTCCCGCTGAGGCACACCGCATTCTTGCGTGATGATGTCAAAGAACTGACCCCAGAGAGGGAAGCCCGGCACAGTAGGTACGTGTCTTAGTTCGGACACATAGAAGGGGAATATCCAGCTGAGCCAGACGACAACGTAGAGAGGAAGCACAACAGCCAGCGACGTTGCGAATGTAGACACAATTGGCAGTTCAGCGTGGCGGGCGTATAAAAACGAGGCGGCCGCCGTCACCGCCAGGACCGGAGTCATGGTGACTTTGGACATCTTGAAGGGTTATGTTGGAAGGACAGTAGAACAAGGGAAAAGGCCTTGAAGCCAAACGTAAGGAGAAGATGGAGTATATGAGATTCAACTCTGGTGTAAGGTCGCGGACATGTTGACCTGACCGGGATTGATAAGATCGACAAAGAGTGATATTAAGTATACAGATAGACGAATGGGAATACACCGAAATATGTGATGATGCCATGCTGGAAAAAGGTGTGTACTATGTAAGACAACGTCTGAGGAGGGTCCACCTAATTCGGAGGCACGTCTTGGGGCTCCAGGGATTTACTGAGATTAGAACAGAGGGTCATCCAGTATCCCAGAACTTGATCTATTCAGCCCGCAATCTCGGGTTAGGCATTTGTAAATTTTGTGCCACGTCGATCTTTGCAATTATCGACCTTTACACATCGTTAGGTCTGAAAACCCACGAGCCAACGGCACTAATAAGCCATCTATGCTAGGGCGTTGCAAGGAGCATATGCCATGTATAGCACAACTGTCGATAACGCTATTACGGTTTAGATCCGTACCCGTTTTCTGGATAACCGTCGCTAGGTAAGCGTAGTAATACATATCGCCGAAAACCCGGTTCCCGGCTATCCGGGCTCTAAGAACTAGACCACGCCACTACTTCGTGGTACTATGTATAACAAGTGAGCGGCACTAGAGGACAAGCCCTTGAATAGTAAATCCCACCGACGTAAAGCCTCTTTTTTTTTTTTTCGAATACCTATATCGGAGTGCGGAATTGTCCACAATCTTGGCTTGACGATGTTTCGGCCAACAACAGCGGAAGGATACTAAACGCATTGACAATGACTGACTCTAGGTACTTACTAGGTCAGCCGGACGTATAATTCTAGACCGATGAGCTTTTATCGGCCAGAACGGGGGGCGACAACTATGTCAAGCTGACTGGTCCTAAAATTGGGGTGTGTGGACAAGTGAGGTATGAGGCTTTCTGAATGGTGAATGGAACAAACAAGGATTCCAGTCGTAATCACATGCATGCAACCTTCACACCGTGACTTATTAAGCATACCATATACCATAGTATATACCACAGTACATACCATGATGCCGTCCCAAGTAAGACATAAGACATATCGATAGCCTCTAAAATCCTAAACGAGAAAAGGAATTAGCAGATACATACCTGCCCAGGATACCTAAGAGCCACGTACCCCAGCCGGACAGCTTTTTGTCCGAGACTATAGAAATAAACGTATCCACAGTTGTCGGGATTTTGTTAAAATATGCCATTGGCATTCAGGCCCTAAAGATGTACTGTTTTACTTGTAATTGGCATTAAAAGCAATTGTGTAACCGCACCCTCATACCGTCTTCTATGTGGGGTCTGTAATATAGAGTTTACCAAATCCCTAGAATAGGTATAATAAGTTCGAACGAGTTGCCGGAGCTATTCTCAAGGTCAATGAGTTTCTTAGTTCAGCTTGGACGTCTTCAGCTGGTTAATATTGTAGGCTAGCTCGTTAGTCGACGCGGTATGACATCGACCACTTTAACTTTAATCTTTATCCAGATCGCCGGGCGCTTATAATAATAACGACCTTCGGCTTTAAAAACGGGTCATAGAACCAGACGTCTTTCATCAGAACTCTCCCTCCAGCATCGTGATACTCGGGCTTTTCGGTTGGCCTCGTCGACCTTCCCATTATTCTCATAATTATTAATTAGCCATGTCTTTCGATTCCACACATGCCTTCAAAGCCTCGCCCGGCGTGATCAAGATCGCGCCGTGGCAGGCTTTTGACAAGCTTTGGATGTCCGTTACGGGATATCATGCAAACGAGTTTAGGTTCAAGGAGGGAGTTACTCCAATGTCGACTACGACTGAGACGGTTGCCATGATTGTTCTGTATTTGGTTGTCATCTTTGGAGGTCGCGAGTTTATGCGCAACCGCGAGCCGCTCAAGTTGAACGGCCTGTTCAAGGCTCATAACCTGTTCTTAACGCTACTGAGCGGTGGCCTCCTAGTTCTCTTCATTGAGCAACTGGCACCGTCTATCTGGAAGCGTGGACTCTACAACAACATCTGCAGCGCAGATGGCTGGACTGACGAGCTCGTAACTCTCTACTATGTAAGTGCCTGAAGATCGAGGCTCGTCAACTGCGATGAAAATGCTAATGTGACCCAGCTCAACTACATCACCAAATACATCGAACTTATCGACACTGTCTTCTTGATGGTCAAGAAGAAGCCTCTTACCTTCCTCCACACCTACCACCACCCGGCAACGGCATTGCTGTGCTACACCCAACTGCTCGGCCATACGTCGGTCTCGTGGGTCCCGATTACTCTGAACCTGACCGTGCACGTCGTGATGTACTGGTACTACTTCCAAAGCGCACGGGGTGTCAAGGTTTGGTGGAAGGAGTGGATTACCCGAATGCAGATTGGCCAGTTCATTCTCGATCTTGGTAAGGCCCCAACCAGACTACTCTTTGAAATCAAAGAAGCTAACAGTGGTGACAGGGTTTGTCTACTTCGCATCTTGGGATTACTTTGCTAGTGCTCATGCTCCGTATCTGCCGCATATAGGGCGATGCACAGGCAAGCCTTTCGCAGCCATTTGTGGGTGCTTGATCTTGAGCTCGTATTTGGTGCTCTTCATCATGTTCTATATCGCCACATACAGGAAGTCATCCTCTAGAAGGACCAATAAGAAGTCTGATAAGCACACGGTCTCCTCGATGAAGCAGAGCGCGGTCAAGGTGGCCGACAGCTGCAGCGGAGTGGAACACATGAACAGCTCGATCGTTTCCAGAAAGTGATTTTCTGTCAGCTTTTCCTTTTCAAGCCCATCGCTTGGATACTTGCATGGGCTGTGGGTACCTAATCATTAACTTGTTAGATCTTCTTAAGTTCCAGAAGGACTAAAGGGAGGAGAGCATAAGCATGGTTCGGGCGGATGGAGTAGGCGTTCCTGTCTATCATTAAAACTAATGAAAATGTATAATTCTTAGTCTAATGTACCTAACGTATTTTCGATTTGTTCCAAGCTTAGCGTTATTGGCTGAGATTTCATAGCAATAATGGGAAATAAATTATTTCAAAGCGAAATAAAGTAAGGTAATCAAATTCCGGTAGTTGTCTGCAAGCAGGGGGTTATGTTCTATCATATTGACGTGAAGTTGAAAAAAAGGCGTGACGGCCCAGAGAAATGGCAGGGCGGAAATCTCCTTGACCCTTGTAAATGGCCCATGCACCCCCTGCTGTGGGTTGCAACTGCTACGGAGCCTCCGCAGCTTTAGCTTATTTCCTTCTTGTCTTGATTTATTTAAACATTATTTCAACCAATCACTTGCTAGGATCATTGAACAATGTACCGGATACATCTCTAGTACAAGCAATAACCAAGGAACAATAGAAGGCATTTGTTACAGGGGACCTTCAGCCCTTCTTACCAGCTTTATACTGACCTTATCTTTACTAAACCCAGCTAATGCACACAATCTTTTAAATCCGATAGCTATCACTAGCTTCCCATTATAAATAGTAAATACCATGTAAGTATTGAATACTTACTTCGCTTTCGCAGGTTTTACTACTAGGCACTTAAATACATGCAACTATAAACGAGATATACATGTATTCCTTCCCACCTACCTCCTCATCGTACATAGTACACTACATAGGTACCCGACTGCCCGACTACATGGTATCAACCCTTGCAGTCAGATACGCTAGTTCCTTATCTTAGTACGTTACATACCGGGCCGTAGAAAATACCCACTTCTTTTTATGTGATGAGATCGATCGATGATACCTTACAGTATGTAAATCATAACGGTAATATGATCATCTTTAATAACCAGTTTAAATTGTTATGTACTAACAGGAATGCTTCTTGTTTGGTGAATCTTTTTACATGGCAGTTGAGTTGTGGTTAAACACTCATTAGTTGAATTACAATTTAAATATGTATTATGCTTTGCATTCGAATGTGCGATCTTGCTTAATCTTGATGAACGTCATTTTAGCTACCTCACGTCGCACAAACTCCCAATGTGCCGAAACCTTAACTGGTTTTTCGGATTTTTCCCCTTTTGTTTAGTTTGTTTTTATCCAATAAGGCTTTCGATGTTTCGGCAGATATTCAATACGCTATTTTCATCCAACTTGCTTAAGACAGTTAGCTTAGCGTCATATACCGGCGGTTTTTAGGAAAAGGTCCTATTTAGAAGACGCTATTCTAGACTACCTACCGGAACCGCTCAACCCGAAGCAAGCATAGGTATTTTCCTATCTCAATACACTTATCCACATGTAACAGTGATGCAACTGGCGCCCCTATTTTCGTATTCCTAAGGACGATAATAGCATTTACTCCCAACTAGAGCGAATAAGTCTTACACTCGTTACGCGACATGTATCGTACAAAGAATATCATGCGGGGAGATAGGGTTGTCCGATCACGCTCTCCGGACGCCCGAGCGTAACTGTAACTTGGTTTTTAACTTGGAAACATTTTAGTAACAGTTTTAGTAACAGTTTCTGAGACATTTCCGGACCCTCTGGGCCACCCCATGCTTCTCGATGCTGGGTAGACCTGGAGGATTTGCCCAGCAACCCAGCACAGCGTTCGCCCTATACGCTATTCCCCACAAAGAGCACGTTCGTTTACTTAACTCGGAAGCACTTACAGCATAGACTCCAGGTACTAGATCGTGGGGATTCCTCCCAGTTTGGACATCGCTGAATCATGGACTAATCTTTCCGTTCCTCTAGATTCAGATATGTCAATCACTACCTATTTTGACATGTCATCTCTTAGCCCGAAGCTAATAAGCAGGTATAGTAGCATAATCCCTAACTAATAGTAAGTAAGTACCTTACGCATGTAGTAATAGCAGGGAAACGAGTTCCGCTCATTACGGGTAGACAAAGGGTGGACACCTTAAGGCGTCTTATCTCTTCGTTGTTAGCTGCTACACAGCTTGAGGCTAGACCATGGCATCCTTCATCCCAATGATACCAAATGATATCACAACCCGGGGCGCGGGTTAGACTACTTCCTGTCTTTCAGCTGGACTTTCCCAACATATATGCGGGAACGTTGCGGGTAACCGTCGTATCTTGTGAGACATTTAGAAGATGTTGCCTAGAGAAACACATGTTGATATTTCATGCCAATCTCTCATGCCAGTACGAGAGGTTCATAACCTACATACAATAGATTTCGACTTTTACAATTTTCAAAATTTCCTTTGTCCAAACCCAACCAAGATGTCGACGACGTACATCCTAAGCTCTATTAACCAGAGCCGTGGATCGACCTATGATTTCTCATCAGAAGGTCCCCTAGCCGAGATCCAACCGTATAGACCCTCTATCGCAAATCTAATATACCCTCATCTTACATGGTCGACGCTCTGGTTTACGCTGCTATGTTTTTTCGTTGTATTAAACATCAAGAATATGCCATTTATGTGGCATGTAAGTCACTTCCAAACCATGTTTATCCAACCATGAAGCTAACATAATCTAAAGCTTCGACTCGTTAATGGTTTTCGCTTTATTCTACGAACACAGCGGCCAGCTGTACCGCTTACGCACACGCATATATTTCAACCTATCATCACATCTTCTACGGCACAGCTCATGGAGATTGATTTTAACATGCACAAATCTAATTCTTCATATTTCGCGGACGTTGATATCGCACGAACTCACCTAGTCTGCACATTATTCGCGAAGGGCATCGATCAGATGCGCGGTGGAACGGCTGCATATACTGGGTCTAAGAAGCCCGTTTTCGGCCTTGCGCTCGGCGCGGTATCGTGTAACTTTAAGCGCGAAGTTCGTCCATACGAAGAGTACGAAATGTGGTCTAAAATTCTAGCCTGGGACGAGAAATGGATCTACATCGTAACCCACTTCGTCCGTAAGGATGCCGCCAAACCAAAAAATTATTCACTATATCCCGAGCAGTCACTGAGCCAGAGCCGACGGAATAGCACTACAGAATCAGGCGTATCTTCCAACAGCAGCAACACGGATGATGAGGTCAAGCCAGACAAGCATATTTTCGCCACAGCTTTAAGCAAATGCGTCTTTAAGTCCGGCCGCAAGACTGTTTCACCGGAACTCATGCTACAGATGTCCGGGTTATTACCGGCGGGTACCTCTGGGGAGAAATCCTTCGACGAGGCCACAATAATGCAGGGCATTGAGGCGCAGAGGCAAAAGGGGCTTGAGACAGCACAACTTCTCGCCGGCCAAACCCAACAGAACCTCGAGGCCGAGTTCGCGGGCGCGGACTGCGAGGCCTTGGGAAGACACACGGACGGTGCAGGCATTGTTGGAGTAGTCAACACTCTGATGCAACTCGCGCGTTTGAAAAAGACGCAATTATTATGATCATCACTTACCTATCATCTTTCCTTTGTCATCAACAGTAATTACAGTGGCGTTCTTGAGATACGTCAGTTGCATTCCGTCCATCTAGAGCGACAGCTTCATTATTATTGTACCATATCCCTAGCATACGGCACCCTACATACTCACATACATACATACCTTGCATTATGTGCAGTTTAAAGTATAATGAGCTAATATCATACATACATGTCAATGTAACATAAGCAACAAAACTTGGTCCCTTTGGAGCGATTGGTCATAGTAGTCACATATCTAGGGGTCACACATAAGAGCAGCGGTTACGCATTTGATAATCTTAATATATATCTTAATATATAATACATAATCTTAATACGAGATGACCCCCAACTCTATCTTGCAGTTGGAGAAGCTTGATTCGACCACACCTATCGCGTGCGCGCCTGGAAGTAAACAGGGCAAAGCACAGTGTTACGTTTGTAAGCATTTCGCAGCTATTCCCGGCTTCGGGGCGTCGAGGACGAATTTAACGGTAGCTCAAAACTTTTTTTTTCTTCCCTTGAAAGAGTAAGCGAGGGACGTAGTTTGGTGTAAAGATAGATAGGGTAGGCTTATGCTGGGAATACAAAGAAGCCTGAATGTTGGTGAGATAAGAAACAAGTTATTTTTTATTTTTAACTACCTAACCTATATATCTACCAACTAATAAATCTTAACTGCTGAAAGCTGTCAAAGCTATTAGCTTGTATCGATAGCAAACTTTTTCCATTAACTATGCTTTGTATAAACTATCAAGGCGTATCCCTACATATAAAGCCTAGTAAGTAAGTAGAATTTAATAGCCTAACAAAGCATCCCCAATATCCCGTAGTTCCAACGACCTTGCAGTAGGGGCAAACCCAACCCCGGTAACACTTTGTGAACCACGTCAACAGTAAACATTGGTGGAAGTATCTACGGTATTTTGTCTAACCGGATATGGGGTGAATTCGAAGTTAGGCATCGCACGAAAGGACGGAGACGAGCAGTACCGAGTACAATAGTCTCTTCTGGGCAAGCCACGTGGATGGTAGACATCATAGGTAACATCCAATTTGAGTAAGACCTGAGGCTCCATAAGACTCGACTCGACTCGGACGCTAGGGGACTTTTTACATCATGCAAATACCTAATTGTCTTTGGCTGTCTTACCCGGTAAGATTGGTTACGCTAGGTAGTCAGCACATCTTGGACTTCTACGCGAATATTACACGTCGGTTGCGCAATTCCGGTAACGCGGGTGTGCTGTAGTGCCGTTAGCTGACGCATGTATTGGATACTTGTGCTAGGCATCTAGGTACTTTAGCTATATACGAGTGCTACGAAGTACTAAAACGGGAAGAAGGTAAAAAAAGACTACCTAAAGATTAAACTACATACATAATACATAATATACTACCTATGTTAGGTAGGTAGGTAGGTAGGTATGTTAGGTACCTACCTAGGTAAGCAAGACTAAGGGATAACAGCGTTCATTTGAGCGGTACGGATACTAGTCCCGGGCTTCGGTGGCTGCAGCCCAGCAGCCGTGGCTTCGGCCCACATCCGTCACGTATCCACTTTACTAAATTCCAAGACGGCGGGCCGCAGATCTCTTCCCCTTTCAACCTTCGATTCATGAATAGCGTTCTCTCCTTGTCTCTTCTGTGGTATCTCTACTCGATGCTGTCTCGCCCTTGATTCCCCTCCACGGACTAAATCCTCTAAAGGCTTCTTGGCTACTCTTAAGCTTCATAGCTTAGACCGGGCCTTTTTCAGCTCGTATCCACCCCGTCCGCAGGATCGACATCGCTGCGCTCCAGCGCCAACTCAGCAACGCTATTGATGTCTTGAGTCTTACCAGCTTTCTTTTCGCTTCCTATGCTTTTGCTATTGGTCCAAGCGCCGCTAAGCTTCCGTTTTAACGTTAATAATGATCGCCGACCTTACATAGTACACATGGAGCTTGCTTGTCATGCATTGCTATTACTTGCTCATGCTTTCTTCTTTGTTTTGTGATCCTCTATCGTAGGTCGTTTTACTACTCATAACCCGGACATTCCAGCTTGTCCCATGTCGGCAAAGCGGCTTCGTCAAACGCTTTCCAATGGGAGAGTAGGCACCTAATTTGCCGGGATCGAAGCATCCAGAGCTAGCGCCACCTGCGGAAAAAACAAGGCAGCTCTCCCATCCGTAGGGGCTTGCTTGCGCAGCTGCGAGCTAAGGTCTGGGCACCATCGGCATTGGGGGAAATTGGCATAGGTCCCATACCCGCGGAAGAGGCGAACCGAGCAGGCGTGTAAGTGACGTCGTGCCTCCACGGTGAGTCGGTACCTATGTGACCGGGGTAACACGGTCTTCAACGCTCGTTTACATGTTTTCTTACTGTCTTCATTATCTTCGATCTGGATTTGGGTCCGAAGCTACCCTTGTTATCAAACGTTCCGAACCTGGAAATAATAGTAAATGCGCGATGGAGGAGGTCGGCAACCATCGTACCTCGCTGGACGACGATACTTCGTCAGTGTATCAGTCCGCAGCTTCTAACGATGGCAGGGTCAGCCTCTCCTCGACGCAATGGGATGGCGATGCTGAGTCTCATCTCCCTCCGCTTCGCCCGGCCTCTCCTTTCTGGCTCGCCGGCGAACTTCTCGACGGCGTTTCCAAGTTTAAATATTCTCACTCAAGAGACATTTCCACGGCCTCGAGCAAAACGCTGAACGGAGGCAGCGAGACGGACAGCCAACTTCACTTAGATCGGCAGACTACCTTGGCTGATCTCCTGATAGATTCGGCTCCTCATCTCCGACATCTATCGACTGTTAGGACAGATGACGCGAAATTCAGAATCGTCTCATCTAGGCCTAAGGAACGGCTCGTTACGCCCGTCGGAGAACAGAGGCACCCGGGCAAACCGGGGTTGCAATTTTGCAAGACTTTGCGTCCGTTTGAGCCGGAACCACAAGGAGACAGCGATGGGCGAAGCCAACGGTCTTCCGTCACCATAGCCGAAACCGCCGACCAGAACCAGTTCTTACAGGGAATACCTCTACTTCTACTCACCATTGGTCTCTCATTAGTCGTTTTCTTGATCTCTATAGATCGAACTATCATTACAACTGTAAGCAAACGTGGGACGCCTTCGAGATTGGGAATAGGAGACTAACGCGGCATATAGGCCATTCCTTTTATTACCGCCGAGTTCAAATCTACGGCGGACATTGGCTGGTATGGCTCATCATACCTCCTTACGGCATGCGCCTTTCAACCCGTCTTCGGACGCGTCTTCACTCTCTTTAACATCAAGTGGTCGTATCTTCTTTCTATGTTTGTTTTTGAAATAGGCTCTATCATTAGCGGCTTCGCGCCGTCTTCGGCAACATTAATTATCGGACGCGCGATCGCCGGGTTTGGCAGCGCAGGCATCTTAACCGGGAGCTTTGTAATAGTTGCTACGGCTGTACCTTTAACAGTTAGGCCGATATATACTGCGGTCGTTGGGTTAATGTAAGTGCTCTATAGCCCCTGAGTGCCAATCGCGGAAAGCTAACTTCGTAGGTTCGGTGTTGGCGCCACTGTTGGCCCTCTCATCGGAGGTGTATTTACGGATCTAGTCGTATGTATAGCCCCTAAGCCATTGAATTGAAGAATCAATAGACTGACATCGACGCAGACATGGCGATGGTGCTTCTGGATTAACCTTCCGGTTGGTGCAGTGACTATCATTGTGATGATACTTGTATATCACCCGCAACCGCGCACGGGGTCCAAGGAGAAAGTCACACAGCGCCTGATTAGCCTCGACCTGATCGGGAACGTAATTCTCTTGGGCGCCGCTGTGATGTTGTTCCTGGCTCTGGAATACACCCTTACAGGCGCCGACTGGGCAAGCGCTGAAGTCATCGGCCTGCTCTGCGGTGCCGGCGTGGCGGCGATCGTACTGGTTGGATGGCTCCGGTGGAAGAAAGACCGTGCTCTGATCCCGCCCGCAATTGCCAAGCAAAGGACCGTCGCCGCATCGTGCCTGATGGCATTTTTTACTTATGGCGCCTTGTTGGTGCACACATATTTCCTCCCGATCTGGTTCCAGGCCATCCTAGGCTACAGTGCCATTCAATCAGGCGTTGCCATGATCCCGTATTTTGTTGCAAACGCTTTGTTTTCCGTCTTCTCGGGCATCTTCGTGTCTGTCGTCGGCTACTACACACCACCGGCCATTCTCGGAAGTGCAATCGGTACTGTAGGCTGTGGTATCATTACGCTGTTCCACCCGAGTATGAGCACGGCAATGTGGATCGGATTCGAAATTCTCGCGTCGGCTGGATTCGGCATGTCCATTCAGCAGGGCTTTACGGCGGTGCAAACGGTGTTAGGACCGGAAGACTTGGCTGTCGGTACCGCAGCCGTCGTCGCGTCTCAATCGCTAGGTGGCGCCGTTTTTATATCGGTCGGCAATAGCGTGTTCCAGAACCGTCTTGCGGATCTCATCGAGAAGACAGATATTCCAGGTCTTGACGTCCGTGCTATCGTCGGCGCAGGGGCCATCGCCTTCCGAAAGGTCGTCCCGCCCGAGCAGCTTCCCGCCCTACTTAAATTGTACGACGAAGCACTACATACCGTCTTTCTCGTTGCAGTCCCGCTCGCCGGCTTGGCATTCTTGTCCTGCTGCGCTCTACAGTGGAAGTCCGTTAAGAAGCCAAGCAAGCCTGTGGCTGAGACGGAAAAGGTATAGATACAATAACTAGGCTATTACAAGTTCTTTTGTTATATTATGTTGTATTATGTTTTGGTATGATAGGTTAGGATAAGATAAGTAATGGGTCAAATTTGTATTAATACGGCGTATTAATGTTAAGGGGGAGCATACACGTGTAGTGTTTAATCTTCCGCGTTCAATGCATTGCCACGCTGCCACGAGCATAGCGCAATGCAACCCCTGGTCGGTTAGGATCATCAAGCAATACCAAGCCAGCAGGGCTGCCAGGGTCTGAAATCTGTTTGATGTTTGATGTTTTAGCATGTGGCTCTTGGATTAGGAGTAATAGGGCGAATCAACTTGGCTTCTACGTATATGATAGAATTAAAAGAATAGCTTTGTTAGTTGAGCTATACATACAAGCGATTGTTCTAAAGAAAGAAACCAATCATTCTTTGACTCGGTGGCATGATTATAATAGGTCTAGGTACATAAGATGCCATTTCGGAAAACTGGACATACGGAATCCTACAGGCAGAACAGGGTGGGCATCTCCGCAAACCCTGGTGATCTTATCTGTGTTTTGGGCAGCACATAGGCCGTGCTTCGTTGGACAGAAAAAACAAGACTTCTGGAAGAGGCACAAAAAAAAAAAAAAAAAAAACTTCCCCAAACCCACCGCTGTTCATTCATTCGTTCATTCATTTATTTGTTCATTCGTTTATTCGTTTATTACCAACTTTCCTTCTTGTCTTTTAAATCGCCGTCGCGGCTGGACCGAAGTTTCAACACGTTCGTTTAAGGGCTAGAGATAGGTAGCCACCAGCTATGGGGATTCAATGGTGGGATGATTTCGGCGACAAACATCCTAAAGTTCATGACACTTTGACCAACGCGGCATACGCCATAAGACCGTATCTGCCTCCAGTCAACTACATCACGCTGCACTATGCGTACTTCATCGGCACCACGATCGTGGCCACGCTCATCTTCTGGGGCGCCTCGGCTCCCAAGTACAGCGTCGGATGGTGGGACAGCATGTTCATGGTCATGTCGGCGCTGACTGCGTCCGGGCTTAATACCGTCAACGTCAGCCAGTTGACGACGTTTCAGCAGGTCGAGCTGTGCGTGCTGATGATGATTGGGAGCCAGGTGTTGATCTCGTACGTTACGATCGCGTTCCGGAAACATATCTTCGAGAAGCGGTTCGAGGATATCGTCAAGATGGAACGCGAGAAGAGGAAGAAGAAGGTGTCGGGAACGGGTGCTATCGTCGGAATGACGGGTGCTATGTTTGGCTTGCAGGTCATGTCGTCGTTTGGAAAGGGCCGTGCGGGAGAAAAGGCCCGGCCTACCAGCCATGTGAGGAACCTGTCTTCGTCCACTAGAAGACAGGTTCTTGCCGAGGAGGGAACTATTCCGGAAATCGACGTCGAAAACGCAAGGGGCCAGCAGCAGCAACACCACGTCGGCTTCCTCGAGCCCGTCCAGGAGGGCAAATCCCTCGAAGGAGGCCACTCGGCGACAACCGCGCACTCCATCTACCAGACGCAATCTCATCAGAGCGGAGCGACGAGACGACGATCTGGAACGGTGGAATCGAAGACGGCGTTCGAGGGGTTCAACGTGCAGACATTCCTAACGGAGCAGAAGCGCAATATCGGGAGGAACGGGCAGTTCTTCAATTTATCGGAGGATCAACGAGAGTACCTCGGCGGCGTCGAGTATCGCTCGCTCAAATTCCTGTCCGTCTTCGTCCTCGTCTACTTCGTGCTCTGCCAGTTCTTCGGTGCCATCGCTCTCGGCGCCTGGATGTCTGTCTACGCGGTCGACACCGCCGCCGTCAACGCCCAGAATCCGTGGTGGGCGGGCATCTTCCTGGCCATATCCTCGTACAACAACGCCGGCTTCACGCTCCTGGACGCGGGCTTCATACCCTTCCAGTCTTCGTATTTCCTGCTCGTCGTCGTCACGCTGCTGTCGCTCGCGGGCCCGGCGGCTTTCCCGGTTTTCATGCGGTTTATAATCTGGAGCATGTCGACTCTCCTGAATCTTCTTTCTAAGGATAAGGAGTACGGCGTCTGGAAAGAGGGTTTCGACTTCATCTTGAAGTTCCCCCGTCGCGTGTATACCAGTTTGTTTCCGGCCAAGGATACGTGGATGTTTGCGGCTACGTTTGGAGCGTTCGTGATAGTGGATTGGGTCTTGATTCTGCTTCTTAGCATTGGAAACCCGACCATGGATGCTATTCCCATCGGCCAGCGCATTTTCGACGCGCTCTTCCAGGGATTCTGTAAGTTCCCTTATGATAATAACACTTGATACTTTAGAAAAGGATACCGAGCTAACAAGTTGAACAGCGATCCCTTCAGGAGGATATGCTATAGTATCACCTTCAGCCATGTATTTCGACATTCTAGTACTTTGGCTCGTCGTGTACTATACAGCGGCCTACCCTCACATCATCACCATGCGAAACTCCAACGTCTACGAAGAGCGATCGTTGGGTATCTACGAAGGCGACCAGCCTGAAGAGGAACAACTCCACTCCGCAAGCAGCAGTATCGTCGAGGAAGATGCCGCCAATATCCTAGACGAAACCGGACTCCAGCCAGCCACGACCAACAACAACAAAAACTGGGACGCGGTCTCGCGAGCTCCGACCGCTAAGTCCGTTAAGATGCTCGTTTCCGTCGGTCGACGCGGCACGGCATTCGTAGGCCGCCAACTCCAGCGTCGCATGACGGCCTTCCAAGGTGTCGGCGTCGCCGCACCCGCGCCCGCGCCAGCGATCAAGCCGCTCAGCCGCGCCAAAACCATCGACTTCGGGCGAGCTTCGGTGCACTCTCTTCACAACCACCCGCCCGCCGGTCCCCCCAGCTTAGTCTCGCAGCAGGTGCGCGGCCAGCTCAGCCACGACGTATGGTGGATCGCGCTGATGCTCTTCTTCATCACGCTCATCGAGACGAGCCACTCGCTCGCGGACCCGGTCTCGTACAGCGTCTTCAACATCCTATTCGAGATCGTCTCGGGCTACACGAACATCGGCATTAGCATCGGCCTGCCCGACCAGAGCTACAGCTTGAGCGGGGGCATGCACACGGGAAGCAAGATCATCATGATCTTGGTCATGCTGAGAGGTCGGCACAGAGGCCTGCCTGTCGCGCTGGACAGGGCTATCCGGTTGCCGGGGAAGAAGCTTGCCGAGTACGAGGAGGAGGACGCTGAGATTCGGAGCATGTCTGCTTTCTCGCGTTGAGCTTTGGCGCCAGCCGTGATTGTTTTGAGTACGAATGATGATGCCGTGAGCATACTTCGTAGTTAAACCAGGTGCTTTGACATTTAACACTCACCACTAAATACTTTACGTTTTTTCCTTTGTCATATTCTTCTCTCCCCCCCCTTTTTAGATTCTTTTTTATTCTTCTTTTTATTTTTTGTTATTAGGATATCAACGCGATTAGACGGAGTAATAGAGGCAAGTATTGCGGTTCAAGGGCCAGAAAACACATTTGGACTTTGACTTGGTGGCTATTTTCAAGATTAATCAGGCGTTATAAGCGAGCGGGCAGTACATACACACACACACATGGTCACGAAATACAGAAGTTATTGAATTCTTCAGAGGCTCGCCTTAGTCATAGTTAGTATGTGTGATAACAAGATTTTATCATGCGTAAGACATGGAGCCATAGTCTTATTAGGCTTTACTACTACTACGAGAATGAAAAGATATTTTCTCGTATCATCTTAGTATGACGGCGTTCTTGATACTCAGGTGCTTGCTTTTCCTGTTAGAATCGGCTGTGATTATTTACCCAAAAATCTACCTAATTGGATTTTCGTGCGCAGATTTCTGCACGCCCAGACGAGACCTGCTACTTCGAGCTATGTGACTTGGTAACGTTATTCGGCTTTTGCCAACACTTTGCTGAGAAACTAGAGTGGTCTGCGGAGAGGTCTTGCTGATCGCTTTGAAATACTTCAGCGAGAAATCAGGAAACACCCCGGGTTTGCGTGGACGGAGACACTAACGATCTGCTTTCGTTCGAAATACATTCAAAATAGATTCACTCTTGAAACGACGAATGAACAAAGCTGGTGGCAAACCAATTCTGGAATATCTCGTCAGATGGAAAGGATAATTTTCCCAATTCAACTTCATATCTCAGATCAATTAAGTCCTACCATTAGCCCGGAAGGAAGTGCACGACGACGAAGCTATTGAAGAAGCCGTGCTGAAGACAACTTGGAGAGATGAGCTGGTCGAAGTCGAGTTGAATGGGCGGTCATTGGATTTCAAACATTTAACCATTGCGGGAGTTAAGTAATAGTAAGGGGTATATCGAAAGGGGTATCCGCTTGAAATATTATATCCCTAATGCTTCTATAACTAACTACGATTCTATTCAGATTTTTATAAGGAGTTATGAAGTAGTATCGACGTCTATGGTCTATTTATTGGCTGTATATTTGAATGAATATTTACGACCCTGATGCTTAAAGCTCCAAGCAGATTGAATATTAACTACAGCCAGTGTTAAGCATTATATGAAGCGGTTTTAACCCTGAGTAGTAAGCTACTATTTTCTACTCACCTACATTGTCTTCTTGAATATATGGGGGTATATGGTCGTGACAAGAAGTCCTCGTTTAGCCTTGATGGGCTATTCACTTTAGATATAAGCTTAAAGATACCCTCCATCAGAGCTTTATCCCAAAGAAGCGTGTTCCACCCACGTTTCTCAAGTTGATTCGATAATGGCGACAGAACTGAGTATCTTGACTTTACATCCCTTCTCTTAGAGCCGCACGTTAAAAAACGAAAACAGAATTGAGTATATATTTATAGACTATAATGAAGACTATAATTTATGGTATCGCCATATTCATCCAAGTTGAATAGTTAGATGGGACTATAAATGGCAACACTAAAGAGACTGGTGAGATATAGACATAGGTGGCTATGAACTGGGAAGGTCACAGTTTTGAGTGAAACATATAATTTAAAGATTTAAGATAATAGGGTATAACCTTGGGAGACAAGTTCTACTAGTCGAAAAGTTGTCGAGCGTCATTATAGCTTGAACTCCTTGGTGGTGCTTGTTTGATTGTTTGCTTAATTCTTAACTACGCTATAATGATTGAAGATTGAGGGAATCATAGCGCGTTTGGAATAGCAGTTCACATATGCAATTCTGCGAGTTTTGATACCGCGGAACAGGAATAATATGACCTTCACAACTTGCATATCTTACCTACGTCATTCTAGACGTACTGACGTACACTTGAGCTTTCCGATTAAGGCTCCTGGGCGCTCACTGCCAGGAACGCGGGGCAGCGGGGTAGGTACTATCTGCCCGCTGTTGATCAACAGGTACCTGTCCAGACCTATTCGATTTCCCCTTGTCCTTATTTTACTTTTTATCGTGAATGTAGAGATCTAAGCGACGCATTGTCTTCAAGGCCAGGCTCTTCTCTTTTATAGACTATAAATAGTTCTACCCTCGAAAATGAAGCTGAAAGGGACTCGAGATGCTAGTCATGCAGACAGTTGGTACGATGGGGATCCCGATAGCTTGTCTAGCCAGCTCGACAACTTTCTCAACGATGTCCCAAGCTCCATCGATGACAACGGCCTCCCGATTCCCGGAGCCAAAATCGTGATTGCACCGTAGGTTCCTTTCCTCTTCTATCCCCTAGTTAATTATACATTTCCGTTGTTCCTGCGGAATTCCTAACTTCTAGCTTGCACAAAGACATGCAGGCTATTCGTACTCAGGACCCTGCGCAGCTTGGGCGTATAAGTGTCTCGACCTCACTAAAGCCAAACGAGTCTTTGTCCTCGGACCTTCTCATACGTATTACCTCCGCGGATGCGCCCTAACCAAGTTTGCCAAGTACGAGACACCCTTTGGCGACTTAACTGTCGATGAGGATGTAGTCCAACAGCTTCGCGACACGGGCAAATTCCAAGATATCCCCAGCAGAGGTGATGTGGACGAGCATTCGCTAGAGATGCATCTCCCGTTTCTCTACAAACGGCTCACTCAGACCTTCTCGTCCGAGGCCGAGTATCCTACTATCGTACCAATCCTCATTGGAGACAATAACGGCGCCGAGGAGAAAGAGTTCGGCAAGCTGTTAGCGCCGTACCTACAAGACCCAGATAACGCATTTATCGTGAGCTCTGACTTCTGTCACTGGGGTTCGAGATTCAGTTACACGGCTTATGCGCCGGAGGGCAAGGTCGACCAACTACAGTCTCTAAGCCGAAAGACGCCTAAGCCAACAAACCCACCTATACATGAAAGCATTAAGCAGGTTGACCACCTGGCCATGGACGCCGTTGCGTCGGGAGACCACAACAAATTCGTTGACAACCTCAGGCACACCAAGAATACCGTCTGCGGACGTCACCCTATCGGCGTTGTGATGGCGGCCCTGGAGGAGCTAGCAAAAGACAAACCGGACCCCGATAAGTATCGATTCAAGTTCGTACAGTACCAACGCAGCAGCTTGGTCGAGGATGTCACAGACTCGAGCGTGAGCTACGCATCTGCGTACGCGATTGTCTAAGGGGGGTAATAGATGGGGACTTGGGGATGAGGAGTTAGTAATAGATGAGCTCGCGCTCCGAAGTTGATAGATGTACTAATTACTACTGAATTCATGAAATGGATAGCTTATGATACGATACGATTCTTGCCTAAATTAGAAGCTGATGCTTAGAAGCTGATGCTCGGATTTATTCCTAGGTATCTATCTGTTATGTTATAACATGTTGTCATTGCTTTACGCTTTTGATATTAGAATATTAACACATGTCTCAGGAGAGTGATAGGATAGCCGTCATGTACATGCTTAAAAAGCTAGGGAGGCTAATGTCTTGATGAATAGGTCATCTTGAGATTCAAAGTTTGATCTCTCTTATCTGATGATTTCGACTCGATGCCCCAAATATTCCGAGTTTCACTACAGCGATCCACGGCACTTTCTCTAGACTGACAACGATCCAGTCTTCGGAAATAGTTGATCCTGACGATGAATATCCTGGAACTGCCCGTAACATTATAGTGGTGGATGGTATTATTGGAATACATATATAATGAATTACTAAGCCGCGAGAGATGTGATAATTGGTAATATACTAAAAAGTTCTACGATATAGGTTGGATGAGCTCAAAATTGGATGTATACGCTTAGTTGGCATCTCACCACAACTGGACTCCATAATGGCGAGATTTTGACGATGACGAGTCGCCGTGGCTTCTAGTGGCGGTCTGATACGAGCCATTATACTGGAATACGATTAAACCTTGTTGTTACATACGAGATCTCGGATTTGTGATCATTCAGGTTGGAGTACAGATGCGAGCTGCCGTTAAATGGTTGCCTAACTAGAGATTCAAGCTTAACATTATGCTGAGTTCGGTTACGTGTGACCTGCGTGGCTGATGTCAATAGAGCTAATTGGTCCTAATGGTCGGACTCGGATAGGTTCAAAGACGACATTCGGACTGGAGACTGGAGACTGGAGAACATCTGGGGTGTTTTCTTAGCGTAAGTGGTAGCTTGGCATTGATCGACGTGAAGAATTGAAACGGATACCTACTGTTGAATGGCTAGAGATCTGTTGGTTGACAGGGGCCGATCCGAGAGGTGATCCTGTAACTCGAGCTAGGTTAGGTACATATGTACAGTCAGACCTCGATATAACGAATTAAATTTTTCATGGTTTTGGATTCGCTATATCGAGGATTCGTTATATAGTAGGTAAGTGCACAGGCCACATTATTACCTAAAATGGTAAGGGGCACCTTGAAGTCTTAAGCTTAAACCGATTTTAGCGAAATTCAACGAAATATTTCCGAAAACGGCTTAGTGCTTACCTAAAAAAGGTTAAAAGTTTACCTTTATACAACGAATTACGTGATGACAAATCAAAAAATTTAACGAATTCGTTATATAAAAAAATTCGTTATTTTACATATAAATTTCAAAAATTTCTAAAATGAATTCGCTAAAGCGAGGATTCGTTATATTGTAGATTCGCTATAGACAGGTCTGACTGTAGTAATAGTAACGAGGAATTCTTATCGATCGGGTGGCTCAGCCTGACGCAAGTGTTTTGTTTTATACCTAACTAGTGGTGCTTTAAGAACTCTCCTGAGGCTATGTCAAACCTCATCGTATACTTCGTACTATGTACCTAAAGTTGGTTGTTCAGCCTCAAGGAGACTGGATTTGGGACGGCTGTGCTGGGGAGTTAGTGCGATTACCCCAGCCGGCAATTTTTAGATTACCTGTTAGGTATTTATATGGAAAAGGGGAAAGATATAGCGGTGATCGAATGCTGTTAGTTAGGTATAAGCTGATTCTGCGGCTATTAGTCCTTAGCTAAAGCGAGCTTCGCGTGAGACTTTTGAGAATATCCTATCGCATTCTCCACAAGTGAAGATCTTGATAAAAGGGATAAGATTTTATATGGCATGGATATGATCATATGAAATGGTACGTTTATACTAAGACGAAATGTTAGAGGATTAAAAACCAAACTAGGAAAATTGTAAAGTTGATCACTGCCACCACCTTACCCTTAAGCGGTAGGGCTACCTGGATGCTTAGGACGCAGGCTAAGAATAATGTTATGTACCCTGCCACTCAATCTTACATGCAGATGAGAATTCACTAGCTACTTCAATTCTAGTCAATTTTGAAGAGTCCAAGTTTGCATTCTGCATTAAGGTTAGACCGATAATTGATCCCATAGCTGCCGCAGCTAGTGAATTTACGCATGCAAAAATCGGCAGGCGATTCTCGCATCTGATACAAGGTTAGAGATTCAGGCGATGCAGAGCCAATAATATTTGAGGTGGATCATTTATAGGAGACAGGCCAGGTACCTAAGTGTTAGTGTACTGGGTCTCTATAATTGGGCTAGACGATACGATGCATAGGCCTTGTATATTGCCTAGAAGAGTGTTAGTACCACTTTTAGGACTCCACCCGTCCGGGCTAGTTCCATCCATTCAAACCCTTTTTTTGGCTTCAGCTTGTCAGCTTGGCTCCTCTTTGCAACAACAAATAAACCAACTGTCCAGAACATCTTTCTTTCCTGTCAGTATCGTTGCGATTCTTATTTTTTGTAAACTTTAATTCTTTCCTCCATCTATTTTTCCATAAACCATAAATTAGAGAACCCGAATATTGATAAGCCTCTCGAATTAGTGCAAACAAACGAGACGTCAGACGAGATCCATCTTGAAAGTACCTAATTTATCCTAGCCGAGTCTGCTCCCTAGCAGACAAAGCCGCCGAAGCGCCATGAGTGTAAGAAATCTACCCCTTGAGTGTTTCAATCGATCCACCCAATTTAGAATACAGAATACCACACGCATTTCCTATCCTTTTGTAAACCTACTATTTTTATTTTCATCCATTGTTTCTTCAAAACTTCAAACTTCACAGAACTGGTATTCTGGGATAAATAATCACTAACATCATGGCACAGTACGGGTTTGTTATACCATTTTTTCGAATCGTAAAACACAATTGCGATAAAAGCGCCGTTTAAGCGACTAACACTTTCATTAATCTAGATACGGTGGGCAGCAGAACCCCTTTGACGAGCGGAATAGCGCTGTCAATAACGGCTACGGACAACAAGAGTACGGAGATGAATATGGCTGTACGTTTTCAAATACGATATGCGACGCCCTATATCATCACGCTAATGAAATATAGCAAATGTCGAGATGGCTTCGCTCACCCAAAACCAAGGCGGCTTTGGAGGTGGAAATGCGAACTCTATCCTGGGCGAGGTCACGGAAATCAACCGCGGGATCGATATGATTGACCGAAATCTTGACCAACTTAAGATGCTTCAACAAAGAGCCCTCGACGACGCCGACGCTTCCGCTTCCAGCAACACCAATCGCCAACTAGATGCCCTCAGCTCCGAGACTATGGCCCATTATAGATCGCTCACCGACCGCGTCCGACAATTAAAGAGCAACCCTGAGAGCCAGCAGAAGTTTGCTCAACAAGTTCGACGCGTCGACAGCCGATTAAAGGATGCGATTAGGGCCTACCAGGGTGTCGAGTCGGCGTTCCGCAAGAAGACCCAAGAACAGATGGCGCGACAATACCGCATCGTACGACCCGATGCCGACGAGGAAGAGGTGCGAGCTGCCGTTGAGGATCAAACTGGTGGTCAGGTTTTCCAGCAAGCATTAATGCAGAGCAACCGTCGTGGTCAAGCCCAAGCTGTTCTGAGCGCTGTGCAGGATCGTCATGCACAATTAAAGAAGATCGAGCAGCAGATGATCGAATTAGCGCAGCTGTTCCAAGATATGGATACGCTCATTATTCAACAAGAAGTCGCTATTGCCAACATTGAGCAAAAGGCTGAAGAAACAGTTGAGAATCTCGACAAAGGTAATCAAGAAGTGGGTGTAGCTGTCAACACTGCTAGGGCGACACGAAAGAAGAAGTGGATTTGCTTGGGTATTGTCGGTATGTGTCTACCCTCGCTTCTTTTACTAATGTGTATGGGGAATTGACGTTTTTATCTAGTTGCTATTATTGCCGTTATCGTCATCATCGTCGCGGTATATGTATCGGTTACAAATGCGGCGAAAAACACGGCTACCAAGCGCGACATCATACAACCAAACATCCGGTCATGGTTCGAAAACGTGGCTGTTCCCCAACTTCTTAGCGAAAGAGCCCATCCAAGGGCATTTATCGCTAGCGGTGGGCATTCGGGCGCGTAATACAGGATTGCTACTTATTCTTTCCTTATAATCGAGCTTCATCGCAGTCTAATCTACTTAGAAAGAAAGTACAAGTAGGACAGGCGGATGTGCTCATTCCCCACTACTCATCACACCTACTATTCACGAACTTTGGCACGCAATCTCCTTCGTGTTCGCTTCGTATATTATACCTCCCCGTCGTCATTATACATATTTAACTCGGATACCTTTTTGCGTGGTAATTTGAAGCCGAACCGCTTGATTCGTCAGCTGGAAGTCAGACTCGATATTGGATTCCAATGGACGGAAAGCGAAGGTTGGCTACCTACCGATAGAAGGGGCGGATTGTCTCTGGTAGCTTTCTGGCTACCTGGTCCTAGGAGAAAATCAATCCTTTGTGTACTCGGTCTTATTTGTAAGCAGGCTTGGAGAAGAGGAGTTGCTCGCATTTCCCGGCGTTTGGACTCACTACGCAGAATTTTATTGAGTGCTGTTTCATTGGACTGCAACTTGCATTAATGCTGAGTGTGTGTATTGTTGTCTGTTGTTTGCGTACTTGAATTGGTGTGATAATGTTGTGGAACTATTAGTGAAGGCATACGTACTGGAGTATTTAACACTGGGCGACACGTAAGTACATAATCGAATCAGGTGTTGGTGTTAATTAGTCTCTATTTTGGGGTATGTCTCAGGGGGTTGTTCTTGGGTATATGCATATAACCGCAGACTAGGTATCACCAAATATGAATTTAAGCACCTGATATCCCTTCACATGCGTCCTTGGTTTAAGCGTCAGACCCATTTTCGGCCCAATTAAAATAAAGTTACCGGGTAAAAGTCAGGAGCATCGCATCCTGGCAGTAGCAAGCTGCATGCTGCATGCCGCATGCCGCGAACCGCGACCGCTCCATATTTGAGATGCTTTTGACCTTCATCATAACCTTCATCATACACAGGTACCATTTATGAGTTTCGACAATACTCAATAGACTCAGTTTTATGCAGGAGATACTGGCGGTTAATAGAATGTTTGCGAAACATTGAATAAAGAGTATAAAGGTCACCTTTAAAATTATCATCTACATAGCAACCAAGCACTTTTGTTGTAGACCTCCCTTGTTCTTTCAGCTTGTCGGAAACCTCCAAAATGTCCAGGTCTGTCGACGGGGAACCTCAAAAGAGATAGCATACCCATTACCCATTACCCATTACCCATTAAACCCTTGGGAGTGTTCTTTGGTATGCGAGAAGACATATTGATAAGGCTGATGCCATGGGCACGATGAAGGACAATAGTGGTGGTGATTCGTTTGCCATCTACCAAAGCCGATTACCGACGGCAAGGTCTTCACATAGCCGTGGTAGTTACGAGGTCGGCGAATCTAGCGCTGCTGCAAGCCTTAACGAGCCTTCAACAGGTACAACCACCCTATCCTATTCTTCTCGCATAGACCCCGACGAATCGAACTCGAGCCCCCATGCGCCGGACCAGGGAGGTAAGGACCTGAATCATGAGGTGCATAGACGGCGCCGGTCACATAAACCCCGATCGAGTGGAGGCTTTCTCCTTGCCAATCCCCTTATCAACGAACCGCCTAAACCAAGGTCGACGAGTCGGGATGATGGTCATAGGCGATCACGTTTACCGGTAGACAGCCGCAAGGGAAAGGGGTCTCTTGCTGTGCCGGATAAGTTGAATGCAACGGGTGCCCCTCGGATGGGGCTGGGTATTGATGGGCAGGAAATGAGGAGGTCGAGCGATGGCCAAACACAGCGAACAATAAGTCCGATCCCTGATGAAGAGGAGAGACGGCATAGCCATGGTGGACGAGGAATCTCAAGGATCCCAACTCCAACTCCGCGACCAAGTACGGCCCCCCTTGATGTTGATTCCACTCAGATTGTGAACATGGCTCTCAACCTGAGTGAATCGAGGCGTATGGCAGAAAGGAGAAATATGTCGACTCCTATCCCTCCCCGACTTGCTCAAGTTCCTGACAGTCTGGCTGGGGGTGGTCTTAAGCAGCACTTACAGCAACAGAGAAGGACTTCTCGTAATATTTCACCAAGACCCGAGAAAGCTCTGTCTCCGAGGATCATGTCGGCATCGACAATGGCTAGCCCATTGCAGTCTTTCGATCCTGATGGTAGCTATCAGTACCATTTCTCGTCTTCAACTCTTAATCGGGCTCAGAAGGCGAAGGAATACCTTGAATTGATGGCTCAATACAGAAGGCTACTACAATTTCTCCCACCACTACTTAAACAGGACGTCCGCTCCCGACCTTCATCTTCTAACCTTTCAACGCCCTCCGCATCTCTTGGATCACCCTTGAACCCTCTTACTGGCGCACCGCAAGTCTCACTGGGTCGGGCTTACAATCCCCTTCAATACATTCGGAACCGGAAGGTCCGAGCCCGGGAACGCAAAGCCATTGATGGAGAGGCGCAAGGCTTCTCGGATACTTCAAGGGTGACGGATTGGATTGACGAGGCGGCAACATCTGCAGCGACGTCAGCCCTATCACTTGGGTCTTCTTCATTGCCTCATTTTCCGGGAGCACACGAACGTCCTGATCAAGACCTCCCCCCTTCTAATATTCCGAGACCGATCTCGACAATAGCGAAACCTAAGCGGCTAAGAATCGATTGGACCATCGATCCCGCAGATATGCTTGCGGATGCCTATTGGCTAGAACAGGGAGATAACAAATATCTCATTGAAGACCGTCACTATTCCAAGATCTTCTCGCAAAAGCCGGAAACCCAGGTCCCGATATCCTACCAGGCAAACGAACCTATTACGTCTATTCTTTCCATACCTTCTATTAAGGAAGGCGACGTGGGTGATGCCACTGCTGCTTCAGAGACAGACCATACGAGTCCAACTAAGGTGGAGTTCGAGATGCCTTCTTTAAGCGCACGGGAGCGTGCCCGTCAAAAGCTTCAAGATCTAAGGGGAATGCACCACAAACCGAATAATGCCTCCCATAGCCATGACTTCTTACGATTTAGGAAGGGTTCATTGTCAGATACGTCGGATAGTGAGAGTGACCGCAAGAGACGAAACCGTACCGGTACTATTAGTGCTAACGGCACGGATCTACTGGAAAAACAGATGATGGAGATGCTGGCGAAAGAAGTTGATGAGGAGCAGAAAACCTCGGACGAGCCTGATATTGGGCGCCTCAAGCAACTGCCCGCAAATATGGTGATGTCTGAGAAGACTTCCCATACTCCGGAGCAGATGCGTAGTAGTAAGGATTCACGAGTTGAGGTCATTGATAATTATGATAAAGTCGGCCGTGGAAGAGTATTACAAGGGTCTCCTGCAGGGTCGGGGCGTGCCAGTCTTGAGGTCCCTGGTCAGAATTATAGGCTATCGGTGGAGTTGGACTCTTCTCGACCAGCGTCGCCAGAGACAAGATCACGAGGCCGTAATATTTATATGCCAACCATTGGCATGGATATTTCCCCGCCTGATAGCCGACCGGGGTCTCCCAGCCGAAAGCCTTTCTCAAGGGTTAAGAGTATCTTCCGCGATCGTAGTAAGGAGCGAGAACGTGGTGCTGATAATTTGGTCCGCGATAAAGGTGACAAGGTGGATAGTCCTACCGAGCAGCCTGAGCTACTAAGTCCCTCTACTGGGACTACGGAGCGATTTGGTTCGCCTGATCGGCGTAGGTCTAAGAGCCTCACACGCAAGCTCAATCCGCGAAATACCAACGAGAGCCACAAATCACACCGTAGCATGGGAAGTATTAAAATAAAACCCGATGAGCAGGTTGGTCTTCGAACTATTTTTAAAGGAGGCGCCAAATTAGATGGCATGATACGTGGTGGCGTTTCTAAAGTCACTGACTTCTTATGGAAGAAAGATTCTGACACTGAGGATTCTTCGTCATCTTCGTCGAGCGAAGACTCGGAGGATGATTCTAAGAGAGGTAGACTTAGGAATTCGTTTGCCTTGTCTCGTAGCAACTCGCGACGTCGGGATGAGAGCAACCGTCGGAAGAACTACCTGGACGTTATGCCTCCATTCAAATCGGCGTCAGTATCCCTCGATAAGCCGATCTCTGGAGAGCTGGAACCCCTTGCTCTAACGCACACTACTTCACCACCTCCTAGATCGCCTAGGTTTGACCGACTGAAACCGCCTCGTATCGATATCCGCAAGGCTTCGCCTCCGTCGGAACTGGAACACACCAAGCCTCATCTGCTCCGCGACTCAGATGTCTCCGATACGGAATCACGCCCACGCGACTCGATCGATAAGCCGCGGGACAGCTTAATAGACTTGGCTGATATGCCCTCTCTCCCAGCTTCGCAGAACCGATACCGACCCCGCCTCGGTTCTCGGACGTTTTCGGAGAGTGCTCGCCACTGGTCAATCTCGAACGGTAGCCAGACACCCCAAGGCACACAGATTTCTAGGCGCGAGATTGCACGTATCCGCGCGCTAATCCTGTGTTCCGGTATTAAGGCGATGGAAATTTCGCGGCGTGCGCACGAGCAATACATGCTTTCTACGCTCGACGACAATGCCGCCGGGTTGCCGTGGGCAGGTATCCGCCAGTTCCTACCGGACAAATCAGCCAGCGTCGTTGTGTCGGAGGCGCAACTATACCCGGCTACAGCGCAGATACTCTCGGAGAGCATCGCCCGCTCGATCCAGGCCTCGGAGACTAGCAGAGCGCGGTTTGCGGGCGAGACCGTACCGGCGCTGTACCGGCGCGTGGATGTCTTACATGACCGCGTAGGCGGCGACTTGATGGAGATGACGCGACGTGCCGCGGACGAAGCGGACGAGGTGAACCGCGACCTGGTGGATGCACAACGACTCAAGGCGAAGCGTGTGACGGACACTATGGATAAGATGCTGCGGCGTCGAAGACGTCGGTTCCGGTGGGCTCGCCGCGCGGGTTGGCTCGCCGTCGAATGGGTGCTCGTCGGGTTCATGTGGTACGTCTGGTTCGTAGTCATGCTTGCTCGTATAGTACTAGGCGTGGGGAAGGGCATCGTAGGTGTCGTGAGGTGGCTGCTCTGGCTATAGCCTCGAGGGAAGAAATATCCAGATGACAAGATACCGCGTTATTCTTTGGTCTCATGCGTTGAGCACCGAGTATAGGAGGATTTTGCTTGGACGATAATCTTTTGGTAATGATACCCCTGTGGTTGCGTTGCGTTGCGTTTTCTTTTTCTCCTTCTGTCTAGCTCCCCTTTTCTCTTATGACTCTTTATTACTACTTACTACTTACTACTTACTACACTACTATCGACTTAGCCCACACGGGCGACTTTTTCTCTTTACCTACCTACCTACCTATTCTATGTATCTCATGTAAAATATACATGCTCGACTGTTATCAGTACTGCCTACCTACCTACCTACGTTTCTTTCCTTAGTGTCTGCGTTTCTTTTTAGCATGGTTTGTTTGTTTTAGTCTTTGAAGTAGAGAGCAGAGCAGAGCCGAGCGTGCCTGCGAGAAAGAAGAGAAGACAAGAGAGGAGAGGAGAGGTATGCTGTGTTGTGTCGTGCGTGGAGGAAGAATCACAGTTGCGCGGCGTGGATGGAGTCGGCATGAACTCGGAGTACTTCTAATAATTGCCTATGTATGCATTGCGCGGATTGGAAAAAATGGGATCAGAACACTGGTTATACGTACGTGTACGATATACGCGTTTCTATTACCGGGTGTTTTTTTTTTTTTTTTTTCAGCTGTAGGATTGTGTAATATGTAATAATGTTAAGTTTTCTGCTCATGGCTGCGTTTCTCTGTTTTTGAATTACGTGTTTGAGGCGCGTAGCTTAGGCGGAGATACCTCATGTAGGTGCACTTGGGCAGTAATATGTAGTGAAATAGGGGCAAGCTAGTTAGGTAGGTACGTAGGAGGTAGGTAGGTAAATGGCAGAATCGAGACTGGGGCTATACATATTACCATTAATGCTTTGCTTGCTGTACACTGATGACACCTCGGATGACAAACTACCAAATGCAAACAAACTCCAAACAAATATCTAAATACACGACATGCAGACAACAAGGTGAAGACAAATTATGCAATTATGCTAGAGCGTAATCTCGAATGGGCCAACCGGGTCGAAGGGACAATATAAAGTAAAAATACACGAAAGCCCCTCGGCAATTCCCTCCTTTTTCCAATTTACTCGATCCTCTTCTTGCCCTCTTCCGCGTTGAGATAGCGCGCGGTGCTTAATCCGCGCTCGTGTCGAGCCACGAACGGGCCGAGCAGCGCGTCGTTGTGGATCTTGGTGATGGTGTTCTGGTAGCCCTCGGTAGCCCAGGGTCGCGGGTTGAGTTTGGGCCAGTTGACCTGTAGTATTATTGTGTTAGTTAGGAACTTATCTATAATAAATACTGGTATTTATACAGACAGGATCGAGAGACGAAATAAAAGGAAGAGGGGAGAGGGAGAAGGGAACTTACGTAGAGCATCCCGTTATTAATAACAAAATTGAAACACCAGGCGGCGACCAACAACCAGAATAGGATGAAGAGCCTGATAGTCCAGACGGTTGAGCCCGGAAGGCGCCTTGTGAAGAGGCCTACGAAGACGAAAAATACGCTGAAGGCAAGAATGTAGGGGATGCTCTGGATGAGGATAGGTCTGCGGTCCGCAAATATAAACGAGGCGCCGATGTTAGCGGCAGCAGGCTCGTAGGCACCTAGGAATAGGTCGAAGGCATCCTGTCTAGGGCCGTCTCGGAAATTGTTTAGGTAGAATCTCGTAACGGCAATGTTGCCGTCTTGCAGAATACCTGCCTTTGTACGCTTTCCTGTGCGGGTGATATCCGTCTTCATAGCACCGGTGCCCGCGTACGATTTGGACACAGTGTCGGCGTTATCAGCCCATATGTTCCGGAAGAGGAATTCAAAAGCCGTGTCTGCGGTGGCGAAAGTCTCGCCTCGCTGGAGCAGACCAAGGTCGATGAACATGCGGTCTAGCGTCCATCGCGCCAGCATGCTCTGAACAACATTTGTGCGGTCTAGAGAGTCCATACAGTTGGTTCGAACGACGCTGGTCTGGAAGTTTCTAGTTTCGAGACCACCATTAGCGGGCATATCTACACCGCGGAAGTACTGTTGCTTTAGGAGAGCATCTTGAAGCTGCTCGACGAGTAGCATGGCCTTGTGCATCTGCATGCCCTTGGTCTCGTGGTGGTAGTCGAAGTAGACATAGTGCAGACGATCATATTCCTGTTTCGAGGAACTGGGCTCGATAATATGGAACTTCTCGTCAGTGATAGCGTCACCTTTGACCTTGTCTGTTGGTGACGAAACGAGCATCTGCACCATCTGTTCGTAGGCTTCCTTTATGCGCTTTTCGCGCCCACCCTGGTTGACTAGGTTTACTAAATAATTGTCTCCGTAAATCCGAATCTGCTCGTCGAAGTGCTTCTTGGCTGCTGGGAGGGCTGTTTCGATACCCCTGACCTGGAGCTTAGGGGTATATTTGAGCGCATTTATTTCAGCCCAATATACAGGCACGCTGCCTCGTGTTTGGACGTAAGATAATACCTGCGTCTCTGCCCCTTCCGAAGTACGGTATTTGCCGCTTTGCATATCGGTACTCCCAGCATATCCACCTAGACCTCGACCCGTATCATTCAAAACAACAATTTGTTCGGTTTCGTTGTAATTGGCGGCGTGTCCCTCCTCATCTAGACCTCGGGTGAAGTATCTGGTTCCGGCTCGGTGTCTTGCTTTACGAGTGATGAGAACAAGAGTCAGGGGTGTATTTTTGAATGTAGTCGGTCGGATCTCGAGGGTTCCCCATATAACTGGTAGGATATAAGGGTCAGCACCCGGTTGGGGTCCTGGTTGCGATCGGTTGCCAGTTCTACGGTAGTTGATGAGGTCTGATTGCACAAATCTATTCCAGAAGAAACGATCGTCGGCTCGCATCCAGAGTGGGCTCGAATTGTCCATAGTAGCTTGTCTCTGGAAACTGTTGGTGAGGTCGAGAGAATAGGAAAAGTACATGGGTCCTTTCATGATGTAAGTCTTGAGGAGTGATAGGAACTGGTCCTCATCAGGGTCGCGGATCTGTCGCTCGCGCATAGGGAGAAACTCGGTGGAGATAATCTTGTAAACCATATGGCCCTTAAGACGGCCCATGGGCTGGCTCTTTGTGATGACGATAACATACTTGTCTGCGCTGTGTTAGTCTTGCAAAGACATATATCATATATCCGGGAGGAGATAATCGGAGACATACCAAGTCTAAGTTTGAGAAAGCCTAGTATACCAGGTATACTGGAAACGCGAGATACGCGCTTGCTAGGGAAGTGAGAAGCTTCGCTTAATCTCACATCGCCTGTAGGGCGGTCAACAATAAGAGCCGGGGCATTAGGGGAGGAGGGCGATGTAAAAGTATAGGAATCTGCTGCTACGTGGACATTAATGTCCCGGTAGGGGAGCGTCATGACGGGCTAGCTGTATGATGATGGTGATGCTCAGCACGCACTCATAGCAGGATAGTCAAGAATAGAGGGAGAGAAATCAACATGTAAGAAGGACAAGGAGTGTAAAGAGGGTGAGACGACTGTGAGAGCACGTCGTTTTGGTTAGTTGAAGCGAAGTTGCGCAGCTTTTCTTTAAATCCCTATGGGTTTGCCGCTGATGAAATAGTGTACATCTATATTTCCCGAAAGGGGATTTCGACAACTGGACCGGTCGCAAAGATGCCAAGATGGTAGATGCCAAGAAAGGTAACAGGGTCTATTTCCAGGATGTGCATGGTCCATATACATAATGATAAGGAGTCTAAGTCCCAGTCTTATCAAAGTTGCCCCTGTTAACTTTAGAGAGGTACGTACCTAGGGAAATATCGTATAAGTGAATTATTACTGTCAAAGAGCACTACAAATCACATCAGTTGTGTTACATAGGCTGATAGGTTGGGTATATAATCACGTGTTATGTAACTAACAATAAAGAAGCAGCTCACCGTATATCATTCACTTGCTGCATGTGGTTTCCACTGTAGCCACCTGCAACGCACCGACTACCCGAGCCCTGACGACGTGTTGCCCCACCGCTGCTCACCTGCTCAGCCACTCACCATTCAGAGCGCAATGCACTTCTTCAACTACCTCTAGCTTCCTTCAACATCGCAACGTAGCCAAGGCAGTAATCAATCAACACACTTCACACTTTAACCCATCTTGTTCCGAACAACCTCTCGTTTATCCACGAAGCTAATTTCATACCATACCATCCTTTTTTTCTCGTATGAGCATTTAGAGTTGGATTACTACTTTACGGCCTGTCTTCCGTTACCCCCCAGTCCCCGGTTACTGCGTCGTTGATTCTATACCGTTAGGATTGACGATAATAATTCCCTTCCGATAAGGCAGACCCCGTAAAGTCTCCATTATCAATCGTCGCCTCTGTCTCCCCTCCATCCCTGTCCGTTTCAACTTCCATCTCTTCCCAAAGACTCGAGATATCTTCAGATCCCGTTCACTATCTGTCATGGCTTCTCGACCAGGGCCCGCAGGTAGGGGTGGTGTGACCGGCCGCTTCGCGCAGTTTAAGTTAGTACTGTTAGGTATGTATGACAACCTCAGATATTTGTAGCATCGTATGCTGATTAGATCACAGGAGAATCTGCGGTCGGAAAGGTACCTAACTATCTCACTCACTAGCAAGCCCATTCCCATTTTAGGCAGCATCGTTCGCTAACTCCTACAAAACAGAGCTCCATAGTCTTGAGATTTGTGAAGGTAAATGACTTCTTCACGTACTCTATAAAATTCATTCTCTAATACCTATCTAGGATCAATTCGACTCGTACCGCGAATCTACCATCGGCGCTGCTTTCCTAACACAAACCATTTCCTTAGATGAGAATACTACTGTTAAGTTTGAGATCTGGGATACTGCCGGCCAGGAGCGGTACAAGTCTCTTGCGCCCATGTACTACCGTAATGCGAACTGCGCCGTCGTTGTCTATGATATCACCCAATCCGTACGTCCCCTAGGAACAAAGAAACGGTGGTTAGGTGGACTGACAGTAAACATAGGCATCCCTCGATAAGGCAAAGGCTTGGGTAAAAGAATTGCAAAGACAAGCGAACGAGAACATTATCATTGCCCTCGCCGGAAACAAACTGGATTTAGTTACCGAGCAACCCGATAAGCGAGCCGTCTCGACTGCTGATGCTGAGGCATACGCAAACGAAGCGGGATTATTGTTCTTCGAAACTTCGGCTAAGACTGCAGAGAATGTCCGGGAACTATTTACCGCCATCGCGAAGAAGTTGCCGCTCGATCAAGTCGGTCCCCGACATACTAGACCTGGACAGCGACCGGGAGGCGTCAGCTTAGCTCCGGAGGGTGCAAATACACAATCAGGAGGGCCTTGCGCGTGTTAGAGGCAGTTCTGGGAGCTACTGGATACTATCTGGACCTGGTACGGCACTATCGAGACCTGGTACAGCGAATTCCCTCGTATCATACTGATCTATTTAGTACTGGGCCACCTGCTCAGCGCTCTAACTGTATTCTCAAGCATGATGTTGTTGAGATCATGCAGCGCTCGAGTAGGAGCACTTCACCAGGCTCTGCAATTCTATCAGGCTCTGGAGAACTGTTCGCGCCAAACTACTATCCAGATCCAGCCTAAAATAGAGACTGGAGGTATTTAAGAAGCATGAAGATAGGCGCGAGATGCTCAAGTGTATATTTCATTGGGAGTTTCTTGGCAGGAGGGCATACATCGTTTTTTTTAATACCTGATTTTTTGTTGGTCGAGTTCTCAAGGTACAGGCTTGGCTGCTAGATGCATTGCAGTCGGTCATGAGCTAGAGGTACGTATGCGTGTGGTTTAAGACGATCTTAGGACTGAGACTGAACGTTGCCGAGCTACTACGTATATAGCTCGACGAGTAATGCAATAGAGTAACATTTCTTCACGACGAGACGAGATATGCTATGCTATTAAATCAGCTTTAATGAGATATTTGCATTGTGGTTTATATATGATGTAGGTATAATTTATGTATACCTCTATCACGTACAGTAGGTGAAACCTGGAAGTGTGATGCTGTAATGCTGCATATGGTGATATGTACTGGATGGATAGGATGATTACCTAATAATATTAAAAAAAATCAATAAAGTATATATGTACATGCTACCTAGGTCCCACTAGACCGAGCACTGCTTTGCGCTTGCCGGGATTGTCCTATGCCCAACGCAACTTTACCTCGAAAACGACGTGCAGCTTAAAAAAAGCTTCCCGAGGTTTTTACATCGTATAATCCCTCGCCAACGACAACAACTCCAGTCACAACGTAGCAACGACAATCGCATTTTGAAGGCCCACTCCATGCCCTCATGTTGCGGACATCGTTGCGATCTGTCAGGGCCGTAGGCAGCAGGCCTGTTGCTGCTGCTGTCGGCCATCAATGGCAGCCCGCGATCGCACGATCGGCTGGTGCAGCTGGGAGGGTATGAAGTCACCAAACACCAAACATGGCATAATACCAGCATTACCTTTAGAACACTCTTAGAACCCTCCGGGCTAACATCAATTGCAACCAGAGATACTATGCCGATAACAAGAAACCCTCAATAAACGACTCTACACCCGCGAAACTGCCTACATCTGAGACTACCACTGCTGCGTCGAGCGATCCCCCCGCGCTGAAACCCGAATCCAAGATTGTTGAGGAAACAATCGACTCTAAGGAAGTCCCGCAGACGCCGCCTCCGCCTCCGCCTCCGCCTGTATCAGAATCTTCCGTAGAAAAGGCCAGTCCTAAACCCACCCCACCCCCGCCGGCGCCTGCGAGAAAGAAGAAGGGATTCTTCCGTCGATTGTATAATTCTGTCGTGACTCTGATACTCCTAGGAGCCATAACCTTCGCTGGTGGCGTATGGTATTCACGCATAAACGACAGATTCCATGACATTTTCACTGAATATGTACCGTTCGGTGAACAAGCCGTGCTCTACCTCGAAGAGCTCGACTATAAGAAGCGATATCCCGGAGGTCTGACCATTGGTGGCCGGGATAAGGATACCGGGGCTCAAGTTAAAATATCGCCGCAAAGTGGCGCATCTTGGAGAGTTGCAGACGCCGGCGAACCGGCAGGCAGACAGTCAAGTGCCATGCGGCATATTGCTGCTAGCAAAGATGCTGCCGCTTCAAAACACAAGAAAGATGCTCCTGCTGAAGAGACGCCTGCGGCGAAACCTGCCGAATCCAAGGATGCAGCTCCGGAACCCACTCCCGCCGCGGCTTCTAAAGCCGTAGAGAAGACCGAAGCGCCGAAGAAGGAAACCGTCGGCTTCGTAGCCCCCGAAGTCGACGAGCCTTCTCGATTCCCCCCTCCTACTCCCATTGACCCTTTGACCGTCAATGATGCCGACGAGGCCGTAGTCCAGGATCTAGTCAAGATGCTTAACGATATTATCACCGTTGTTAACGCTGACAACTCCGATGACCGATTTGCGTCCACTATCGGAAAGGCCAAGAACGAACTTAACAAGGTGGGCTCCAAGATCCGCGAGCTGAAGGCCCAGGTTGAAAAAGACGCTGCCTCGAAGGTGGCAAGCAAGGTTAAGGAGTTCGAAAATGCAGCTGTTGAGTTGGTCAGTCGTGTTGAAAAAGCTATGAATGCGCAAGAGAAGCAGTGGAGGGCAGAGTTTGAGGAAGAGATGCGACGCATCCAGGATGCCTATGACTCCAGAATCAAGACGGAAATAGAGCGGGAAAAGCAGATCAACGACGCAAAGCTTAACAATCAGCTTCTCGAACAGGCCGTCGATCTAAAGCGCCAGTTCTTAGAAGAAGTCAAAAACCGTGTCGAGGAAGAGCGGAATAGCAGACTCGGCAAGCTAGAACAATTAAGTAACGCTATCAGGGAATTGGAGAAGCTCACGACTGGATGGAACGATGTTGTCGACACGAATCTTAAAACCCAGCAGTTGCATGTCGCAGTCGAAGCTGTGCGTGCTAGTCTTAATGACACCGAGCACCCACGACCTTTCGTTCGAGAGTTAGTCGCCCTGAAGGAGATCGCTACGGATGACCCAGTCGTCAACGCAGCCATCCGCTCGATCAACCCGTCGGCGTATCAACGTGGCATCCCTACACCTTCTCAATTGATCGACCGCTTCCGTCGCGTTGCGTCTGAGGTAAGGAAGGCCAGCTTATTACCGGATGACGCAGGCGTAGCTTCCCACGCATCAAGCTGGCTGTTGAGCAAAGTTCTTTTCAAGAAGCAGGGCTTAGCGGCTGGTGACGATGTTGAGAGCATTCTCACCCGAACACAGACGCTTCTTGAGGAGGGCAACCTGGATGCCGCGGCACGCGAGATGAACGCCCTACAAGGGTGGGCTAAGACGTTGAGCCGAGACTGGCTGGCGGAGGTTAGGAAGGTGCTCGAAGTGCAACAGGCATTAGACGTAAGTTTTCTACATATTATCAAGTAATTCATGTAGAGGTATACTAACAAACAACAATTAGGTCATCTCTACCGAAGCTCGGTTGCAGAGCTTAAGAGTAGAGTAAACTAGGGGACATAAGAGACGGAAGCATATCCTTTTCTTTCCTTTTACTTTGTCACCTGTCCCTTGTACATTCTACCTACTTACCTACCTCCTACCCAACCTACTTTACCCTTATCTCTAGAGGAAAGAAAATAAAGGGGGGACGGGAAGGGCGGCTGATTAGCCTGTGTATGAGATAATAACAAGCAATAGACGGCAGGTATATCCTGCTTTTGAAATGTTTTATGTCTCGCAACGTATAAGTGTGTATGCTAAGAGTGACTTGTTGGTTTGGTAAATAGTGTAGATAGAACTATATCATGAGGCATGGGTGATTTTTGCGTACTATTGCTAAACTAGAAGAACCACTTAATAGCTAAGTACTTCGTAACCTACCTTGAAGGTTAAAAGACAATTTATCTTTTGATCGAGTCTAGCTTTCTAGTCATGAAACATCGTGAGTAGTACCCCCTCCCCCCCGAACACCGGAATCGACGAATGATAGTCACCAAACCGCCATATGCGGGGGCCGATAGCATACCTACTATAATGAACCACCATCACTGTCTTATGTGGTCTTCAGCATATACGCATATAGGTGCCACCTACTCAACTGAACCGGGAGCGGGGGAAGATTGGTTTGCTATATAAATAGCTGCATAACTATACATTAACTGGGACCTCACTTCATAACTCGCTGGGGCTACGACCGGATATATATAGCCGCTCTTGTATAGCTGAATGTTGCGGTGTAAGTTGTGGGGAGCTATACTCGTACCGCGTCCAGTAGTATAGTCCCTCAGGGGTAATAGTAACGGCTCCCGCAGAATAGAAGCAGTCGATAACCTTGTATTAATACGAAAAGGGTTAGTTAAACGAATTACCATTCTATTATATTGGGTAATAGCACATACTATACCTTCTCCTTCAACTAAAAGTGGTTAGTTTCTATGTTCGTTCTTCATAGCTACCTACCTTATATTCTATATCAGACTCAACCGCACTTCTTAAGTACGTCTCAACTCGATACATTTAGTAAAGTTATACTTAAATAACATAGAAGATACCTGGCTCAATATTAAATCTATATCAACCTAATTATTTATAGATGTCGTGTTATCCCCTTGACTGGCATTCAACTATACCCCTATTATTTCAGTATCAGTACATAAGACTTGACGTCGTTCATTAACATAATAGGAAAAGGTTCGATAATTAGTATAAACTGTAAATATCATTGGTAGATTTAGCCATTTTCTCTTTCCTGGCCAATCCCCATGTATCAATACTGAAAATAGTGGAGGTGTAGTTGAATGCCAGTCAAGAGGATAACTCTATGTATTATAGTCATTCCAAGGGTTAACCTTGGAGACACGTGCTGAGCTACGTGGTATACGCCCCATTGGCACATAGCCGACGGTTAACAGCTAAAGTATACTAACAGCTTATTCGAAGCCTATTTGAGTATATGTAAAGTTGACAGGCTGAAGGTTGATGTGTCTGGAATAGCGACACCTAAGATGTTGGTAAGGATCCGCACTACTAGGGCTTATCCTTTGTTTGTCACCCCATATGAGCAACCCCATTCCTATCTCTTACATCGTATTTAACAGACGAAATATCTACCTTGGATTGACCTCCTAGGGAACTTTTTTAAGTTCGGGTCGTTATATGAAACACTATAATAAGAGTTGCAATGGGCGTTCTCAATCAGCTTACTCCTGACTTGGAGGAGGTCGACGTTGTCGTCGTAGGAGGCAAGGCTAATATTATCCTTAGAGGCCAGAAGGCATAAAGGTCATCTGTAAGCTAACTGCTCGCAGGAGGAACTGCTGGTTGCGTTGTTGCTTCGAGGCTCAGCGATGCTGACCGTGACCTATCTGTCTTGGTGATCGAGAGTGGACAGAATAACTACAATGTGCCCGCAATCATCCACCCGATCCTCTTCATGGGCAATTTGGCGCCTACCAGCACTGCGGCTTTATTTTACCAGGCCGGAAAGGAGGAGAAGGTAGGTAATAGGCAACTGGTTGTGCCCGCCGGCGGCATCCTCGGTGGTGGCTCATCCATAAATTTTATGATGTATAGCCGGGCACAGCGATCGGACTTCGACTCTTGGAATATGCCTGGTTGGTCTGCGGATGAGATGATACCGTATCTGAAAAAGGTATCTAATAAAACAGTCCGGCCGTTGCAAATCATGGCTGATAGGCTTCGTAGCTTGAAACGTACCACGGTCCTAGCTCTAAGGACACTCACGGAGACAGTGGGCCAGTACAGATCTCAGGTGGCACATACCGTGCTCTCACATCCGAGAACAATTTTATCGAGGCTGCAGCAAAGGTTGGCTGGCCTGAAATCGAAGACCTCCAAAGCCTGGACTCCAACAACGGTACCCAGCGGGCTGTACGTTTCATTTCGCCTGACGGTAAACGCCAGGATTCTGCCCATGCATATCTGCATCCTCGACTTCAAGACGGCAAGCATCCAAACCTAAATGTCCTGGTGGAGTCTCAGGTCATACGAGTTATTGTAGATGACAATAAGAATGCTGTTGGAGTTGAGTACCGACCCAATCCTAAGTTCCAGAACGATACCACGACTCGGAGTATCCGTGCCCGCAAGATGGTGATCGTATCGAGCGGCACTATCGGAACTCCTTCCATACTAGAGAGATCCGGCATAGGTAGTCCCGAACTCCTGAACCGAATTGGTATCCCGATCGTCTCCGACCTTCCTGGCGTCGGTAACAATTATCAAGATCACCATCTGCTCATATACCCATATAGGACAAGCTTAGCGCCAGAAGAGACAGCCGACGAAATCGTACGCGGTGCTCTCAGTGTTGAAGAGCTTGTTAAGACTAAGGATCTCAGAGCTGGCTGGAATGCCCAAGATGTCACTTGCAAGATCCGACCAACTGAGGCGGACGTCGCTGAACTTGGCCCCGAGTTTCAAGCGGTCTGGGAGAGAGACTTTAAGGCGAAGCCAGACAAGCCACTGGCATTGATGTCTCTCGTCAGCGGGTAAGAAGTCAGCCTTGCCTATAGATATGCATATGCTGATTATTGACAGATTCGCTGGCGATCCGAGTAGTGTGCCAGTGGGGCAATACACGTCCCTGACAGCATTTACCGTATATCCATATTCTCGTGGCCACGTACATATCACGGGTCCAAGTGTAGACGACCCAGTGGATTTCAAAACCGGGTTCTTTACCGATGCCAATGACATCGATATTCAAAAGCACATCTGGATTTATAAAAAGCAAAGAGAAATCCTTCGCCGTACGGACATGTACCGGGGCGAAGTAATCACTGCCCACCCGCCGTTCGCTTCGGACTCAGAAGCGGCATGCATCGAGTTAAACGACGGACCTCTCTCCAACGTGAAGGACATCACATATACTCCGGCGGACGACGCGGTCCTCGAGAAGTGGCTGCGCGAGAATGTAGGCACCACTTGGCACTCTATGGGGACATGCAAGATGGCACCGCTAGAGAAAGGCGGCGTTGTGGATGCGAGTCTCAGCGTCTACGGTGTCAAGGGGTTGAAGGTGGCGGATTTGAGCATCCCACCAGCGAACGTGGCGGCCAACACGGCCAACACGGCTTACGCAATAGGGGAGAGGGCAGCAGATATATTCATCAAGGAACTTGGTCTTGGTAATAGGGATATTTAACGAAGAAGGTAGCATTTTCTGTCTATGAAGCTACCTATGTGCTTAATCTGTTTAATAGGTATTTGGTAATTGATTGATCTTGCCACTTATGGCAATGCTATATTCTTGTTATTTGCCGTAACAAAGTGCTTAACTACCTGTACGGGATGTTCGCGTTGAGATATTACGCTCTCCTACTTGACAGATTGTCCATCCTCACTGGACTCTGTTGCGAGCCTTCTAGGAAACTTATTCTAAACTATATATATGATTTCCAGCAGCCATTGTATAAATCATGACATCGAAGCATTCTATCCGAATGATGGCATCCCTCAGCCACTACCAAAGATCCTTTGCAACCCCGATGACGATGAAATCCTACGCCAATAGATCCGGCAGATTGATGGAGATAAAGTGCATAGAGTTGCTGTCCTGAGTTTCCGAGGACCACAGCTCTATCGGATTGCAAAGCTACAAGCAGAGCTTATAAAGAAGCAGAATAGCATGGCGAATCCCGACGATGGAATATCCGAGACCAATTCAGACGCTGAAGGCGTAATATGGCTGGCTTACGGGATGAGACTCGGGGATGACAACCTATGAGTCTCGTAAGCCCTGAGCATTTTGGGCTTATCCTAGCACCTTACTACCTTATTGACGTTGCGTCTTGCTCGCAAAGAGCCAATTAGTGATATATGTGCTTATAAGTTGTGCTTGTCTCCAGCAACGACATAACAACACCTCACCGAAATTCAACCAGCATAACAAAGAAAGCGGAATAGTTATTGTTTAGTAACTTTTGATCACACATCCCTGAGAACTTTCTGATACCAATTATCTAAAATAACTATATAAAACGCGTTAGATTACAACACAAGTCCTTCTTAAACATCACTCTTCCGATACGTTTCCTGGCCAGGTTAAGGTACGGTGATATGACGATGTGCCATTCGTTTTACTGACAATAGTGAAGTTTAAACTACTTGCCACAACAGGTTGCTTACACTCGGATGTCACTAGGCAATTACGACCTATTCCCTAATGTACAAACTACGCCTAATTATTTATTTTCCCTCTGTGTGTTATAACCTCAAGTGAATTACCCATGTTAAAGCATGTATGTATTATGTATGATTTATTTAAGTTTACGAATTTAATAAATTTGAAGTTCAAAAGTTATTAAGAGGAATTATCGATATAATAGGATCATATCCTGAGACTAAGAATACCTTAGATATAAGATATAAATTTATCTTATTGACCAAATGTACCCGTAGCCATATTAATAAACCTCACGGGTTGACGTCAAGTATACGGTTTGTCCTTAACACACGATAGCCTCACGATGGCTTTGATTTACTTCCCTTTCAAGCAAAGCCAGCGGCCTCCGCAGCAGGGGCCATAGGCATACATAGGTATACATAGGTACTTGAAATCTAAAACCTACGCTATCGGCTAGTTGCTCTTGATATGGAGAGAACTTACAAGTCTGGATGCATTATCCTTCGATACATTTCCGTTTTTTAATACCGAGACGCCTGGTTTTGAAGGAACCAACTACTTTTCTAGTCAGATGCGAGAATATTGCCTTCTGAGGTTGGGCAACGTATCCAGGTAGTTTCATGTCGCGGTTTGCGAGCCGAAAAATATCGACTGTCTTAATAGCCTACCTCCTAGAAGCTATTGTTGGCAATGCTGGCTGTGTACGAGCTGAGCAGGTCCCCCTTTCATCAGAGTTATTTCCCGAATCAACTACCTATTCTAAGTCGTCGGGTATGTACTCAATCTACTATTCTTAAATCGAAACCTTCCGTGGGCTGTCGCGGGTGGCTATACTACTTCTATCTTCATCAGTCAGTAACTGCATGGCTTTCCAATGCATCGGAGTTCGTCCCAAAATGTGATAATAGGTATTTCATCCTGAACTAGGCAGGAAGTGGCAGTATGCTGTTGAACTGTGATATTAACATGCACTCATCCATCGACGCCAAGGGCAACTGATTGCGATATAATCATGGAAACGAATATAACGCCATGTGTAGCGATGATCAATCAAAGAGTATAATTACGTTATTAAAAGATTTGAATCTGATGTGGTCAGATGGTAGGTACATTGCTTGTTCTTGTTTCATGTTGTGCAACTTATATATTTTGAAGTATGGGCGCAAAGGGTGGTAATATCGCAAAATATTGCCCAGCATGTATGTCAGGGTTCTAGATGAGGCGTGCAGAACAAAGGACTTGTTAGTTTGTATACGAGCCGTAGGCTCGATAGTTAGGTTAGAATTCCTCGCGGAACAACGAAGTTGTTTCCATGCCGTTTGGTTCCACCTCGTGACGGTGTAATAATGTTGCAGGCACCCTATACTCTTAGACTACAGCCGACGCTGCCTTGTGTGAGTTATGCTGTATAAAATTGGGACTCTATAGTGATGGTTTAATGGCTTATCCGCCTGTAGCTGTTATTAGTCGGTCGGTACGTTATCTCGAATAGTAACTTTCCGTATCTAGATGAGAACACCGGAGACACGTAAGTTGTAATGAACATCCCACGAGAAACGGAGGCTTAAAGTGTATTTATATGGGAGCAAGGCCTTCATATTTTTCTACACTTCCTCTGTCTCGCATCTTCGTTCATCTCTACCTCCTACCTAGCCTACACAGGAAGCAAACCTATTCGAAGAAATACCGCAGCGATCACCAAAGTAATCCATATCCCAATACTTTAAAATTATGATCTTAATCTAACAATATATTTATGCAGATGCCTTCTGCAAAAGGTTATATCAAGAGTCACCCTGGCGGCAGCAAGTTCACGGCTACTTTTGTCCTCGATGAGATCAATCATCACTTCGACGGCAACCTGAATCCCAATGTACAGGATTTCACATCCAACGTGGCTACACTTGAATATGAAGACGTCGGACAATTGACCGGCCAGCAACAATTTAATGGAAAGATCGGCATCTCTGATATCACGCTAAATCTCGCAAATGGCCCGAAAATTGCGGGTTCTCTCACTATGCCAGTAGACCCGGCAGTGACCGTTTCTGGATCGGGTACTTGGTCATCAAAGTCATCCTAGATTATCTTCCACGTTATGACGAGGGCATTGGAACAGTGATTATGGGATTAGTTGCCGGACTATATTAAGGAGAGGAAGTTCAACACTACCCTCGTGGGGATTGAAGAAGCTATATGATTAAACTCAACAACCTTGCCCTCAACGGCAGAATTACATAAAATAAATAAAGAGCGGGTTCTCTACATATATTGGCTCACCAATGAATAACTAGAGCTATGATTGATGTTCGTGTTATGGAGTAAAGCAAGAAATATGGAAATAACTTCGTTGCTCCGTAAGGAACTCGAAATCTGACTATGATGGAAGCTTGAGTTATGTATACATGTTGAATTATTCTTATATTTTATATGTCTCATCTAGAATCATAACAATCCGCCCTACTATTACTACCATTCATAGGTTCAAGTTACAACATTTTGAAAGAGTTGTTTGTTTGGATAGGGGGTTGATTAGTCATCTAGTCGAGGGTTTTAAATGTTTATTTTTAAGTAATAAACGTTTTTATTAACTAGGTAATTGAACCTCGTCGCTAGGTATTATCGACTAGTTTATGTTTTTTCGTTCAATGTTTATTCAGCGTCTATCTATAACGTACTTCCTCAAACCTTTATCTCTCCCTCTCCTCCCCCCTAATCTCACTACCACTACCCTGCGCCTCTCCTCAACCATGGCGCGGACATACGAGTCGGCGCTCGCGCACCTCGACTCCATCCAGTCCAACCGCGCCGTCACATCCCTGTTCACCCCTCCCGTCTCCGCATCATCCCCCGCCCCCTCCGCCAAGGACCTCAATGCCCTCGCCATCCCGGAGATGCTCTCCTGGCTAGGCCGGGCGGGTCTAGCGCAGGACGATCTCGCCCGGCTCCGCTGCATCCACGTCGCCGGGACCAAAGGGAAGGGTTCCGTATGCGCGTATCTGACCTCGATCTTGACGCGGGAGCCTGTCGCCGGCAGGGTTGGCACGTACACGTCACCACACCTAATCTCGGTGCGCGAGCGCATCCAGCTTGATGGGCAGCCGATTAGTCGGGAGTTGTTTGCGCGGTATTTCTTCGAGGTATGGGATGCGCTTACTAGTGCCGCGCGGGAGGAGGCGACGCGTTCGGGGAAGGACATCTCGGCCGCGGAGCTCGAGGGCCCGGCTACAAAGCCTTTCTACTTCCGGTTCTTAACGATCCTAGCTTTCCACGCGTTCCTGCGGGAGGGGGTTAAGAGCGCGGTGGTAGAGTGCGGCATCGGTGGCGAGTACGACTCTACGAACGTGTTGCCGGCTGAGGCCGTGACGGCTTCGGTGATCTCGCAACTCGGGATTGATCACGTGGGTATGCTCGGCGGCACACTGCCTGAGATTGCGTGGAACAAGGCGGGCGTGATGAAGCCGGGGCGGAAATGCTTCACCCGGAAACTGCAGTCTGGAGAGGGCGAGGAAACCATGCGTGTGTTACGCGAACGAGCTGCGGAGAAGAGCGCCACCTTGATAGAGGTAGAAGACCAAGAAGTCGAGCAATGGGGAGGTGTACGAGGAGCTGAGGCAGGTAGCCTCGAAGGCGAGTTCCAGAAGTACAACCAGGCGTTAGCGACAAAGGCTGCAGCTGAGCATATAAGGGTTCTAGATGGGAACCAGGATACCCTACCGGGAGAAAGGTTATCAGCTTTAGCAGAACGCTTTTCTGATGGTTTACGGTTAGCAAGACTGCAAGGACGTTCCGAAACAAGAGAACACGGCGACTTCACGTGGCTCATCGACGGGGCGCATACCGCAGAAAGCCTAGAGGAAGTAGCCAAGTGGTTCGCGGGGAAACGCAAAACCGTAACCGGCGACGCGAAAGTGGTCTTGCTATTCAACCAGCAAGAACGCGATGTAGCAAGCCTTTTAAACAGTCTACACAGGGGCATTGAGAAGGAGTCAGGGGTTCCGGAGGGCACTATCTTCGACTACGCCGTATTTACTCGGAACGATTTACAACGTAGAACGGCCAAGGAGCCCGAGCGGGACCTGGCTGTTCAGCAAGCTGCCGCAGATGCTATGGAGAAGCTATCTCCCCGGACGGAGACTACCGTCGTAGAAAGCGTCGACGAAGCGGTCGAGAAGATAAAAGCTACGCAACCCCGTGACGGCGTCAAAGTTGTGGTCCTCGCTACGGGTAGCTTCCATCTTGTAGGCGCCCTGCTTAGGACATTAGAGCCGGATTCGGAGTTGTGAATTGCTCATCTAGGTAGGGTAGGCTCGGTAGGTAGTAGGTACGACAGGTTCCAGTGACTTGGACATGATGAAAACCGCGTTTAAGAGGCGATAGATTATGGGTCTCAGGACTAAGTCGTAGGCACCGTGACGGCTGTACTTTCAACAATAAGCCATAAATATACACTTTAAGATTTTTAGTTGCTTTGAGTCTTGAATGTTGCTTAAATAGTTATAGCCGGTATTATACTCAATGAAACCTTTGTATGCTTGATTCTCCTCTATACTCCTCTATACGGGTTGAGCCGCCGTAGATCCTCATCTATTTTTCTAGGGTATACCCATCTCTCGTTGAAACTAGAGCCATTTCACATAACCAGCCCCTATAAAAAATCGACCGTTGCCGGTCACAAGGCATCGGCGCCTTCTAATATTCCCAAAGCTCCGCCCACCAGATGCAAGCTACCCGTAATGAAAGCCTGTATTGTCTCACTCCCGCCCAAGGGTGTCTTGCTGAGGTCTCGGACATAATCGATCGCCTCTTCAATCGTCGGCACGACAGTTACCTTTGCCGTCGGGTCTAACAAGGACCATTTCTCCGCAAAGGCACGCTGCGCTGTTAGAGCTTTGATGGCTACAGGGTCATACTGGTGGTTCACAAAGTCTCGCTTATAGCCAGTGCTAGCGTAAGTTACGTTTGTGCAAAAGACGACGTGTTCGAACGTCCCTTGCCCCTGGGCTTTGAGAGCAGAGACTATGCCCTCGAGGAAGTGGATGGCCTCGTCACGTCCTTGCTGGTTGAAAATCAAGGCTTTCGGGCCGGTTCGCTTCGCACACTCACCTGCAAACCACCGTGTCGCCATCTTGAGACTGTCTACAGTATGTGCTCCGTCAATGTGCCAGATGATTGGCCCTTCAGCCTTGACTTCGCATCTACCCCTCCACACGACTTTTTCAAGACCATCAACGAACTCTTTACTTAACGCTGACGGATCTGGTATGAAGTTAGGATCGATTTTTTGCAATGCTGCTTCGGCTAGGGCGACTCCTAAGCTGGCATTCTTCTTCTGGAATAGCGCATCTGGTCGGACCTTAACATCCTTTAGTCTGGGGTCGATATCCAAAACCTTCAGCGGCACTCCTTTTTCTTTGGCTCTTTCCTGAAGTACATCGGCGGCTTCGGGAACTTGCTCGATGGTGAAAGCAGCACTGCCCGGCTTCATGATACCGGCCTTATGCCAAGCAATCTTCTCTATCGTATCCCCAAGTGCGAAGACATGATCTATACCCAGAGTGCTAATACCAGACGCCAAAGGGTGTGCTACGATGTTCGTGGCATCAAATTCGCCACCAATACCTGTCTCATATACAGCAACATCAATACCCTCCTGGAGGAATAAATGATAGCTCATCAGTGTTAAATAGCGGGAATAGACCGGCCTCGTAGGCATGGGAATATCAAGCCTCTGGTCTATTACCCTCTTGCCCTCACGTTCTTCAGCCTCTCCAAGCTTGTCCCATACCTCGAAGAAGTAACGGGCGAAGACGTCCTCGCTGACAGGAACGTCGTTGATCCTAATTCGTTCGCGTACAGCAATTAAGTGCGGACTCGTAAATAGACCAATCCTACGAGGTATTGTATGTGCTCGCTGGTAATGCAAGAGGATGGATGCTGCAAATGCGCATGTGCTCCCTTTGCCCTTAGTACCCGCGACGTGCAGAACATTCAGCCGATCGAGGTCGGAGGAAGTGTAGCCAATGCGTCGCAAGTACTCGTGCATTTCGGCGATGGAGGCGGCATCTGGGCGGATGCCAGCCTTGCGGCGGGCCTCAACGATAGCATACGGGGTTTGAAGAGAGTTCAGAGCATCGATAGCGTCCTGAGGGAATATATGGTCAGCTTCATCCTTATCCTTATCCCCACGGGGGTTGGGTTAGGGTCTGGGCTAGGTACGTTATACGTTCTACCGGGTTGTGTAGCGGTAGCCATTGTGCGACAAGAAATGGATATCGCACTCTTTCTTATATGTGGAGAGAAAGAGTACAGACTAATGCGTCGGAACACATAATGCATTCCTGGAGACCTACTACATAAGGTCTGCGCCTGGTCTTTAGCAGGTAAGCTTTCTGTATTCCTGCCGTATCCGTATGACAGAGATGACGAAAATTACCTAAGATAAAAAGAGGGTCAGTAGCGATATCGCCGACAAACTCCCCTGCTCCCCCAATTCTTACCCCACCTTCTCCAAATTACACAGCAGCAGAGCAGTGACATTGCACAAAGTACTTGCAACTAATTCATTGTGCAACCTGCTCAAACTTTCACATTCGAAACAAAGCTACATGTAAAACGTGTATTTGACAATTTAAGCAAGACCATTGAGGAATCTCGGAATCATATAGGTAGTAGTCTGACCTTTAATGAGACTACCTGCTTATCTACCTAACCTACCTAGATAGCGACTTCCAGATTGAAGCTACTACATAGGTTGATTGGCGGGCTAATACGAATCGCACCCTAACTTCGTTACCGTTGAGATATCTTCAATAAACTACCTAACTTAACCTACCTACCTACCTGGTAATTTAAGAAGGAAAGCAACTTAATAACAGGTGAGGTATTGCTCTAAGTAACCACCTATTTTGGATTAGTACCTAGGAAAGTGTAAAGTACGACGGGAGCATACGCAGCTCGTAGTTGCACTTCTAAACAAATTATTATGCACCACACTTGGAAACTACGAAACAATTTTGGACTTACCTATTTATTAGGTACTTCCTAGAATTGCTCTTCGAACGTAAAGTCAGGAAGGCACTTCCTGCCAATGTGTCAGGAGTGAACATAAACAACCCCTATGAAACAGAGGGCCAGACAT